AGGTTACCGCTAGCTAGTGTAAGGCAAGCTTAGAGTTGGGGTAGGGCATGTCTAGGACTAAGGTAGGCCATGGATAAAACTAGGGTAGATCAAAGTTAGGGTATAGCAAGGCTAAGGTTCGGTAGGGCATGGCCAGTGCTTGAGTAAGGCAAACTTAGAGCTATGGTAGGGAAAAGTTGGGGTTAGAGTAAGGCAGAGTGAGCTAGGGTAGAGTAAACTTAATGTTCTTGTTGTTGTGTTGTTCTTGCCATTGTTTGTGGCTGGGTAACGCAAGATTAAGTTTGGAGTATGACTAGGATATAAACCTCTGGCTAGGGCAAGACTAATATGGGGCCAGGTTAAGACAAATTTACTCCTTAAATAGGAAAAAGGGAAGTATGGTTAAAGTGGAGCAAACATAGGGCTAGGCCTGGGGCAAATTAGGGCTAGGGTAGAGAAAATAGAGCGGGGTAAATCTATGGATAAGGCAAGGTAGAATCAAGCGTATGATAAGGTTATGTTAGGGTTGGGGTAGGGCTATTCCACCGTAGCTAACTTGGCGCGGCAAAGTAAGGGCTAGGGAGGTAAGGTTAATTTTTTTAAAGCTAGGGTAGGATTATGGCAAAGCGAGGGCTATGAAAAGGTCTTTAAATTTTAAGTTTGAAACTTAAAAAGTTATTTTTAAGCCTAAGATTTTTAAAAATTAAAAATTTTAATATTTTCTAACATTTTCAAATTTAAACTTTAAACTTTTTTAAGCATTCTAAATCAACTTATACTGTTACTCTCCTCAGTAACAAAGAAAATCAACTTTCCGTCACATCAAATTATAGAATAACATTTTTTCAAACTAATTTTTCTCCACGAAATTTGCCGATTCTACAATTATATACCTGTCGAAAAAAGAAGAAACAGGTGAGATCCGGCTGGAACTTTCTTTTCAACTTTTTCAAAATAAATTTATACCTTGAGGGCAATACAAGTTTTTCTATTTCTTGTGTTGCAAAAAAAAGTTCTTGCCATTTTTTGTTTTGTAAAGAAAGTTCTTGCCATTTTTTGTTTTGTAAAGAAAGTTCTTGCAATTTTTTGTTTTGTAAAGAAAGTTCTTGCCATTTTTTGTCATACAAGAGAAGTTTTGGCAATTTTTAGTATTTGGCGTATAAAATGTCACCCGCAGCCTGCATTTGCCATTTTTTGTTTTGTAAAGAAAGTTCTTGCCATTTTTTGTAAAAAAAGTTCCTTCCCTACCCCTAACCACCTAATAAACGGCATATAATCTTCTTCTCGTTTTACCGAAGTGCTCGACTTTATTTTAGGGCGTTGTGATAAATGGTTGGTGGAGATCTCGGCACCGATCTCCTCGCCTTCCTTCTCCTTTCTCTGACCAAAAGCGGGGCGGTTTTTGTACGGACGGGTTTTGTGGGTTCCAAAACTCGCTTCAGGATTAGCTAATCGACTCATCCTGGTCGTTGTTTTGGAGTTGATTAAAGGAGGGGGAGGAGGAAGGAGACATGGAACAGGGATATGTTACAGTAGAGCGATTGAGAAGTGATAAAACGATTATTGTGATAGTTTTTCTGGCGTGGGGTATGGTTTTGCTAGGGTAGAGTGTGAAGGGGGGAGAATAGATTATAGTAGGGTAGCGTTGATTGTAGTAGGGTAGATTATAGTAGGGCAGGGTAGATTGTAGTAGGGTAGGTTTTGTAGAGATAGGGTATATTGTAAAAGAGTAGGGTAGGTTTTGTAGAAATAAGGTAGTCTTTGAAAGGGCATGGTAATTTTTATCATAGAATGGTTTTGGTAGGGTAAATGTTTTTAAACGGCAGGGTAGAAATTTTAAAGGGTGGGGTAAATTTTATACAAACGAAGTATGCTTTGAATGGGCTTGGTAGTTTTTTACCAGCAATTTGGGCTTGTTAGGGCGGATTTTTTAAGGGCAGGGTAAATAGTAAAAGGACGGGGCAGGTTTTTAAAGGGCGGGGTAAATTTTAAAAGGCCATAATAAATTTGAAAGGGTGGGACAAAACTGTTAAGAGCAGGGTGGATTTTAAAGGGTAGGGTAGGGTAGGATAAAGTAGGGTAGAGTAAAGCAAGATAAGCTTGTGTAGGGTAATATAGAGTAGATAAGGAAGCTATAAACCCACATTCCAGTAAAAACAACTGTGGTCGGTGTTAACCGCAGGTTAATAAGCCTCTGATTCTGGGTTGATGCCCGAAAAAGCGAAGGGGGGGGGGTCAATGGAAGAATCCAGGCGATCCCAAATTTGGGGCGGCGGTGTTTCGGCGGGGGGTTACTGGAAGTGGCGCCGTTCCATCGTCCTTGATTTTGATTCATTAATTTGCTTTGACCTCATCGTACACATCGCGCTAAAGTGCGGCATAAGCCATTTTTTATTAATTCGATTAGGGATTCTTTGTTGAAAATTTGAAAAGTTTGAATTTTAGGCTTGGATTTTGATGTCTTAGGCTTATTTTTTAGGTTTTAATTTTTTTTTGTTTTAGGTTTATTTTCTAAATTTTAGGCTTATTGTTAGGGTTGCAGGCTTGTTTTTGAAGGTTTAGGCTTATTTTTTGGGTCTTGGGTTTAAGTTTCAGATTTCTAGGCTTATTTTTAAAGGTTTAAGATTAGGCTTATTTTTTGGGTTTTATGATTTTTAGGCTTATTTTTATAAATTTCAAGCTTTCTTACGTACTTTAGGCTTAGATAGGTTTGTCTTGAACTTAAAATTAAGACTTATTTTGAAACAGGGTTTTTTCGATTTGTTAGGTTTATTTTTATAGATAATTTAAATTTTTTTGTGAATTGTTTTTTTAGGCTTTTTACAAATGCTTATTTTTAGCTTTTTGAGATTACACTAGGCTTAAAGTAAAATTTTTCAAAAATTTTATTTAAATTTTTAAAAGTTTTGAAATTTTTTAAATTTAAAAAAAAGTAGTCACAGTCTGGTAATCACGTTGATTTTTATAAAAAAAAACTGTTACCGACATTGTTTAATTACGTTTTTATGCGATTTACATTACGATTTGGTCGATATTATCTTATGTTTCTAATGTCATATCGTGTGTAATGTCGCTAATCTCATAAAAATGCTCGAAAAACTTTTGGTTTCACTTGTTTTGAAGGTGTTAAATGGGATATGATTTTGGGGTTTTGGGGTTATTTTACAACTTTCGAATATAAAGGGAGGGGAGGGGTGAGAAGCATGCGTAGGGCAGCAGCGGGGATTTTATTTAGGTAAGGCGTGGGTTATGCAAAGCCTATTCTAGGGTTCACACCGGGGGTAGAGAAAGGTTGAGGTATGTTTAAATTAAATATATGTTGAGCGTAGTATAGGGTAGGGCAAGATGGGCTAAGGGTCAGGGTAGGGGCTATGGCAGGAACTTTAAAATAGCCTTAGTTCTATTTATCACCGCCCTGCCTTTGACATACTTACAACTTTTTTTTTGCTTACCTTACTTTAACATCCCTACTCTACTCTTCTCTATCTTATCCTATTCTACCTTACCGTACTCTGTTCTACCCTCTCCTACCTTACATCATCACACCTTATTTTTGCTCTACCTTATCCCTATCCCCTTTACTTTACTCTACCCTACTCCATCCTAAATTACACTATTTACCCTATCTTACTATACTCTTACTATACTATACCCTACTTTGTTTTTCTTACCCTAGCAAACTTTTTTCTACCCTAGCCAACTTACCCTAAAATGCCGTGTTTTACCTTGTTTTAGTACTCTTGCTTCTACCTCTATCTTACTTTCCTATAATTAAACTTACTCTCATGCCCACCTCTACTTACAGTGTAGTTTTTCTACTCTCCAACGTCTTTTCTATCTCTATTGTCCACTAAAACCCGTTCTGTCATTACATCAAAACAAATGTTACAAATAATAACACGGCTTATTACCGACCATTCATAACAAGTTTGCTAGCTTACCAGTAATACCACTAGAACAAACGGTTATAACCCATTTACCCTGAAAGGATTGTTTGTTTCAAAAACAGAAAGTTCGCCTCCTCGCGATGCTGAAGTGGAAAGAGTAATGTCGCGGTTAATGAGTCTTCAGAAGCGTTTATTGTAGCGTGTTTTCATAAGTTTTTGCTGTTCCGGAACACACTTTCCTTTTCTCTGTCGATGGTTTTTGCTGACAAAATATGTTTTGTCATTTTTTGATTTTCTCGAAGTTTTTAAAATGACGTTTTTTGTTTGAAAAAGTTGGACTTGATCTCAGGGATGCCTCTAGGGTGGGAGAGGGGAAGATAAGGTGGTTTGGGGTAAATGGGGGTGGATATTCAGAGTTGGTGTAAAAAAATGCCATAGGAGAAAAATGTCGAAAAATGGGTGCACAGGTCGCTGGCTACTATAAAAAATTTTTAATTTATCCTTGCTGGGAAGAAGTTTATTTTAAAGGTCCAGAATGGCAAGAACTTTCTTTACAAAAAAAATTGCAAGAACTTTTTTTACAAAACAAAAAATGGCAAGAACTTTTTTTAGAAAACAAAAAATAGCATGAAATTTCATTACAAATTATAAATGGCAAGAACTTTTTTTTTACAAAATATTATAGAAAATGGCAAGAACTTTTTTACAAAACAAAAAATGGCAAGAACTTTCTTTACAATACAAAAAAATGTCGAACTTTTGATAATTTTCGTAATTTTTATTTTCATTTTAAAATTTTTTTGATGAAAAAAATAAAATTATTGGGCTTGGTTTCCATTGTAAAGGCATTTTTGATTATTTTTTATTTTTTTAATAATAAGTTCCCAAAAAAGCTTTAAAATTTGAAACTGAACTTCGTCTTTACCTTCGAGCTGATCGACTTATTTTAAATTTTTTAAATTTTAAATTTTTTGTATTATCAAAAAAAATTTTTTTTGAAAAAAATATTGAACGTGGTCCCCCTTGTTGAATTTTTTTTATAAAATTTTTTAAAACATCACTAATAATTTGAATTTTTAGTACTCTCCAAACATCTGGGACTCACAAGACAAGCCATAAGCCAATCTTGGAGGTATGATTAGGTTTTGGGCATTTGCCCCCATTTTTGTAAGCCTTTTCTGTTTGATCCAAGCAGAGGAAGCACTTACGGTTTGGCTTGTTCAACCAGCGTCGAGATCGCAGGAAAGAGAGGCTAACATCACCAGGTTGACCGAAGTGAAATGTCCTACGCCTAAGAATGATAAAGGTAAGTGGATTTGAAGTTTTGAATTTTAAAGTTTTAAAAATTTGAATTTTTAAAAATTTTTAATCTTGAAAATTTAAGGCTTAGGTACGAAAAGCTTTGGTAAAAGATTTTAAAGGGGTTTATAGTATAAATTTTAAGGTAGGTTTTAACATGGTAGGGTATATTTTTAACGGGCACAATAAAAGCAAAAGGGTAGGTTAGGATAAGGTGGGTAATGTACGGCAGGATAAGGTAGAGGTAAGAGAAAGGCTAGGGAAAAAAGTTTTAAAACTTGCTGCAAAAACTTTCTTTACAAAACAAGAAATGGCAAGGACTTTCTTTAAAAAGCTCTTTTTGTGCAGAAAAGCGTACTGCATACCGCGGGTGACATGTTATACGATAAAGAGCGCAAAACAAAAATGGCAAGAACTTACATTACAAATCTTAGAATGGCAAGAACTTTCTTTACACAGCTTAAAATGGCAAGAACTTTCTTTACAAAGATCTTTTGTACCAAAAAAAAGAACGTACAGCAGGCTGCGGGTGACAATTTATACGAAGGCCAAAAATAAGTAAAAACTTTCAAAATGGCAAGAACTTTCTTTATAAAACATAAAATGGCAAGAACTTTCTTTACGAGTAAAAAAAATGAAAAAAATGTTGTTTTGACTTTTATTTTATTATTTTTTTCCCTTTTTCAATTTTTTTATCATTTTTATTATTTTTTTCCGAAATCTCTATTTCCGTATTTTTTTGTGAAATTCCCAAAAAGGCACACAAAACAGAAGATGTAATCAATTAAAGAGTTTATTGTCTTGAATTTTGTATGTCAGCGGTCAAGGCCGGCCACCCAAAAACATAAAATACCGCGGTTTGTCGATCGCTAGCGAGCGATTTAATTGTAATAAATAATGCGGTTTACAGCGGTCGATATGTCATCGGCGTGCATCTTGATAAGGGACATTGAAATTGATCTGAATGACAATATTTTTGGGGAGGGAGGTGAAAAGGTTAGAAATGGCATGAAAATGCGAGTTTTGTACCTAAATTGCAAGTACTTTATTTACAAAACAAAAAATTGCAAAAACTTTCTTTACAAAGCATAAAGTGACAAGAAATTTTTGTATCACCGAAAAATGGCAAGAACTTTTTTTGTAGAAGTGAACATGATCGTATTTTAACACGAAACTACTAAAAAGATAAGCAATGTTACATTATCAACTGGCACTTTCTGTCAGATCAATACCTAATCTTCTACTTATCATACCGACAATCTCAAGAACGCACACTAGAATCAAAAAGACGGTTTTGACACCTTACCTCTGTTCTTTTGATTTATTGCCTTTTGCGGGAGGTAAAATAGACATTTGGAACAGTTACAAGTGTTATCTACTTATCTACTACAATATAAAAAAAATGAAAAAAAAATAAAAAAATTTTAAAAAATATTGTTTTTAGTTACATTCTACGTTACTAATCGTAAATACACTTCGTTTTTTAAAAAATCAGAACATTTAAGGCACGTTTCATCGTATAAAATGATCGCCGCAGGCTGTAGAGCAAAAAATTGATAGAATTTTCGTTAAAAATGTAAAATACGACGTACTGAGCTGTCTTCTTTAACTTTGTCCTTCGTACTACCTAAAATATTAAAATAACTATTTTCAGATCCAAAAACGACATTACCAGCCGGCGGCGTCGTCGAGATTATCTGGCAGAATCCGGCCAAACTGCACGGTGAAGCGCGCTTCGAAATCCTCAGCGGCGAAGAGATTATTCAACGGATTGCGGTCGATAAATCTCCAGCTGAATTGAAGAATGGACAATCCGTTAAAAGCGTCAAATTGCCAGAGTTTGAATGCAAAGGATGCACCTTGAGATTGACTCAATTCACGGATTCCAGCGACTTTCAGATCATTTCCTGCGCTGATATCGACCTGTTACCATTGGCTAGCAATGGTAATACTACTGGTAAGGTGTTTTTATCTTATTTTTTGTTGGCTTTAGGTTGTTTTTGTAAAATCTGGCTAAAAATGTTCGTTTTTTTGCAAATTTTTATCATGTATAATATAATGATCGGTTTTTCATGCCCAAACTTCTTTTAATTGAATTTTGTAATTAAAACACGTTCTTTATTTAGTTCTGAATATTTTTGTTTTGTTTTGACATAAACAGCACATTTCGACGTATTTTACAATCATTTTTCCAGAGTGCACATCAAACGCGGAATGTGGTAAAGATGGCGCTTGTGAATCGAATGTTTGCTATTGTTCCATTGGCAAATTTGGTAGAAATTGTGAGAAAAGTAAGTCAATATCTTCTTCTTTCTTGAGTATAAGTTTGGGCTTTAAAAAGTTATTAGAAATTTTAAAAAACATAATTTTCCGATATTGTGTTAGGTGAAATTTGATGTTGTGGATGGTTTTAGCTTGTTTAAAAACGGGTTTTGATTAAATGTCGGATTTTTTGAGCTTAAAATGTTTGAAATTGAATTTTCTACATACTCGTATATGAATTTTACAAAAACGTGTAAGAAATAATGGCAAAATTACCGGTCGAAATTGCGTTACCTGAAATTTTAATGCTGTAGTTGGTTTTTTCTGTTTCTAAGCTAATTTTAGCTTAAAACTGTAAATTTTTTATATTAAAATATTGAGAATAACCTTGTTATAAATTAATATATCTTTTAGCATCAAGCCTAAAAACCTTGTCAAAGGACCTCAAGTTCAAGGAGCTTCCAATAAAAGACAAGAAGATGAACAAGGTCAGCTGGAGCTACGATCCCAAAGCCGAGGAGCTTCAAATGGTGGTGGATATGGCCGCTGATTCTTGGGTAGCTTTAGGCTTGAAAAATAAAGAGGCAGCTGCTAAATGTAGTGCTTCAATTGACAAGCCTTTCAAGGATAACTCTTTGGTCGATGATTCGCTTGGAAACACCATTGCTCCGGCTTTGAACATCAAAAAATTGACTTCTACGACTAAAAGCCACAAAGCTGAACCTGGTAAGACACTTACAACTTATGTAAAATGATTTTAAATGAAACGAAAGAGGTTAAAACATCATTTTTACTGTATACATCCACTAAAAACGATGTTATTGTAGGCAAATGTGGCCCAAATGAAGTCTACAGCTCATGTCCAGAGTTTTCACGCGAATGTGAGCCAAGCTGTGAATGGACTTTGTACCCAGAGTCCGTACCAACTTGTCCGAGAACTTGTGGAGAGCCCAGATGCATTTGTGACGAAGGCTTCGTTCGTGTGAATTCTGAATCTAACGAATGCAAACCTTTCGACTTCTGCGCTCAAGTTCAGGTATGTCAAGAAAAATTTTATGAAAATACAGTACTTACAGCTAGACCAAAAACAATGTAAACACAACGAGACCTGGGCCAAGTGTGGCACGGCTTGTGAGCCATCTTGTGATACCATGTACAACACGGATCCATGTACTGCAACATGCAAGGAAGCACAGTGCACTTGTGCTGACAACTATGTCCGATTCAATGGGGAATGCATCTTCTGGGGCGATTGTCCAAGTTAGTTTTTTGAATTTTAAGGGGATATGAGGTTTGGGGACAAGTTATACGATGAAACATGTTTGATCGTATAACTTGTCACCTTATAAGAAAAATTTAACAAATTGTAAAAAAATTTATTTAGATGGTGTAAAATACGACTTTTCTTATTTATCGTTTTATTTTAAGAATGTGACAAGTTATACGATGAAACATGTTTTATTTTTAAACGTGTTTGATCGTACAACTTGTCACCTTATAGAGAAAAAATTTAACAAAATGTAAAAAATGATATTTAGATGGTGTAAAATACGACTTTTTTTATTTATCGTTTTATTTTAAGAATGTGACAAGTTATACGATGAAATATGTTTTACGTTGAAACATATTAGATCGTATAACTTGTCACTGCAGTATCTTATGATTCCCAAATGCCAAAAAATATTTAAAAATTTTAAAATTTATGCTTTTTACATACACCCTATAAACAAAATTTCTAGATCTCGAAGAAAAGCGACTAGTACCATCCGAACCAGAAGCACCACTAACTACCGTATCCGCCGCTACTGGCACTGTAAAACCTGATGTGAAGTGTGCCACAAACGAGACATGGAATGAATGCGGCCGAATCTGTGAAGCCGATTGTGTGTCAATCTTCACCAGAGAAGAGTGTCAAGAGTGCTCACAGCCAACTTGTTCATGTCAGCAAGGCTTCGCTCGCTCCAATGGCCAATGTGTATATTGGGGTGACTGTCCTCTGGATGGTCATATCGATGAAAATTTGAAGCAGCTGACCACGAACTTGCCAGAGATTGTTCAGACTGACACTGCGACCAATGCTGCCAATACCCAGTCCAGTCCAGCCGTCTCACCCGAACTTGTAGTAGAGCTACCCCCATCGGACCCGGAAATGCAATGTTTTGGCGAGTTTGCATACCCAAACAAGTGCGAAGGAGACAAATGTAGCTACAGGCTAAGCTGGGCCTACGTTCCCGAAAAGGACAATGTCGAATTTTCATTGGAAACGCGACTAGCTGGCTCCGGATGGAGCGGAGTCGGCTTCAGTAGAGTGGGTAACATGCAAGACGCTGACTTCCTACTGGTAAAGTCGGATGGCAAGAAAATTAGCGTTCATGACATGCATACTGATGGTTACAGTAAGTTTGAAAATTATTTTTGAAATTTTTTTTCAATGGGACATTTTATACGATGAAACATGTCTTGTCATATAATGTCGATTTTTGGAAAAAATATCATTTTTGCTATTGCAGACCCACCATTGGAAGACAAGTCAATTGATGTAGAATCACCAGAGACTGTAGGAACACATGCTGATGGCATTCTGAAGGCTACATTCACGAGAAAACGCCAAACTGCGGACAAAGATGATGTTGCTTTTGGCGATTTGGATGAACAATGCTACTACTTCTTGTTCCCGGTTGGCGGTGGTAACTTGACTGATGTGAGTAAAATACGATTTACTATTTGTTTCTTCAAAAAGGCTTTTAACTATTGTCAAAAATGGCGCTAAACGGCAAAAAAAACAAAATTTGTCTATCTGATGTCATGGATAATATAATGTTTTAGTGTTTTGGGCTAGAAAAACAAATTTTGATATTAAAGTTGATAAAAAAATGAAATAAGGAGTAATTTCTGATATATTTAGGAAGGAGGTATTGCCTACCATGCTGTAACACCGCTAGTATCGGCCAAGAAGGTCTGTGTTAGAAGTTGCGTTGGTCAGACCGTTGAAGAAACTCCAGCTACTCATCAACGTAAGCTTTTGTGTTGATTTTTTTAAATTAGTTTTAAAAGCAATTGACATAGACTTTATAACAGTTACAGGCAGTTTTGTTGACTATTTTTAAAGTTATGGGCTGTTATATTGTTTATGGTATTTCTGATGTCATGGTTCATATTCTTTGTGTTGTTGCTGTTCTATTTTTGAGTTTTAATGGTTGAAATTAGTTTTATTGTGTTTATAAAAACCTGTTTTAAATGCTTTTAATAAATTTTTGTTCTGTTTTAGTCAGGCTTTAAAGGTATGATCAAAATTGTCTGGTTGGGCTTACCTCATGTCATGGTTAATATAATTTTTGGTCGCTGACACTCTTTTTGAGTTGCTATGTTTGGAATTAGCTTTGTAATGTCTAGAAAAGGCTATTGAACGTTTTGTTAGCAACTAGTTATGTTATAATAGTCAAGTTTAGAAGTATGATTAAGATTGTCTAGTTGAGTCGACTTGATGCCATGGTTAATATACTTTTTGTCACTAATGATTGGCTCTTGGTTTTCTTGGTGGAAAGATGTCTTTATACTGTGAATCAGATTCTTGTTTCGTTATTTACAGCAATTTACAACTATCTTTTTGTCAGATTTTAAAGTTATGATCAATTTTCTTTTACTAACGCGCCTGATCTCATGGATAATATATTTTTTATGTCTTCTTTGGTTTTCTTTAAATAACCAAAAAAATTTTTGAAACTCGTATTTTACAATGACAATTTCAGCCACCTACACCTGCCAAAACGAATACCGTCATCCGGCTGACTGCTTCGGCGAAGAGTGTGATTACATAGCCAAGTGGAACTACGTCCCAGCCGACAAGTCAGTTCATTTCGAAGTCTCGGCCAAAGGAATTGGCCGTTGGACTGGAATTGGCTTCTCACGCGATGGTCAAATGACCAACTCGGACATTGTGACCGGATGGGTTCATAACAAGAAGGCATACGTCTTGGATCGATTTGCTTACGGCCGTCAAAGTCCAGCCATAGATCCGGCTGATAGGCAGGATCTGTACAATATTAGTGGAAGTGCGGTGGATGATGTTCAGGTGGGTTTTGAAACAGTTCTTAGATTTTTTGGGCTTTAGAGGTGTGTTTTTAGGATTTTGAATGATTTGTGACGGTTGAAATAGATTGCCAAGAAAATCAGGATTTTCGTGGTGGGATCAAAAACTTCAAATTTTCTTAAAAATTGTTGTATTTAAAAGGCATATAAAATAGTATTTTTAGTGAATTGTAAACTTTTAAAAATTTTGATGCGGAATGTTAAAAAATTAGGGATTTCGCGGTGGGACCCAAAAATGTAATTTTGAATGAACATACTTTTTTTATGGTGTAAAACTTGTTTTATTAGAGAAGAAATGATCCTAATATTGTATATTGATTTTTGAATCATCTGAAACAGAATGCCAAAAGTTTCATGTTTTCGTGGTGGATCGATATTGAAAAAATTTCGTACACTTAACAAGCACTATTGTACTGTATACTTTAAAAACCTCATTTTAATAATTTCAGACAATTTCCTTCCAAAGAAAACTTGTCACCGCTGATAAGAAGTCCGACTTCCCATTGGACAAGTGCTATTACTTTGTGTTCCCAGTTGGTGGCGGTCGAATTCTGGCTCAAAACAATGGTCAATACGAAAACCCAAAGACTCCAATCGCTTATCATGATAGGCAAGCACCAGAACGAACGGCTGTACCTGTTTGCATTTGTCACAACGACAAACCGGTCGGTGAAACACCAGCTCCAGCTCAAGTTCGTTTGCGACGTCAGACGGATCCATTTGACGAAAAATTGACATCAGGTGAACTGGGACCTTTGTTCACTTCTGCTGATAAGACTGGAGAGTCAAAGGGTAAGCTATTTTTATTTAAAACTGAGTCAAAAACGAAAAATATTGTTTTAGGTTAGTGTTTCAGCTTGACATGCCTTAAAAACAATATTATAATTGCCATTTCCAGACGACCCATTCGCCTGCTCCGATGTAGCTTTGGTCGAAGTCTCTAAAAATTATAAGTTGAGAGTGTATGATGGATTCGCTTTATCTACGTCAAACATGCATCCAGATGAATCCTTCGGCGGAGCTCAATCCTTTGTCGATGTTGCTGTAGTACCATCGGACGAAAAAGATCGCGCTAAGGTGGTTATCAAGAGAAAAGTTAAATGTAAGTTATGTCAAATTGAAGCAAAAAGAATGGCGCGTTTTTTAAGTTTAATTTTGGGAGTTAGAATGCGCCATTATTTTCGCATCAAAGCGTTTTTTGGAATTTTTTTAAAAATTGTCGAATTGCTTTTGAATTTTTATCGACCAGTCGATTTTTGGCGAGGATATTAAAGCAAGATTAGTGTACGTTTGAAGCAAAAAGAATGGCGCGTTTGTTAAATATATTTTCAAATTTTAACTTGCGCCATTTTTTTGCATCAAAGGGTTTTTTCGGCTTTTTTCTCAAAATCTTCGGATTCACTTTGGATTTTTATCGACCAGTCGATTTTTGGCAAGGATATTAAAACAAGATTAGTGTCAGTTTAAAGCATAAAGAATGGCGCGTTTTTTAAGTACAATTTTGAGTTTGGTAATGCGCCATTCTTTTCGCAACAACTGAAAGTAAGCAAAAAAATGGATGTGATTTTCCGTTTAAGCTATGCTTTTGGTGTTCAATGCCATTTTTAATATGAGAATGCTTCCAAAATACAAAATAAATTTTTTTATTTGTAAAATACGGCATCCGAACTGTTCTTGCTTACAATTTTGTATTTTTTTCAGCCGAAGACATTAGTGATTTCACCCTGAACGACGAGCCAGGAACCTTTGTTGTGGCCGCAGGCAAAGGCGGCTCACCAGTTTCGGACGCCAAATTCGTCGAAACGTTCCCAGTGAACTTCTTGAGTAAGTAACGCGTTTGATAAGACCTGAGCAGATTTTTTTGATTGATTGGAATGATCGTATTTTACATTTTTTTCTTACAGTATTTTGTCATTTTTGAATTTTTTTTATCTTTTGAGGGATTTTTGTCCTGCAGCCTGCAGAAACGCTGGGCGCAACTAGCAATATGATTTTTTAAACTGATTTTATAGAAATTTTAAAAATATAATTTTCAGAACCAGAACAAACAGTAACAACAGTCAAGCCTACAACAACAACCACTAAAGCTCCAACGACTCCAGAAGCCGTGCAGACTACAGTCGAGCTTAAACCAACAACCGAAGCCGAAACAGAAGCCGTTGAAACAACTGAAGCCACAAAATTGACTACAAAGATCATCACCACAATCGAAACAACCACAGAAGTTCCATTCGAAGCTACAGCGTTGCTTGACGTGGAACCTGAAGTCGAGAAGGTTGAGGTAAAGGACAAGAAGACCGAAAAGAAGCCAGAATCCAGCCAAAACAAGAAGACTACAGCAGCTACAAAGTCTACTGAAGCTACACAAAAGTCCACGGAACAAGCTAGGACCACAGAAGCTGCTACGGATTCAGTTAAGACCACTGAATCGGCTACAGAAGCTTCAAAGGTCACGGAAGGAGTGAAGGCATCGGAATCGACGATAGCTACCGAAGCTTCAGAGTCCCCAATTGAAATCTCGGATCTCGAAGTGGTGAACATCCCCACCAAAGCGCCAGAGGTCCAAGAACGCTGGTTCGGCGATGCCGGTGACGCGAACTGCGCCTCCATCTATTCGTATCCTGCGAACTGCACCAACAACTGCCAATTCTCGGCCGAATGGGCCCTAAACGAACAAAAAACCGCCCTAAAATTCCAAATCCACGCCCATCTGAAACCGGCCGAATGGACCGCCATCGGATTCACGAAAGACGGCGCCATGGCCGACATGGATACGGTTGTGGTGTCGGTTCTGGAAGATGGTACCATCAGTGTGTCTGATCAATATAGTCCAGCTTATGGAAGACCAAGAGTCGATAAGAAACAGGATTTGAGGTTAGTTTTAGGGGGCTTGAAGGCTTTATTATATGGAAAATAGTTAATTTTGTTTCTAGGGATAGTTTTGGCATAATGCCATAAAAATCAGGGTTTTCGTGGTGAGACACAAAATTTTTAAAATTAATAAATTTAGAGGTTTTTGAGGTTAAACTTGATATAAAATTTTTTTAAAGTTATGTTGGGCTATTGCCTATCCTATTTTTGAAAATTCACGTTTTCGTGGTAGGACCCAAAAATTTTATCAAATGATTAAAAATTGATAAAACTGAAAATTAATGTAATTTTAGAAACATTGACGCTAAATACACAGACGGTCACCTTTTGGCCACGTTCGTCCGTGACTTGGCCACCAACGACGACGATGACCATGACCTCAACGACTGCCATTACTTTGTGTTCGCTCAAGAAGGCGGATCCCTAGAAGCCGGCTCCGGCGAAATCCGCAAACACAAAGACACGCCCGACCGCTCCAAGACCAGAATCTGCCCCAAGAAGTGCGGAATCCCAGAAGAAACCACCACCGCCAAGCCTACGCCAGCTCCACCAGCCACAACGGTCAAAGTGGCTACAGCCAATGCCGGATTCAACCCAAGACCTGACGTGGAACTCATGCCAGCCAAGGAAAAAGAATTTGATGCCGCGGTGAGAGTGATGAACAAACCATATCAACTGGAAATGGCACGACTGGACAGTGACACCTCAACAGCATTGACTAGGGATCTCATGAAACATGTAAGTTAAAAAAATGATGGTAGATTACAGTGGAATTGGTATAAAGCATTAAGTTTGGTTAGAAAGACTATTCAGAGTATTTTTGAGAAGGTTTCACGCAATGCCAAGAATATCAGGGTTTTCGTGGTGGGATCCAAAAAAGTTTGCAAATTGGTGAATATATACGTTTACTTTAGTTTTTTAACGCTAAATTCAAAGTAAAATACGTTCTGTAAATTTTGGCGTAATAAAAGGCCAAGAAAATCAGGGTTTTCGTGGTGGGGCCCAAAACTTAAATTTTTTTTAATATGATGAATAAAAAGAAGAAAAAACATCAAATTTCAGTTGAAACCAGCGGTCGAAGAGAAATACAAATCATTGGAAGAATTCAAAATCACCAACTACGCCTACGCCACCACCATGTCCATAGGTATCACCGAACCGGACGGAAGCGACAAACCTTCCATTCTGGCCCTGATCAGAATGAGATTCTCTGGCGGAGGCGATAGTCCAACAGCTCAAGAACTACAAGACTTTTTGAAAGAAGCCGCCGCCAAAGGAGCCAACGAAGAGTTGACTATCGACCCTCAGGCCATTCAGGTCATTCTGGCTGATAAAAGTAGGTTTTTTGAGGGAATTTAAATATAAAAACAAGAAAATTAGATAAGTAGGTATAGATATAGTTGGACTATGATGTTAGTGATCTTAAGGATCGGTCTTTGATCAATTAATGGCTTTTAACACTTCAGAAACCGACGAAAAGTGGGCTCCATTGAAGAGCATCAAGAACGTGGTGATTGTTGTGGCTGTTATTTTGGCAACCATCGTCCTTGTGGCCCTGATGTGCTGCTGTTTGTGTATGAGACGCAAAAAGACTCATGTAAGTTTAAGGATTTTGAAAATTTAAAAATTTTGAAAATTTTTTTTAAATTTTAAACTTTTTAAAAAAAATTTTGATTTTCCAATATTTTTCAAACATATCACCTCTTTTCAGCCCGAACCAATGTCATTCGGCCCACCAGCTGGTGCCACCTACCAACCGTACGCTGCCAACTACGCTGCCAACCTCGGAGCCGCCTCTACCACAACATACGATAGCCAGAAGGGAACGGAAGTGAGCAAAGTCTCAGGCCCACCACCTCATTCTGGCACTCTAATCCGTCGTACCGACTCACAACACAGCGAAGTGCCAAAAGGTATCGGTGAGGCGACGTACCAAGAGTGGTACCATAAGGTCGCGTCCAAAGAGACCCCAGCTCATCATCAAGAAAGCGTTTATCAAACCCCACCGAATAGGATGGCTATAACTCAAGGACAGTCCCCGGTTTACGTTAGTTATCCACCAGATGTACCCTCAGGGTATTATACTATGACTCCCGATAATAGAATGCCTCCACCTTCGTATTATCGTCATTATTAAGGGGTTAGTACCATTTAATGGTACTAACTTTAATAATGGATCTAAAGGACTTGTAAATTACAATATTCCACCATTCATAGCATAAAGTTTCTTCTCTTTCAACTCTAATCACTGTCAAAAACGACTGTCAATTCAGCTGCTCAATTAATAATCTACTATAATATTGTGTCAAATCTCAAATTTTTATCATACCTTAACATAGTATTTATTGCGAACCTGGTTCCAGCATTCCAAATCCACGCCTTTCCAAATACGTTTATACAGATTGTAAGATTTTGTCTGGTTTTGAATAAATTTTTAGAAAATTACATATATTTTTTGATTGTTTAGCGTATTTTACCTAAACTGACGTGAGTTTAACTTAAAAACTAAATTTTTGGAATGAAATATACATTTATTTACAATCTTCAATCTAAAAAAACATCAAAATATTGCCTTATTCAGCTTTCACAGCCTTTTTTCTATTTTTCATCTTCTGATGAAACTCCTTGGCCACCGTCCATGGGAAGCGGAACGGATTCGCCGGTCGCCAATCACGCCATTCTCTCGTAATCTGAATATCATGCTCACGAATACTCACTCCAACTATTTTCGACAAGAAGAATGCCAAAAGAAACGCGGAAGCCACCGTCAGCAAGGCGAACATGTAAAAGGTCTCCTGTAAGATAAAACAACATGACTTTTGATGGAATTGACGAAGATTGTTAGAGAAAGGCACAACAATAACTTGATATTGTTTTAGAGATGTTAGAAAGATACGGAAACCCCATTTATAATAGCCACGAAACAAGATTTTGATTTTACACTTCTAGGTATAGCTAACCAACTAAAATGAGATGTGGCTTTATCAATAAGCTCAAAACTAGGTCAATTGAACCGGTATAGCTTCCCAAGACCATAAGGCATCTTTAAAGACCAAAACCACAAGAATCGGCCAACAATCCGCAAAAATACATTAAAATCAATCTACCACAACATCAGCACACCTAAAAACAGAAGAAAAACGAGCACAAAATCACACCAACCACATCACACTCCACTCATCCAACCTCGTCGAACATTTCACTGAATCCAGGAATCATCTGATTTATCGAGTGCACCATTTCCAATAACCATGGCCGCTTTTTCCGCCCTCCAACATAATATTCACCCCAGTTTCTCGGCGGAGCTGTGTTTGTAAACCCCATATTTTGTAGAAATCAACAAATATAGATCAATATGTAGATAGAAGTTTGTAGTTATTGCAGTAAAGAAACTTTTAAAAAGCAAATCAATTCGCTTTAATCTCCTTGGACAAACAGAAACGGCCAGAAAGCGCAAAATTTAGCGAAAAAAAATATTTTTGCGAGATTAAACACAACGCCAAAACGTTTTAGCGTAGCTCGTTTGCGTGGCGGGACTTATCTTTTGTGGCTAGTATAACTTTATTTGAACTTTTCTGGACTTTTTTCAATTTTCAAGTGAAATTTTTGTTCTTCATATTTAATTTATTTATTTTTACGTTATTTATACATGCTAGATTGACATTGAGGTACGAGAATATAAGTTATGAATAATAATTAGCTGTACAGACATGGTTAATATAGAAAAACGGTCCAACTGTGATCCGCCAAGCCCAAAAACGGTCAAAACATGAAGCCGTTGGTTAGCATATGACTCGTCATACTTATGGGAAGACCTTGGTGTATGTAATGGTGGTATGTTCGCGCATTCCGTGAGTTAACGTCTGCATATCTAATCTGCTCTCCATCGTTCGAGAATCCAACAACGTCCATTCGCGGATTAGCTGAAAAAACAATTAAAATGCCTAATTACGGATTGGATTTTGAAGTTTCTTTGTTTTCAACTCACGTCATGAACGGGCAAATCGCGTGAGAAGCTGAGACGACCAATATCGACCAGTCGGAACTGGATCCGGTTGTGGTTCACCAGGCCTTCTTCAATTGTTGCGAAGCCTAAAGAGGGCATTTTAGATTGTTATAATTTGGAAATGTTTGTATTTTTGTTAGATTTATTATAAGGTTTGTGAATTTTTGGGATTTCGAAGGTTTCAACGAATTTCGGATATTACACTAGAAATCGGAGACAAAGGCGTGGAAAAACAGATAACGTAGGGCTAAAATGGCTTTTTGTTGATTGTTTTAGCATTTTTAAGTGCTTCAGGTTTCTTCTGGCTTTATTTTGATACAGAAAAGAATTAAAACTAACAATTCACGACTATTTTGGGGTATTACACTACCCATCAGATGTCATGGATAATATAAAAGGTTGGTATGTTAATTCTTGTTTAATTTTGTTTGTGTTAGGTTTTCTAAAGTCTTGTGGATCTATTAAAATGGTTTTGAGTTAACTCTGAGGTCTATAAAGACCCATTTGGTCAAGTTTTTCGATATTACACTAGACATCTGATGTTGTGGACAAGATAAACTCCAACAAGATAGGTTTTTTAGTTTCTTTAACAGATTTTTCAATTACAATTGATCCAACACAGAATTGAAAGATCTTTTAAAACCCAAATAGGGCTTTTTAACTTACCATTGCTCATCACAGTGTTCATGGAAACCAATCGGCCGCCAGGTTGGACAGTGAGGTAGCCGTTCTCAGCGTGAAGCTCTTCTCTGTCTACCATACTCCAGGCGAATGCTCTGAAATTGATTTTTTTGTAAAATACGTGGTTACATGTTTATTATCAGTAAAGTTTGGCAAACGGCAAATCTTTTCACATCAAAATTTATGTTATACTACAGGATATTGACAAGGGAAAGGAAAATAGGGGGGTACCGGACCTAGAACTGAGACCTATATCATGTGAAAGAGCATGAAAAGTTATGTCGAAACTAAAATTTTTAGCGGCCCAAAGTCATATAGTAAAAAGTTACAGTAATATAAAGTTTTTCCTATAAGATTTCTTATTAGGGAATATCCTGGAAAAAAGCGCCCAAAAGGACAGCGTAACGCTGTGTGTTTCTGTAGCCCAGTGGGTTGAAACCTAGCTTTATGTTCCAAAGGCTGAGGGTTCGAATCCCACTGCGGTCGCACTTTTGCCATCGCTTTGTTTTGATGCCTGCAGGTTTGCAAAAAAGTTGCAATTATTTTATTTTGTTAAAAAAAGCCTAATAAGAGTTTTTCAAGATTTTTATTTGTATATTCGTCAATTTGGATGGAAAATCAGGCAGTCCAAATATATTCGTTTTACTATACAGTGTTAAACTTTAAAAATTCCTTAACGCTTCAATTTTAACAAAGTAAAAGTTTTTTTTAATCAAAAAGCACATTAACGACTCTTAAAAAGGTTATTTTAAAGTTTCATTACAAAACACAAAAAAATATTTCTAAAAATTTTTTCCAAATAAATCCACAGGGGGGACCCTTTGGAATCTTGGAAAGTAGTAAACTTTGAATTACTGTAACTGTTTAGTATATGACTTTGGGCCGCTAAAAATTTTAATTTTTACATAACTTTTCACGCTCTTTCACATGATATATGTCTCAGTTCTAGGTCCGATACCCCCCTATTTGCCTTTCCCTTGTGAATTATATTTGATAGTTTATTATAAAATCTATTTTTAGGCCTAAATCTTTTGCAAAATCTTTGTGGGCGTGGGCCAAGCTTTTTGGAATAAAACATGTCGTTTGATGTTGGTGCGGATTAACATGGTTATAGATAGATAACCTTAAGACTAATTAGAGGTTTCCTCAAGCCGATTATTGTTTTACGTCAAGGAAAGCCTAATCTTGTCGTTGGGATAAGCTATAGGATTTCCGTGTGGATTTTGGTTTCTACCACGCTTTTTTATCATGCGCTTTGGTACTGTAAAGTTTTAGGTAATAAAATTCATATATTGTAAAGTTTTTGTTAATAAAGGTCACTTACTGTAAAATTTTGATAAGAAAAGCTATGTACTGTTAAATTTTAGGTAATAAAAGGCATGTACTGTAAGATTTTAGGTATTAAAAGTCGTGTACGGTAAATTTTTAGGTAATAAAAGCTACGTACTGTTAAAATTTAGGTAGCAAAAGCCATTTACTGTAAAGTTTTTTAAAAGTATTTGATTACTGTAACTAAAATAGATTTTCATAGGTTACTGTAACATTTTAAAGGCATGTTTTTTAAATTTAAAGTCAATTTTGCTAAAGTTTTGGCTTCATTTTTCCAACAAAACTGGCTTCACCCCCAGGCCTTCAAAACACTTCACTAAGCACATTTTGAAATGATTGAATCCAAAAGCTAAACCCTTCAAAAACATTAATCTCAATATCAATAACATGTGATATGAAAACATATTTAATTACTTTTGCTATTTGTGGCATGTTAATGTGTGTGCAAACGCTAAGCTTATTTCATCGCTAATTTATCTTATTTTAAAGATCTGGGACAAGGAAAAGTGGGCTTGCACGTTAATTTAGCGGACTTGCACGTTAAGTTAGGGGGCTTGAACCTTAAGTTAGGGGACTTGCACCTTATGTTAGGGGGCTTGCACGTTAAGTTAGGGGGCTTGCACCTTAAGTTAGGGGGCTTGCACCTTAAGTTAGGGGACTTGCACCTTAAGTTAGGGGACTTGCACCTTATGTTAGGGGGCTTGCACGTTAAGTTAGGGGGCTTGCACCTTAAGTTAGGGGACTTGCACGTTAAGTTAGGGGGGCTTGCACCTTAAGTTAGGGGACTTGCACCTTAAGTTAGGAGCTTGCACCTTATGTTAGGGGGGCTTGCACGTTAAGTTTGGGGTCTTGCACCTTAAGTTAGATTCTTGCACCTTAAGTTAGGGGGCTTGCACCTTATGTTAGATGGATTTGTAGGGTTTCTAGGGTACTGTATGTTATGTGTAGGACATTCAGGTATATTTTTTTGTGGTGAGTATAGTAGAACTTACGTATAATTCAAAGCCGGCATAGACCCAATATGTTTGTCAGACAAAGCAAATTCAAGTTGTTCACCATAGGTAAATTTAGGGATAGTAGGGAAAAAAGCTTTGCCACCATGTTCGGACCTCCAGATTCCGACCAAAAATGCCAAATGTTGAAGGTTGGCCGGGATGCGGCTTATGTCAAATTCTAGAATTTAAGATGTTAACGTAGGTCGGGGTCTCTTTCTTAGAATTAGGCTTTTTTAAAAGTTATAAACCATCAAACCTCAAAGTTTAAACCCACTTCTAGGCATATGCCGGCAGAATCCGCAAGATTTCCTGCAGCTTTGCTTAATGTAGACTGTTTTGTCACATATCGTTTTGTCTTGAGCTACCCAATCGTTACAGTTTGAGTCAAAGTCTTTGCAGTCTTCTGATGTCTCAATTTCACATAGTGTTAGGGGTACTATTAGGAGTAAACATAGGGTTGTTTTGAGGGGTATGGACATTCTGAAAATTTTGTAAGATTAAGTTTAAATTTGAAAATACAGTTTGTAAAATGAGGTTAAAACTTGAAAATAAATAACTCGGTATACGAATCGCTTGGGGATTTTAAATTTTTTCGTTATAAAAAATGTTTTGCGCGTTTGGCATGCCAAATCTTTCGTTGCGGGACCTAAGCTGGGACATTGAAGTTTTGATTAGGACCTCGGAGTCACGTGTGCCTGCCCGGTCCTTTTCAAATTTATTAAAGAGGGCCTTTGGCCAGCCCGGGCCAACCTGCCCAGATGCTGGCCCAAGCCTATTGGGTCCTCATCAAAGCCTTAAAGCCTCAAAAATTCCCCCCCCTCTTTCATTCTGTCTTTTAAACCAGCGACAAATTAAAATCACTACTTTACTACTGCTTTTAATTGCCACAGTAAGCCTTAATATCAAGGTTAAATCAATGGGTTTTACAAAGATTTCAAATCCAAACCCCCAGGCCAAAAACCACTACCCAACCGCCATCCCGAACCCGAAATTACGACGTAAAATGTCTATTTCCGAGTTACCTGAACCGTTTTTTTTTCACGTTTAACGCAAACGAAGGTATATTCTCGTTTTTTTCAAAAATTTTTAAAATTTTTGCGCCGCCCGACTTTCACTTTTTTTGTTTTTCTACGAATTCGAGTTTTGTAGGTTTAAAAAAGTTTGAATTGGTTACGAGTTTTTAATTGTAATAACAAGTGCGCTAACAATAACTAGTTTGTTTGCGTAATTATAATGAGGAGGGGGGGGTTTGAATTGGGGGAGGTGGTTTTTTGTAGGGTTGGTATTGTAATATTTGGGCCGGTTGATGATTTACGGGGTGGATTACAATAGAGTACGTTACAATGTTTTTGTTGATGTAGTAGGGCATAGCAAAAATATTATTATAGAATAGACAGGGCATTGTAAACATATTAAACTGAAAAATGGTATTAGGTCTATTCCTGTAATTTCCTGTAAAAAAGGCGGGTTCTTTATGTCGGCACCTAATACATATGTTAAATTAAGGCATGGTAAGATCTTAGATTTTCAAAGAACATGCATTCTTCACCGAAAATTTTGGTTTTTTGGACTAAACCTGGCTTGACCGAGGGCTTGAGCTTTTTGGTTCAATACATTATAATCCTGGTTTTAGGCCGCACTGATAAAAAAATTAAAAGACTGACCGAAAAATTTGGTCTACTTGGGTTTTAAAAAAGTTTTTACTTTAGAGAAACGACTACTTTGTACAAAATTTGTTGTAGTACGTATTAAAATTAAAAAATTTACAATTTTAAACCTGATTTAAGGGATGCACTTTTCATTTCTAAAGCTGGTTCGAAGGATTTGCTTTAAAACCACTTCTAGAAATGGGTTTTAAAACTGCTTAAAGAGCTTTATACTACTTATACTGAAAATTGTACGAGATTCTAAGAGGATACAGTTACTTTGCCTTGAATAATAGCTATTAAGAAGCCTTAACGGTAAGTGGAAGAAGGTAGGGTCGAGTAGGGTAGAAAGTACGATGGGGTAAAGTAGGGAATGTTAGGTTAGGATAGCTTCAGGTATTCACAGGGTAGGCTTTAATCTACCATTTGGGCATTTGGTATGGTAGATTAAAGTAAGGTATAGTAAGGTGTGGTTGGGTACGACCTGTTAGAATAGGGTAAGATATGATCAGTAGGATAAGGTATGGTACTGTACGAGTAAAGTACGTTAATGGAGGTTTTTTTGATGCTGTTTCTATAAAGCAAACTTTACATGAAGCCTAGCGCTACCGGTCTTTAAAAATCTATTAGGTGCCGACATAAAGAACCCGCCTTTTTTTACAGGAAAAGTATGGCGGGTTCTTTATGTCGGCACCTAATACCCCGCTGAACAATAAAAAACAAAAACATATTGAAATGATACGTTTATTATTAAATTTGCAACGTTTTTTTTTCAAAACCTAATAAGTTAATTAACATTATGAGCCTAAAAGTAATGTACAATATAGAAATCTACATAATCAGCCTACCCACAAGAATCAGTTTAGAAACTGTGAGCTGTTTATGGTTTGTGTTTCCTGATGAAATTGATTTGTAATCCTGTAGTTGTGTCCATGGTTTGGTCGTGGTTGAGGTTCTTTTTTCGCACAAAGCCGTCTTCGCCGCGGATAGGGGAGGCTAGTTTGCCGCAGGCTCTGTAGCCAACCTAAATTTTTTTTAAAATTTTATTTTTTGTAAAAAAATTAAGTTTTTAAAGTTGCATTTTTTATTGCTGTGTCAAATTTTTCGAAAATCATTGTTTCTATTGCGCAATAAAAATTTTTTAAAATTTGCACTGTGCAATCAATTTGGTGGCTGCACGGTGCAGTGAGTTTGTTGACTGCACGGTGCAATCAATTTGGCGACTGCACGGTGCAACAAACAAAACCCGCACGGTGCAGTCAATTTAGTGCGAAATTATAAAATTTTTGAAAATGACACAAAGTATGAAATTTAAACCTTCACTTTTAAATCGATATTTTTTTTAATTTCTATTTTCAGTGCGAAATAAGTTTTTAAAAGGCTGCACGGTGCAGTCAGTTTAACGACTGCACGGTGCATAAATTGAAGAATAAAAAGCGGCGCAGTGGGACTTTTAAATAGGTCAAATAAAATTTTAAAAAATTTTAATTTTTTTGCAAATCCCTTAAAAACTTACTTTATCATCATGAGTCGAAAAGATGCTGAAGGTATGAGATCCTTCGTATCTTTGCTGACTATTAATGTCGGCCAAGAATTCGGAATCACAATGAAGGCCGTTTTTGCGATTACAAGTACCAACAGGTATTGGTACAAAGCATAAAGTCGTGCCAGAGTTGGAGCCGGCTACACTTAAGAAGGTATCGACCAGCTCTGTTATTGGAGGGCCGATCACTTCTCTAGTGTCGACACATAGACCACCCATTACTGCTTTACGTGCTATTGGGGAGCCCATTGAGTAGGCGATTATATCAACTTTGTCACCAATGTACTCGTACACGGCTATTATTAGGCTTCTGAATAGGGGAGATTACTGTAGTTTTTGATAAAGTTTCGAGTAGGGTAGGCTGAGGAGAGGTAAACTAGAGTACAATATGGTGAGGTAGGGTAGGGTAGGGTAGGGTAGGGTAGGGTAGGGTAGGGTACGGTAAGGCAGGGTAGGGTACGGTACGGTAAGGTAGGTTAGAGTAGGGCAGGGTAAGATATGGTACGGTAAGTTAGAGTAGGGCAGGATAGAGTATGGTATGATAGGGTAGGTAAGGGTTTACCTGATCTGCTTAACGTATTCACACTTCATTTCTACCAATCCAGCTGGCGTAGTACCTCCATCGCCATAAGTAGTACCAAATACTCCACCTTTGTAGCCATGTTTTCGTAATTCATTCACTGTGTGCTGAAAATGGCAGGGATATATATCATTACCCATACACTTGCCCCAATTTCTACCCTTACTCTTACCTCTATCCCTACCCTTATTTCTACCCCTACTCTTAACTCTACCCCTCTCTCATAACCTACCCTTCTTGAAAACGTCCTACCCTGTTTTAAATGCCCTACCCTACCCTAAAACGCCCAATCTTATCTTGAAAACCCTTACCCTGGCTTACCCTGAACGCTAGTCCTTTTAAAATACTCTGCACCCACATAAAATTGTTATTTTTACAAAACCCACGCCTTACCTGAAACCTGGAAACCTTGTTAGTAATGCCATGGACAATGATGACTGGTTGGCCTCTGTAGCGGCCTTCGCCGGCTTCATTGCCTCCGAATGATGCGTCTTCTCCAATGTCAAGCCGCTCCAGCTTCTGCGCGATCTCAAGGCCGTAGCGATTGTGGACGAAGGCGCGGAAATCGCCGCCGAAGCGGGCTGATATCAGTGGCAGTAGGAGAAGGGTGAAAAGTAAAAAGTTCGATGACGCAACGCGAATTCTTGTCATTTTTAGAGGGTTAGTGGAGTTGACATTAAAATCGCTGAAAATCTCAAAATTAGAAAAGATAGTATAATAAAAATTGTAGAGTAGAAAAGAGGGGGAGGAGGAGGGGGGGGGGAGCATTAGGGTAGGAAAGGTAGGGCAGATTATGGTAGAGCAAAGTAAGATACGATAAGGTAGGGTAAAGTAAGGTAGGTATGGCAGGATTGGGTGAGGTAGGGTAGGAGAAGATAAATCCTACCTTACCTTGCCCTAATACTAACTATTATTCTAGGCTTAGCGCCGGACCCTCTAGGCTTAAAATAAATACAATCTTAAGCTTAGAAACCCAATTTTAAGCTTAGTACTAGATCTAAAAGAGGGCAAACTGGGCCTAGCCTTGGACCCGAACCAAAACAAATTTGCGAAGGGCTGGGCCGGAAGGTATGACACAGCCCGGCTTTACAGGTCTACCTCGTTCAGACTTTTAGGTTTAATACAGCATTTTAGGCTTACGTATAATTTTAGGTTTGTTTTATTTTACCTTACCTAGTATTTTGTTCTTTTCTAACCTAGTTTTCCCTACCTTACCTTGCCCTACACAATGAAAATTTACTTTATCCTACCTTAGCCTACCTTACCCATTTCTACCCTACTCTGTCCTACCCTACCCTATCTAACCCTACCCTACCTTACCCTATCCTACCCTACTCTGTCCTACCCTACCCTATCTAACCCTACCCTCGCTTCTTGTTTTTTCCTTATAGGCTCAAACTGCTCGCTCTACCCAAGTTACAATGTCGATAGAACTGTCACAGTAAAAGAAACAAAAAAAGGTGTAAATGCCCAGTAAAACAGATAAAAAAGGGTTGCAAAGAGTAAAAGTAAAGTTTTGGTGGATCGCCTTTTCACGCATAGAAATGAGTCTTAAAGAAGCTCCACAAAACCAGATCTTTCGAATCACTCGGATATTAAAAAAGCCCCCACCTCGATTTTATTGTAGTCAGTGGGTGAGGGAAAGTCATGTGGGAAAAGGTGCGACATAACGTGTATGGGGTGATATGTTATGACATAAAAAGGACTTGTTTTGAGTTTTAACTTATTTTAAAAATTTAAAAAAGTAGATTTTAAGGCTAGGGCAAGTTGTGAGCGTAAGGTGAATTTTAAGGACGGGGCAGCTTATAAAAGTAGAGTAAATTTTAAAAAGGTAGCGGAAATTATGAGAGAACGATAAAACTTAAAGGCAATAAAGATTATTAGGGTAGGGTAAATTTAAATGGAAAAGTAGGTCATGAAGGCGGGGTAAATTTTCAAGACAATGCAGATTATGAGGGCGGGGTAAATTTTTAGGCAGAGCAGGTTATGAAGGTAGGGTAAATCATAAAGGTAGGGTAAATTTTTAAGGCGGGACAAGTTGTGAGGTTAGGGTAAGGTAGAGTAGGGCAGTATAGGGTAAAACAAGGAAAGGTAAGGTAGGATAGGGTACGGTAGGGTAGGGTAGGGTAGGGTAGGGTAGGGTAGGGTAGGGTAGGGTAGGGTAGGGTAGCGTAGGGTAGGGTAGGGTAGGGTAGGGTAAAAATGTGTGACAAAACAATACTTAAATATATGTTGTCATTGCATTGTACTAATCAGCTGAACACATATTGTAAAACGGTACTGAGAACGATGCATGGAAACAAACTGACCATAAAATGACATTTGTTCAAACATCACATAGCATTCTTGGATGGACATGAAAATCTAAAATAATATACATTTTTTTGTTTTGTAAGGAAAGTTCTTGCTATTTTATGTTTTGGAAAGAAAGTTCTTGCCATTTTATTCTTTGAAAAGAAAGTTCTTGCCATTTTTTGTTTTTTAAAGAAAGTTCTTGTCATTTTTTGATTTGTAAAGAAAGTTTTTGCCATTTTATGTTTTGTAAGGAAAGTTCTTGCCTTTTTTTGTTTTGTAAAAGAAGTTCTTGCTATTTTTTGTTTTGTAAAGGAAGTTCTTGTTATTTTTTCTTTTGTAAAGAAAGTTCTTGCTATTTTTTATTTTTAGTCATTTACAAAACCGTAACATTCACTTCCTCCGTGCCAAAGTGTAAAAGCACCGGAAAAGTGGGTACGATAAGCCGTTCGTTGCTAATCTTTTATTCAACCCCCACTAATCCATTGGCAAATCTTATGTAATCCTACCAAAGATATCACATTCGAATATTGAAAAGTGAAGATTAGGTATGTAACATCTAATAGAATGTGAGGACATAATGATATAGAGGTGCATACCTACTCTATCCTAGTTTGTCTTACCGTACCCTACCCTATTCTACCCTATTTTACTCTACCCTACTCTACCCAACCCTACCCTACCCTACCCTACCCTACCCTACCCTACCCTACCCTACCCTACCCTACCCTACCCTACCCTACCCTACCCTACCCTACCCTACCCTACCCTACCCTACCCTACCCTACCCTACCCTACCCTACCCTACCCTACCCTACTCTACTAACCTACCATAACTACTCAACCTTACTAACCTACCTTACTCTACCTTACCCTACCGTACATTACTGTATTTTACCCTGCCCTATCTTAATCTACGCAGCCCGATCTTACTGTACCCTATTGTACCCTAGAGTATCGCACCTTACCTTACTTTGCACTATTGTATCATACCTTACCCTATCTTACCGTACCCTGCACTATTGTATCCTAGCGTACCGTACCTGACCTCACTCTACTGCAGTACACATACACACACACCAAAGGCATTATATGTAATAGGTTATACATCAGGCAAACTATGACATACATACACACATCGTACACATATACACATACACACACACAGACTTATACACATACTACAGAACACAGAATAAAAAAAACATCAGTTAAGCCGCTAAACCCCTAAAAACCAAATTTCATCCTTCCCCCTGCCCTCACCTTCTATCCCTCCTTAATCCAGCCACGCCCATTTTACACCAATATATAAGAAAATCCAAGCCAACATACGAAGTGTAATCGCAGTATGATCGTATCACTGGTCGCCGTGCTTGGTCTTATTGCCGCATTCACCGCGGCCGCGCCCGCCGCTCCCGTTCCGCAGCCACCGCACATGCGCAACTTCGAACTACCCGCCCGACAACCCTACGAAAACTTCCAACCCATGCCCGTGGCACCCTTTAAACGCAGTAAGTTTTGAATATTTTTAGTTTTTGAGGAGTTTGACGAAGTGTCACAAAATCTATTGGAAAAGTGAACGAAGTGTCACAAATAAAAAAAAATGAAAAAGAAACGTTTTTGAAAGTAAAAATAAGTCTTTAAGCAATAAAGAGTTATTTTAAAACATCTTTTGAAAATTTGACGAAATGTCACTAAAATTATTGGAAAAGTGAACGAAGTGTCACAAATAAAAATTTTAATTTTTTGGTAAAAAGGCGTTAACACCACACAATTTTCACAGTAAAAACAAAATTTTAGGCTTAAATTTTATTTTTTAATGTTTATAGTAGATTCGACGAAATGACATAAAAATTATTGGTTTTTTAAAAATTGTTTATAAATCACCTAACTGTTGAAATTAAAGTTGCGACAGTAAAATAAGATTAAAAACATAAAAAAACTTTTTTATCGACCAGTCGTATATATTTTGTCATTGCAGGTCCATTCCCCGAGTACATGAACGCCGCACCCATGCCTCCAGCCATGGCGTTCGCCCCCTTCCCACCCCAAGCATTTGGCCCACGCCCGTTCGAAATGGTTCCACCCGCTTCGAACGCTTATTACGGATTCCGCAGCTTCTAAATTCGTACCATATCTCAATTGTCATTGTTTCATCCGAGTCGCTATATACGTGTCCAACAGTGTTATTGTAACTTACAAATTGTATAGACAAACTTTTATTCTAGGAACAATAAATGTTATTCTGTTAAGATAAGGTGAAATTATAGGTTTTTAAAATGAGTTTTTGGGTAAAAACTAAAAAAAAATGACTAACAAGGAGCTTTTTATAATGTATAATACGTCATGAGCTTCCTCTCGTTAAAATCTTGACTCTGCACTCGATGACTCTCCTCAGTAATTTTGAGCGGATACAAGTGAATAAATTAACAATGAAAGTCCTGCCCCGCTCTGATTGACTTCAAACTTTTTATAAAGAAAAATCATGTAAATATGAGATCTACAGCAAAGTACTAAATCGCGTTTTCCAGGAAATCTCGAGAAAATCGAGATTAAAAACGACATTTTGAATTTCCCGCCAGGTTGGCATTGTGTTTCAAGCTTATAACTTTGCCTTTTTTTTACTTTTAAGAATTCTTCTTTGATATACTAGTAGAAAACCTTTAAATAAACCTAATTTTTTTAATTTGTAAGCGTAGCTTATCTGAAAAGTTGAAAAAATTGCTTGCTACACAATGCCAACTTTGCCAAATTAGCGGAAAACTAAAATATTTTTAAAACTTAAAACTGCGAGTTTAAATTTTTTATGTATACTATTGGTAGTACAAGGAACTCATATAAAAATTTCTGCTGATTCTGAACGGTGCAGTTTGGGTACTTTCCGTGTAAATTCAGTATTATTTTAGTTAGAAATCAGGCAAAAGTCAAAAATATCGTTGAAATCTTCAATTTATATAATATTTCTAAAATTTTTAAAATTTTTTTAAAATTTTTTTAAATTTAAGTTGGTTTGCTTTTTTAAGTATTACCTACCTAATAACACCATTACAATAAAATATGAGCCAATACAAAGGACCTTCAAAACGCGCGCCATGATAGCTCAGTTAGGAGAGCGTTAGACTGAAGATCTAAATGTCACCGGTTCGATCCCGGTGTGGCAGCTGGCTTCTCGGAGCTTTTTTGGGCTTTTTGAGTGTTTTTAGGTAACAAATTAGATTTAAAATGATTTTTTTTAAACTTAAAATATTTTTTTACTATACAATAAAAAATGGCAGTTTTTTATAATTTTTTATATAGATTTTATAAAGAATTGTTGATACTTTACTATTGTTGTAGTTTGTTTATCATTAAAATACAGTAATACAGCATATATACAGTAAGTTCCAACGTATACACTCTGATAAGTATCATAGTATAGTGTTAATATTAGTAACTTTAATGAGCTTTATGTCTCGACGTTCCCAATTGAACCACTTTTCTTGTCTTAGCCGTCTGATTCTTGCCCTGGCCCTTGAGCTGTTCGGCCGACATCATTTGGCCACTTTTTGGTACAGAATTGAAGAAGGCCAAAAGGCCAAGGACGGACTGTTCCAGGCGACGAGAATCATATATATGTTCTGACATTTCGTCTATCAGCATCTCGAAGTGCTTGAGGCGACGTTGGTGGGCATGACGCTGAAATTGCAAGAACTTTCTTTACAAAACAAAAAATGGCAAGAACTTTTTTTACAAAGTGAAAAATTGCAAGAACTTTCTTTACAAAATACAAAATAGCAATAACTTTCTTTACAAGATAAAAAAAGGCAAGAACTTTCTTTACAAACTGAAAAATGGCAAGAACTTTCTTTACAAAAGACAAATGAGACGATTTATACATCTATCGTATAACTTGTCGCCTGCAGCCTGCAGTTAGTCAGATAGCTTAAAATCATCTTTTTAGCTGTTAAAAATTGACTTAAACTTATAAAAAAGAGCAAGGACTTTTTTTAAAACACCCAAATAACATTTAAAAAAAATGAAAATTTAATGGAAGATTTATAATGTATTTTGCAATGAAAACCTTCCACTTAACTTTCACTTTTTAAATGTCTTATAATGACTTAAAAACACGTTTTTGACAACTTTTGAAAGTGGAAGTTTTGTGGAAGATTTTCAGTGCAAAATACATTACAAATCTTCCACTCAACTTCCACTTGTAAAAACCTCAAAACTGATGGTTTTAGGCAATTTTAAGATTTTTTGAAAATGGAAGGTTCGTGAAAAATTTGTAATGTATTTTGCACTGAAAATCTTCCACTCAAATTCCACTTTTAAAAGTTGTCATTTGGGGTGCTGTAGCGAAAGTTCTTGCCATTTTGTGTTTTGTAAAGAAATTTCTTGCCATCTTGTGTTTTGTAAAGAAAGTTCTTGCCGTTTTCTGTTGTGTAAAGAAAGTTCTTGCCATTTGTTAAACTTCTGCCAATATTAATGCTACCTTACCAAAGTCTTTTCCTTTTCCAGCTCGCTAGCCAACAAACGTTGTTTTTGTTTCAAAACTTCGAATTCTTTGTTCCTTTCCTCAAGTTTCTTCATGGATTCGATTGTTTTTTGGTTTTCTTCTGTCATGGCTTTCATTACATGTTCTAATTCATCTCTTGCTTTGTCCAATTCTTCTTGAGTATTGGCTAATTCTGTTCGGACGTCGGCCGTCTGGGAGTCCGACTTCTCTCGGGCTTCTTTTTCACGAAGTAGGTAGGCCTAAAATTTAAGAAATAAGCCTAAAATGACAAAAATAGGCCTAAAATTAGGAAAATAAGCCTATGATTAAAAAACATAAAGATAAGATGAATAAAATAAGCCTAAATCGACAAAATTAGGCCTAAAATTAGGAAAATAAGACTAGGGTTAATAAAACATAAAGCTAAGATGAGTAATATAAGCCTACCTTCTAAAAACCTAGGCTTAAACGTAGTAAATAGAAGCCTAAGTAAATTAGGGATAAGTTAAGATAGAGTAAGGTGAGGTAGAAACTGAGTACAGCTATAAAGCGGGGCTAGAGCAGGGTAGGGCTAGAGTAAAGTAGAGCTAGAGTGGGGAGGGGGGTAAGGTAGTAGGGCTAGAGATAGAACAGAGAAGAGCTATTAGGTTGTTCACATAATTCTGCGCTCCGTACCCCACAAATTAGCTTTGTGGAGAGGCGCAGAATTAAGTGAACAACCTAATAAAACAAGTTAAAGCCAAGACACGGTAGGGGTAACGTAGGGCTAGGGTGGGGTAAGGCTAGGAAACAGTAGAGTAGGGTAGGGTAGAGTAGGGTAAGTTAAGGTCCTGTAGGGTAAGGTAGGGTAGGATAGGATAGGATAGGGTAGGGTAGGGTAGGGTAGGGTAGGGTAGGGTAGGGTAGGGTAGGGTAAGGTAGGGTAGGGTAGGGTAGGGTAGGGTAGGGTAGGGTAGGGTAGGGTAGGGTAGGGTAGGGTAGGGTAGGGTAGGGTAGGGTAGGGTAGGGTAAGGTAGGATAGGGTAGGGTAGGGTAGGGTAGGGTTTACCTTGAGTTGCTTGATCTGGTTCACGTTCTCTTTGCTCTCATCATGTGCTTTTTGTTTCATTTTGGCCAAATTTTGTTCATAGATCTTCCTCTCGTCACTTCTCTTTGTCATCAATACCTCCACCCCCTTCTCCAGCTTGTGTTTATCGTATTTTAGTTGTTTTATCTCCTGTAACAGTCCATTTTGAAGATTATTCCACTGTTTTTCTTCTTTTTTGAAGCTTTCTTTCATTTCGACCAGTTTTTCTTTGAAATCTTCTTCAACACTCTCGATTCGTTGTTGGTTTAGCTCGTCTTTCTCTAACGAACCTCTGAAACATGTTATAATAGGTATAGAAATACAAGAAAAAATTTTTTAAATAATACAGTACCAAGTGTACCATTAATACCATTAGTACTAATTTTAATTTTTTAAAGTTTTTAATATTGAAATAAACCTATATTTATAAATTTTAAAGTTTTTTAGCAGTAAAGATATTTAAAAAACAAAAAAACATGTTTTATCGTATAAGATGTCTCACGAAGGCTGCAGTTGACAAAAAACTTATCATAAGAATCGAAAAACTAAATAATAATTAGTTTTATCACTAAAATCTCTTAATTATTCATTTATTACACTAAACGATAAATTAAAAGGATTCATTTATTACACGTAAAGTCGGGACATGTTTGATCGTATAAAATTTCCCGCGCAGGTTGCAAATAGCAAAAAACTGACTAAAAGCGTTAAAAAACAAACTAAGTATAGTTTAGTTGTCACTACAGCACTTTAAACATTCAATTTTTTAAAAGTATTGACCGGGACATGTTTCATCGTATAACATGTCTCGCGCAGCCTGCAGAACGCAAAAACAGCAAAAAATGACGCAATATATGGTTAATTTTGATTAAATTTTAATTAAATGGTAATACAAAAACAAATTTTAAAAATTTTTGGTAGTTTTTTTCATTTCAGACCTACTTGATTTGGTCATTGACCAATTTTTCGTAATATTGCTTTTGGCTCTCCACTTGTTCGTCCATTTCCTTTTTCATTTTTGCGAATGCTTCTTCTTTACTGGCTTCAATGGCTTCGTATTTTTCTTCTGCTCTCTGTAAATTGTCATTTTTAAAATTTTTTTAATCAAAAAAATTAAATAATTTTCTTTTAATTAAAAACTTTTTCGAAATTCGTATTTTAGCTTCAATTTACCTTCATTTTCTCTCTCATAGCCAATAATGTCGTTTCCAATTCGGTTTTTAAGTCTGTGATTTCACCTTCTTTCATTTGTTTGTATTCGTCTAACACACCGGCAGATTGCGCCCGAATCAAGTTGCATTGAACTTTTAGGTTTTTTATTTCTGTTTCCTTAAAATGGCAAAGTAAAAGTATAGTTTTCAAATATAAAGTGATATATTAAATAAAAACACAATATTTTATTGAAAAATCCAAAAAAAAAAATATTTGTGACACTTCGTTCACTTTTTCAATAAATTTTGTGACATTTCCTCAACTGTCAAAAAATGCCGCTTTATAAAATAAATACTAACTCAAATAAGTTTAAAATTGCTTAAAAATGCTTTTTAGGCGGTTTTTAAAAAATCGATATTTTTTGTGACATTTCGTCAAATTTTGAAGAACTCATTTTTTGGGTGACAAATGCATATAAATGCAATTTTAAACTGTAATTCGTTTTAAAAACGATATTTACAAGTCTTTAAAAAACCAATAAATTTAGTGACACTTCGTCAAATTAAAAAAAAACCAATTAATTTTGTGACTTTTCGTCAAATTTTTACAAAACTCCTTTTTCTCGTTAAAAAATGTCTTACTCTATATTACCCTACTCTACCCTACCCTACCTAACCCAACCCTACCCTACCCTACCTTGCCCTACCCCACCCCCACTTACAAGTTGTTGTAGCCTAGAAACAGCACAAAGAACATAGTCATTTGAATAGACGGTAGTGTCATTATCTTTGTCATCAGCTGCAATTACATTGAAACACACCACCCTGCCATCTTCAAAGCCCACGAAGAGTTGATCTTGAGCTGGGTCATGATATAAAGTAGTTACAGTATCCTTATTAGGGCAGTTGATTAGATATGTTTGGTCAGGATTGTCAATATCAACCTTGTTAACATTGCCACCACTAGAGGCTACGAAATGAACAGATTCTGTAGTCAGAAGTGCTGTTGAGTTGGCTTTCAGAGAGATGCCTTCTTGATGCACGTTGGTGGCTTCTAACTCTTTACCGTTCTGTAGCCGTGTCATCATGAATTTGTTACCCATCACGTATACGGTGTCTTTGTAGCAAGATAGGTCAACAAAGAAGCGAAGTTTGAAGTCAATCGTCCAGAGGAGACGTCCTGAAGGTAGATATTTATGTTTAATAGGTCGGACGAGCGGGCAGGTGGGGTATTTTAGTGTAGACAGGAAGGGGATAGAGGCATACGCGGGAGGGGGAGAGGGAGACTACAGCAATTCAATGCTAGGGCTATTGTAAATTAGTAAGATAAGGTTAGGTCATGTCAGGACTATTTAGAGTAAGGCATAACAGAAAAACAATGGTTGGGTAAGACTAAGCTGGGTTGCCCTGGGTTGGCCTGAGTTGGACTGGCTTTGCCTGGTTTGGCCTGGGTTGAGCTGGTATAGACTAGGCTAGGCTAGATTTGGCCGGTCTGGGTTAGGCTAACTTGAGCTACGCTACGCATGGCTGAACTGAGCTAGGCTTATTTAAGCAGAGCTAGACTAAGCTCTCGTTAAGGCTCCGACTCCGGCTCAAGCTCAAGCTCAAACTCAGGCTCAGGCTCAGGCTCAAGCTCAAGCTCAAGCTCAAGCTCAAGCTCAGGCTCAAGCTCAAGCTCAGGCTCAGGCTCAAGCTCACACTCAGGCTCAGGCTCAGGCTCAAGCTCAAACTCAGGCTCAAGCTCAGGCTCAAGCTCAGGCTCAGGCTCAGGCTCACACTCAGGCTCAGGCTCAGGCTCAAGCTCAAACTCAGGCTCACACTCAGCTTCAGGCTCAAGCTCAGGCTCACAGTCATCCTCAGGCTAAGGCTCAAGCACATAAGCTAAAAATAGAACAATAAACCCACCTTCAATAACATCAATCAAGCAAACCGTGTCGTTGTTAGACAAGCAAGCAATCGTACTGTCGTCCGCCGACCATCTCAGGGCTACCACACTCTAAAACAGTCGAGTATAGGGCTACGTGACTTTTTTACCACAGTGTTTCTAACAATAAGTCTGTCATAAGGCTGTTGAATAAACAAAAAATATTTGTTGGAAAAAAGCTTTGGCATTAAAATTGGAAAAAGCCCTTAGGCAGAAATGCCAAAAAATATTCTTTTTCGCTAATAAACAATCGTAAAAATGCACTTTTCATTTTTTAGAAGTATAAAAGTAATCATACCTCTTTAGAACCAACAATGACATAACACGTTTTTCGAAACGTATCCATGTCTAATATGTACAAGGTGTCTGTAGTTAGTAAGGCCAGTTTCGTAGCTTGAATGTTTTGCGACATCTGATCGTACAGTTACTTTTAAATAGAGCATTGTAAGGTAAGGTCATAAGCAAGGCAAGGCTATCTTGGGCTACGCTACCCATGGCTGGACTGAGCTTGGCTTACTTAGACAGGGCTGGGCTAAGGCTAGAGCTAGAGCTAGGGCTAGGGCTAGGGCTAGGGCTAGGGCTAGGGCTAGGGCTAGGGCTAGGGCTAGGACTAGGGCTAGGGCTAATTTAACAACATACCGCTTGAAATAGATGGCTTTCTTTTGTCTTCATAACTACCGCATCTTTGACCAAACTTCTACACAATATCCAATATTGTTGCAGCTTCTCCGAGGTTAGCAGTAACACTTTGTTACCTCCTTTCAGCATTACTCCACTTATAATTTCATCGTTTAGGTGTGTTGCTAGCAATTTTCTAAAAGTAATTCGTGATTAAAAAATTAATATTATTCTGAAACTACAACGTATTTTACAATATAATGATTATTTTTAATAAAATTTGTAAAAGCGACATGTTATACGATAAAACATGTACTTTCGTATAACATGTCACCTATAAATTCAAATATTAAAAAATAGTTCTTTTCAATAAAAACTAAGCTTTAAAATCACGTTCAACCATATTTTTGCCATATTTCAACATATGTCTGTAAAAAGTGACATGTTATACTATGAAACATGTTTTATCGTATAATATGTCACCTTCGATTCAAAAAAGTAAAAAATTAAAATTTTTTATCAAAGTGTAGGCTTAAAATAATTTTCAAACATAATTTTACTATGTTTTAAAAAATATGCTCAAAAAGCGACATGTTATACGATGAAACATGTTTTATCGTATAAAATGTCTCTTCTAATTTCAAAAAAAACAAAAATTTTAAGTGAATACTAACCTGAAAAATCATTTGTAGCCATAAATTTACATAGCTTTACTAAGTTTTAAAAAATATGCTTAAAAAGCGACATGTTATACGCTGAAACATGTTTTATCGTATAACATGCCCCCCCCCCAAAATTTTTAATTCAATTTTTGGTCAAAAATTATATTATTCTAAGCCATTAAACTCTAAAAACTCCAATTTTCAAAAATCTTTAGACGAAGTTACAGTACCACTTACTTGGTGACCCCACTACTGACAATAACCAGTCCACTTTCATCGATTGTCATGACATTCTTTGTTGCACCAAAGTCACTACTAATACACTTAACCTTCTTAGCATGCTGTGCCAACACCAATCGCATGCCATCCCGGCAGACGGCTTCAATATACTGTATGTTACAGTACCACAGGCTTTCCGAATCTACGTAAAATAGGTTTTGACCGGTCGGATCCAGGCACAACTGACTACAGTAGGATTTACTGTGCAGTGAGTCGATTACAATGGCTCGGGAGTTCTTCCAACGATTCGTGGATTCCTCGTCGGAGCGAGGTGGGAAGATGAAGATGACACCGATCTCGACGCAGACGACTAGGCCGGAGTCGCTGGAGCTCATCTTGATCACCCCTGCCTTGTTCGACTTCTGGGCGTCGGCTATTAGCCTAAAAATTGTTAGTTATAGGCTTAAAAATCCAATATTAGCTAAACTATAAACTCAAAAAAGGCGGGTAGGGTGAGGTAGAATTAGGGTAAAGTAGTAGTAGAGATTGCGGTAGAGCAAAGTAGGGCATGATCAAGAGTAGGCTAGGGTACAGTAAGGTCGGGTAAAAAGATAAAAAGAAGAAGAAGGGGGGGGGGAATGAAAAGGGTATGTCTGTCATAGAAATACAGTAAGAACTTCGCATAGAATAAGTCAGAGGTACTGTAGAATTCGAGTTCATCAAAAAACTTTTAAAATAAGCCAAGGTTAGTGTAGAGTAAATAAGTGTAAAGTAGGGTTCATAAAGGTACTGGGGTACTGTAGGGCAAAAAAAGGCCGAGGTGGGTATTGTAAGGTAGGTTAAGAATAGAAAGTGTACTGTAGGATAGGACATTGTGTGGCAGAAGGTGTAAGGGTACTGTAGGTTAAGTTGAGCTTGCTAAGGGTATGATACGGTAGGGCGAAGTAGGGTAAGGTAAGGTAGGTTAGGGTAGGGTAGGGTAGGGTAGGGTAGGATAGGGTAGGGTAGGGCAGGGTAGGGTAGGGTAGGGTAGGGTAGGGTAGGGTAGGGTAGGGTAGGGTAGGGTAGGGTAGGGTAGGGTAGGGTAGGGTAGGATAGGGTAGGGTAGGGTAGCTTACTTTCCATGCATTTTACCAAGGTCGATGGCTTCCAAAGCGATGCTTTCTCTATATAACAACAATTTGCCTTCTGAGCTGCCAAAAGCTAATGTAACATCATCGGCCCAGGCATGACAAGTGAAGATATCGGCCTGAAAAGTTTGTTTTTACTATGACATCATAAAAATAACGGCATTTTTTACTTTCTTTTTCAATAAAAAAAGTCTTGTCGCCGATCTCAGTGTATTTTCATAGTCAAAAGCGACAAGAATTTTTAGACCCTCCAAATGCCTAACTATATGACAAAACATACCTTAACCGTACTAAAGATCAATAGTTGACCAGGAATGATGCGATATAGGTTGGCTGACTCGTCTGTCAACAAACATACGACGTCTTCGTCGGCCGGACAAAGTGAAATTTCGAATTTCGAACTTTTCTTTTCCAACTCGTATTTTACTTCGGCAAAAATCTTGCCATCTTCTATTGTATATGCTGTCAATCTGACGATAGTTTTGGCTTGATCTACTTCCATTAATACTACTTTTTTGCCATCTGGGGTTATCAGTAGCTGGGTGGCTACTAGGCTTAAAAATATTATGTTTTAGGCTTGTTTTAGGCTTGTTTAAGACTTATTTCAAACTTGAAATTAACCTTGTCTTAGGCTTGAATAAAGCTTATTTTAGGCGTAGATAAGGCTTATGCTAGGCTTAAATTGAGCTTTGTTTAAGCTTAAATTAAACTTATTTTAAACTTACATTAGGCTTATTATAAGATTAAAGTAGACTTATTTTAGGCTTATAATGAGCTTTGTTTAAGCTTAAATTAAACTTATTTTAAACTTACATTAGGCTTATTATAAGATTAAAGTAGACTTATTTTAGGCTTATATTGAGCTTTGTTTAGGCTTAAATTAAACTTATTTTAGGCTTTCATTAGAATTATTATAAGCTTGAAAGTAAGCCTATTTTAAGCTTGAATTGGGCTTAAAATAAGCTTAAAATGAGCTTTGTTTAGGCTTGAATTTAACTTATATTAGGCTTAAATCAAGCTTATTTTAGGCATTTTATATAGGCTTACATACAGCTTTTTTAAGCTCAAATTAAAATTATTTTAGGCTTAAACCAGCGTTTTTTAGGCTTGGACTAAGGTTTCTTTAGCCCGAGAACCCTAGCCCGAGAGCCCTAGCCCGAGAGCCCTAGCCTAGAGCCCTAGTCCAGAGCCCTAATCCGAGAGCCCTAGCCCGAGAGCGCTAGCCCGAGAGCCCTATCCCGGGAGCCCTAGCCCGAGAGCCCTAGCCCGAGAGCCCTAGCCCGAGAGCCCTAGCCCGAGAGCCCTAGCCCGAGAGCCCTAGCCCAAGAGCCCTAGCCCGAGAGCCCTAGCCCGAGAGCCCCAGCCCAAGAGCCCTAGCCCGAGAGCCCTAGCCCGAGAGCCCTAGCCCAAGAGCCCTAGCCCGAGAGCCCTAGCCTAGAGCCCTAGTCCAGAGCCCTAATCCGAGAGCCCTAGCCCGAGAGCGCTAGCCCGAGAGCCCTATCCCGGGAGCCCTAGCCCGAGAGCCCTAGCCCGAGAGCCCTAGCCCGAGAGCCCTAGCCCGAGAGCCCTAGCCCGAGAGCCCTAGCCCAAGAGCCCTAGCCCGAGAGCCCCTAGCCCGAGAGCCCCAGCCCAAGAGCCCTAGCCCGAGAGCCCTAGCCCGAGAGCCCTAGCCCAAGAGCCCTAGCCCGAGAGCCCTAGCCCGAGAGCCCTAGCCCGAGAGCCCTAGCCCGAGAGCCCTAGCCCAGAGTTCTAGCCTAAATCCCTAGCCTTAGTCCTAGTTTTAGTCCTGGTCGTAATCCTAGTCCATAAAATTCCAAATCATCAAAAAGTCTTACCCAACAATGAAGCTCTTGTGAGTGACATTAACATTCTTAATCGACTTCACAAACAGTGTAGCACCTCGACGATAATCGACCACCACCACCAACATGTCATTGTTTTCATTGATGCCAATCGACGTGATACGACCACTCATGTCGATGAAAGTCAACTCATCAGCACAGTTGGCAACATCCAGCTGACATAAATATCGACCGGTCGTTAGGAGCAGCTTGTCATGACCAATGAAGAGAGTTCTGTCCAGTTCGAAGCCTACTTGGGGCTGAAATAAGGGTTTTTTTTGCTTAAAATTGATGTTGAAACAAAGATTTTTAAAAATTTTTAGTTACGTTAACATTATTTTTGTTATATCCCTTTGAATAAATCGTATTTTACCTTCAAAAAACTTCAAAATCAATCAAAAAAGAGTAAAAAAGAGAGAAAAAAGACAGAAATTTTGCCATTTTTAGTCAAAAAACATATAATTTAACAACATTTTTTTAAAAAACACTGCTATTTCTTATTGTAAAAATAAAGAAATATCAATTTTAAATCTAATTTGTTACCTAAAAATACACAAAAACTTCAAAAAAGCTCCGAAAAGCCAGCTGCCACGAACCGGTGACCTTTAGATCTTCAGTCTAACGCTCTCCCAACTGAGCTATCATGGCGCGTGCTTCACAGGCTTGATTTAATGCTCATATGGTATTGTAATGAGGTTTGGGGTGGGTAATGTTGAAAATGGCAAAAAAATTTGAAAATTTGAAAATTTTTCTTATTTTTTAAAAATTTTTAGAAATTTTTAAAAAATTTAGAAAAACTCACAATAAACCGAGGCTGAGCACGACTCAACGCATCTTCAACGTCAATTGCGGCTGCGTCCGCTTCTTTGGTAATACGCATAGTTACTCGAGTCTACGAAGACTTCTGGCGTTTCTGTAGCTATTTTCTAAAAAAAATTTTTTTAAATTTAAAATTTGACCTTACCCTACTCTACCCTACCCTACCTTACTCTACCCTACCCTACCCTACCCTACCCTACCCTACCCTACCCTACCCTACCCTACCCTACCCCTACCCTACCCTACACTACCCAACTCACCCTAAACCAAGCGTCGTTGTACCTCCTCAACTGAAACACCACTTCTCGAATAGCTGGCTGCCTCTGTTTCAAATTGTCAGTCTGAAGCCCGTCTTCACTTGAACTTTCATCGGATGAACTTGACCTATGGCTATTGTGATAAACCGTCTTTGAAAGTGATCTAAACCTTGACTTCGGATCGATTGGTGGCTTCGAAGCGTCCGAAGTTTGTTTTTGAAGGTATAGAGACTTTTTTAGGCTGGCATCCGTTGGTTTTAGGTTCTCTGCTGACTTGGAAATACTAAAAAATTTAAATTTTTAAATTTTAAAAAATTTAAGAAATTTCAAAATTTTTAAAAAATTTGTAAAATTTTTGTCATTGAATTGATTTTTAAAGTAATTTTTTGCGTTTTCGACTATCTAGTTACTAAAATAAGCCTAAACTACAAAAAAACATGTCCCATCGTATAAAATGTCTCGCGCAGTCTGCAAATGATAAAAGACTGATTAAAAACATCGTAAAACTAAAGAACTATAATATTTATTTTTAAAAAACCTTAAGAATATCTATTTTTTTATTTAAAAGTCTAGACATGTTTCATCGTATAACATGTCTCGCGCAGCCCGCAGGTGGCAAAAAACTGCTTAAACGCGTTAAAAAACCAAAAAACTAAACTTAGTTATCACAACAAGACTTATAAAACTTTAATTTTTAAAATTAAAGCGCCGGGGCATGTTTCATCGTATAATATGTCTCGTGCAGCCTGCAGATGGCAAAAATCCCTATTAAAAGCCAAGACATGTTTCATCGTATAATATGTCCTTGCCACACAGTAAAAAGCAAAAATTAAGCAAAATACAGCACTTCAAGACGTTTTCATACCTAATTCTCCGTTTAGTCAAAGCCGAATTGTCCGAGCTCCAGCCAGCTGATTGGTCCAGCGGTTTCATCGACCAAAAGTCAGTAGAAAAACGAATTTAACCGAAATGGCAGTAAATTCATTTCGAGCACCATTTAAACCTCCAACACTTCCTTGTTTCAGCGCTTAATGCCAGTTAAAGCGGTCGTTTTGAATTTGTGCATTTGGCCAAATTTCCGGTTTTTTTTTGAAAAAAAAGTTTTAAACTGCCTGGGGGTTCTATGCTCTATGTATAGAGAACGAACTCTTCATGGTTTGTAAATTTATAAAATAACCCTACCCTACCCTACCCTAACCTACCCTACCCTACCTTACCCGCCTTGTCTTGCCCAACCCTACCTTACTGTAACCTACCCTAGCCCAAGGTCCAGAGCCCAGTGCCCAGAGCCCTAGCCTTAACATGCCCTGCTCTGTCCTGCCTTTCGCAGCCTTCCCCTGATTTATCCTAACCTAACCTTTTAAATCATACATTACTCTACCCCATACTACTTTACCACATCCTATCCTACAACATCCCACTCTGTTTTGTCCTCACCCCTACTCAAATCTTACGGTGACAATACGTATCATAATCTGAAGCATATTCGATAAGAATTCATTTAATAAAGTACAGTAATTTGGTAAATCAAATATAAAATTTGAAATTGAAAAAAGTTGAAATTTGCATTACAAAAAGCCGTGTTATATTGACATTAAACTTTTTCTCGACTTCCGATTAATCGGGTTGTTCACTTCGAAAAAAACGGGATTTCAGCTGCAAATTGATTAAATTCGCTAATTTGGAACGGGTATTTGACATATTACACAATACAAAAACAATCAAACCGTATTGTCAAGGTGGGGTATAAAAGGTCATGATAAGGTCGGAAATGTCATCAATCATTTGGACACCTAGCCAGCAAGGTTACAGTAACCAAAGGATTGAAATTTGCACTTCCTAGCTTCCTGGTGGTCTTGGATTACGGTAAGTAGTACTCAAAGGTTACTGTAACAACCGAAAAATTTTTTTTGTTTTTGAAAATTGACTAGTTTTTTGATTTTTATTGTAAAAATACATATTTTAAAGTTTTTAAGGAAATCATTCGGATTTGAGTCCTGCAGCCTGCAGACTATAGGGCGCAGTAATACGCAAAGTTTTTCAAATTTGGATATCCCTTCGTATTTTACAATAAAAATATGTTTTTACATTTTTAGCTTGAAAATTTTAAATTTTATTTGAAACGATTTTTTCCAAGTATAGGGCGCAGTTGTAATAATTCACTTTTATAGCAAAAGTTACAAAATTTAGATTAATAGCATTAAAAATATATTTTGTAACATTTTTTTAAATACATCATCATAAATTGTTTTTATTTAGAGCTTCCAATTCTGCAGTCTGCGTAACCCTAGGGCGCAAGCCAAAAATATAGAAAATTAAAGTTAAGCTTAAAATTAGTAATTTATAACAAAATATAAATAAAATTATGCATTTTTGTCATTTTAATTTATAATTTAAAATTTTAATTTCGAAATTATTCGTTTTTCAAATCTGCAGTCTGCGTAACCCTAGGGCGCAAACTAAAAATATAAAACTTAAAATTAAGATTAAATTTAGTATTTTCTGACAAAATATAAGTAATAATTTATGTTGACATTTCTGTTAATATTTCACTTTTCAAGTTCACAATTATTCAAAATTATTCGTTTTTCAAGTCTGCAGCCTGCGTAACCCTAGGGCGCAAAATAAAAATTAAAACTGAGCTTATAACTACTAGTTGATGACCAAGTATAATTAAAAATTAAAGTTTTGAGATTTTGTTTCGTATTTTACATTTTTTAAATTCTAACGTATCGTTTTTCAAGTCTGCAGCCTGCGTAACCCTAGGGCGCAAGTCAAAATTAAACTTGAGCGTAATATTAGTATTTTGTAATAAAAAATAATTGAAATTCAATTTTTTAAATATTTTCTATTATTTAAATTGAAATTTTTAATTTTTTACGTCTGCAGCCTGCATAACCCTAGGGCGCAGGCCAAAAACTTTAAAAGATTAAAATTAAGCCAAAAATTAGTAATTTATGACTAAATATAACTGAAGTGTAACATTTTTGTCATTTTAATTTATTTTTATTTTAACAAAATTTTTTTTCAGAAAAATGGGCCAGCTAGCAGTTCAAGCGACTGCGGCCATAACAGCCACCATGGTGGTGGTCAGCCTGTTCTCGGCCTTCTACATCGTGAACGACATCAACTCCTTGTACGATGAGATCATGTCTGACATCCAGGAGTTCAGAACTCACGCTGACGACGCTTGGAACGTGATGGTTCGGGCTAGCCGTAAGAACCCAGAATCCTTCAACCGGTTGATTCTCCGTCATCGTCGTCAGTACGATGCTGGAGCTACAAATACCGGTGCCAGTCAAGGTGGTGCTTCTGGAGGCTCTTGCGGATCTTGCGCGGCTTCAGCCAGCAAATGTCCACCTGGTCCTCCTGGTCCACCTGGTACACCCGGCCTACCCGGAGACGATGGTACACCTGGAGAGGCGGGAAAGTCTGGTACAGCTGGTACCGCATTCGGAAGCGATGAAGGTTCGAAAGGCTGTTTGCCATGCCCAGCTGGACCACCTGGCCCACCTGGACCCAACGGACCACCAGGACCAGCCGGCAACGATGGACAACCTGGTCAACCTGGCCCAATTGGTAATCCTGGTACTCCAGGGCAACCAGGACCATCCGGAGATATTGGACCAAACGGGCAACCTGGTGCTCCAGGTACCCCAGGACAACCTGGTGCACCTGGTACACGCGGATCTGGTCTTCCTGGCCCACCTGGTCCAGCTGGTCCACCCGGAACTCCAGGACAGCCCGGACAAGATGGTACCGGATCAAGTGCACCAATTCCTGGTCCACCTGGTCCAGCTGGAGCCCCAGGTCAACCAGGACAACCGGGATCGGATGGTCAACCTGGTGCACCTGGTGGTGCTGGTACACCTGGTCACGACGCTGCCTACTGTCCTTGCCCACCACGAAGCGGTGAAGCTCCAGTAGCCTCGTCTTCAGCCAGTAAGAGTTACGGTACCGAAGTAGCACCTGCACCAGCTCCAGCTAGCCAAAGTGCACCAGCTAGCCAGGGATACGATAGCCAAGGAGGAAGTGGATCATCCGCTAGCCAAGGATACGGTGGCCAAGGTGGTAGCCAAGGAAGTGGTTCAGGTGGTGCTCAAGGCAAAGGCTACCGTAAGGTCAGAAGAAACCGAAGAATGAGACAACGTCCAAACGGTCGCCAATAAATTATATTATCTTATGTTATCATACCTAATTTAATGTTTTTTATGCAAATAAACGATTTTTTTGGAAATTTTGCACTTTCTTTAAAAACCATAAAAATTTTAATATTAGATCACTATTATAATATAAAATTATCCCTTTTATTACCTAAAAATATCAAAAAAACTAAAAAAAGTAAGCAATTTTGCCATTTTTGGTCAAAAAATTTAAACTTTAGCTAAAAAACTTACAAATTTACTAAATTTTTACAAAAAATGCCATTTCATATTGTAAAAATAAATAAAAAGCAATTTTAAATTCAATTTGTTACCTAAAAACACTCAAAAAGACCAAAAGAGCTCCGAGAAGCCCGCTGCCACGAACCGGGATCGAACCGGTGACCTTTAGATCTTCAGTCTAACGCTCTCCCAACTGAGCTATCATGGCGTGTGCTTCAAAGGCTCGTTTTAATGGCTCATATGGTATTGTAATGGAGTTTGGAGTAGATAATATTGAAAATGGCAAAAAAATGTTTTAAATTTCAAAAAAATCTTTAATTTTTAAAAATTTTTACAAAATTTTAGAAAATAAAGAAAAAAACTCACGATAAACCGATGCTGAGCACGACTCAACACGTCTTCAATGTCAATTGCGGCTGCGATTGCTTCTTTGGTAATACGCATGATGGTGGATAATATTGAAAATGGCAGAAAAATTTGAAATTTTAAAAAAAAATTCACGATAAACCGAGGCTGAGCTGAGCTATTATGCCGCATGGTTCAAAGACTCTTTTTAATGGTTCATATTATATTGTAGTCAGTGTTTTGCCGGAAGGGTCCGGATGAGAATTTTTTCGGTCCGGTCCGGTCCGGCTCTATTTTTTTTCGCTCAGGTCCGGTCCGGTCCGGAAAATTTTTTTTTATTTTTAAAAAGAGCCAGGAGCGCTAAAACTGCTTTCTTTACATTTAAAAACTCTTAAAAATATGTTTTATTTGCAATTTTTAAAACAGTTTTATTAAAATAAAAAAAAATTTTTTTTCCGGACCGGTCCGGAACTTTTTTTTCGGTCCGGTCCGGACCGGACGGGTCCGGCAAAACACTGATTGTAGTAGATATTTGGGTATAAAAAAAGTTTAAAAATATCGAAATTAAGTAGAGATTTTGTAAAAAAGCAAAATTTTGGTCTGAATTAGCATTAAATAAAAAAATATTAAAATAAAAAAAAAATTTTTTAATTTTTAAAATTTCGAAATTTAAAATTTTGAATTTTTTTTGTTACCATATGTTTTAAAATGACCTGTAAAACCCCGTAAAAATAAAAAACCCCTTTTTTTTCTGTCTCGAAAACCCCGTAAAATTAAAAAAAAGTTCGCGGAAAAGCGAAATTTCGTTGATTTCGAACAACGAAAAATAAAAAAAAATAAAAAAAAGTTTGTAGTCCATTGTTCAGTGTAGTCGACTGAACAAACTGTCGCTGAATCAACTCGTTTATGTTGTAAAAATGGCAAAAAATTGAGTATTGTTACCTAAAAAAGCTTTAAGCGAGGAATTGTTACCTAAAAAGCTTTGAGACAAGGTATTTTTACCTAAAACGGTCGTTAATGTTGTAACAGTCGAAAACTTAAGCATAATTGACCTGCCTTTTGATAAGACATGCCCTGTTTTCTGTAAAATCGACCGGTTTAGGAAAAAATTTGTCCTGCCCACTTTGGACCAGCTAATTGAAATTATAATTGCCCTACCCTAATATTTAGGTATAAAAGAAGCCTAAAGATGAGAAATGTCGTTAAATTTGAGCGGCTTTTAGGCTTCTGGTCCATTTTTAGAAGCTACTTGGTTTTGGTTTTCTTAGGCTTCATATAGCTAAGCCTAAAGTTTTAGTTTTAAGCCTAAAGTTTTCTACCTAAGCCTAAACATGGGCAAGCTAGCAGTCCAAGTAACGGCCGCTTTCTCGGCTTCGGTCGTGATGTTTGCCATCATTTCCGCCATCTACATCTTCAATGACATCAACTCACTGTATGTCGAAATCATGGATGAAATGGTCGAGTTCAAGACTCATGCTGATGACGCTTGGACTAGAATGATCGCTGCTCGCCGCCAACTGCGCCCTATCCTCACCTTTGATGACGTCATTGGAAGACATAAAAGACAGTACGATGGAGCCGCTGGAGCTTCATCAAGTGGTGCAACTGGTACCGGCTCGTCAAGTGGTGCAGCTGGTGCTGGTCAATGCTCAAACTGCGCCGCCAGTGCCTCCAACTGTCCACCTGGCCCACCAGGACCACCTGGTCAACCTGGTCTTCCTGGTACCGATGGTACTCCAGGAGAACGCGGTCAAAATGGTGCTACTGGTGCTTCTCAACTCGGCGACTTTGGAGGACCAAACGGCTGCTTCCCATGTCCAGCTGGACCAGTTGGTCCACCCGGCCCAGACGGACCACCAGGACCAGCCGGCGAAGACGGACACCCAGGAGAGAAAGGCTACGACGCTCTGCCCGGTGAGCCAGGCCAGCCGGGAGAAGCTGGCGACGCTGGTGCCCCAGGCAACAATGGACTACCTGGCGTTCCAGGCCAGCCTGGTGCCCCTGGTACCCGTTCCACTCCAATCCCCGGCCCCAAAGGACCATTGGGACCACTTGGCGCCGTCGGACAACCCGGACCACAAGGACAAGCCGCTCCAGCTCCACAACCAGGACCACCAGGCCCACCCGGACCAGTTGGACAACCCGGATCAAACGGACAAGATGGACAACCCGGACAAGCCGGACAAAGTGGAATGCCCGGAAAGGATGCCGCTTATTGCCCATGCCCTGAACGTGGTGCTGCCGCTTTGGCTAGTCCAGCCGCAAAAACTGCTGAAGCTTCAGTAGCCAATGCTGAAGGTGGATACGGTAATGACGCTGTCATCACTCCAGCCTCAGGCAATAGTCAACAATACAAGAGAAGAAAGGTCATGCGTCAACGCAAAGTCAGAAATTAAAATAGCATTTTTAGGCTTAAAATGACATTTTAAAGACCCTGTTTTTAAAGCCTAAAAACCTTCAAAAATCTAACTTTTGTATTTGATTTGAGCATGTTATACTTCTTGCAATAAATATATTTATTACAAATTTTATATTTTATTTAAATCTTATCAATTTAATTAACTTAAAACACTTTAAAAATGACTTTTCTGTTGAAAAATAGCCCAAAAACCCTATTTTTAGACAAAAAATGGTTATTTAGCCTCTAAAAACCTTTTAAACTAGCAAAATCTACAACTTACTATATTGTAAAAGCTAAAATATAAACTTACAATAACTTAAAATACTGCTTAAAATCTTATTTTATACATAAAAAATGTTTAAAAGTCTAAAAAAAGCTTTACAAGCCAAATGCCACGAACCGGGATCGAACCGGTGACCTTTAGATCTTCAGTCTAACGCTCTCCCAACTGAGCTATCATGGCACGCTTCTAAAGCCTCTTTGGAACGCTTTTTCTGTGTAAATAAAAGAAAATAAGAGGGAAATGAGTGTAAATTAGGTAAAATTAACGGTTTTGAATATACTTTGAGCAGAAAAGTTAGTGAAAATGCATTTTTAAGTGTGAAATTCAATTTTCTTTTATTTAAAAATAAGTTTTGACAAAAAACTTTAACAAGTTTTGTAAAATTTCAAAAAAATCAACAAGGGGGGGGGGCAAGTTCAAAATTTTAAAATTTTTTTGAAAAAAAAATTATTCTAATAAAAAACCATTTTTATGACATTCCACATCAAGTTCCATTCACCAATCACCAATTTTTCAAACTAAACTTTGTTAAGCACTTCAAACTTATCGTATTAGCCTACTTTACCTCCATTGAAGGACATTTTTTATCAATACCTTTTCGAAATCCAAACATTAGACAACTTCCTACTTTTTTAGGTAATAAAATCCATTCAAAATCTTCTTAGGAAATCGTCGGTCGCCTAAAAAATCCCTTAACATCATATTTACGATGTTTGGGGAATAACAGAGTAACAGACGTTTTACGTTTTCGATTGTAATCGCTCATTCAGTAACTTTTTTGTGTTTTATAGTGGTAATTTTATGAAACATACCTGTTTATTGTGGGTATTGTATAAAATGCGAAGAAATTTGTGGATTATGGGGAGATTTTAGGTTATTTGAGGATATTGTAGTAGGCTTTGGTCAGTGTTTATTCAAAAACTTGTAATATAACTTACAATTTAAGTAATACTTTAAGAATTGGCACGAACATAGCCAATAGTATCTTTAACATTTGTGTAAAAATTTTCTTTTACACCACGACTCATTTTGAAGATATTGCAATTTTACTGGATATTGTAGTAGGTCTAGGTAAATATCTTTTTAACAGTGTTAAATGAAATTTTTCGAAAACTGTCACAAATATAGCCAATGCTATCTTTATTATTTGTGATAAATTTCAGTTTCATAACGCAAGTCTTTTTTATAATTTTGCGATTTTACTGGATATTGTAGTAGGTCCGGGCCAATATTTTTCCAAATCACATAGCTCAAGTTTTAATTAACGAAATGTTTTGAAATTTAGCGCATGTATATCTTATAGCATTTGGTAAACGTTGCGTTAAATTTCAGTTTTCTGCGATAAGTCCTTTTTAAGATCTTAAGGTTTTACTGGATATTACAGTAGACTTACTTCAATTGTTTTCCAAGTTTCATAGCTCGAGGCCTAATTGATGAAATGTGTTGAAATTTAACAAAGAGTAGGCTTATATCCAGACTAATGTTTGTGTTTAATTTCAGTTTTATACGAACTGGCATTTTTGATATTTTTTTGATTTTACTGGATATTATAGTAGACGTTCGTTGATATTTTTCCAAATTTTATAGTTTAAAGCTCCGTTTTGAAGTTTTACATAATACTTAACGTTTTTAGTGCACAATTGCCTTCTAAATGACTCACCTACATAAAATTATACTACCGATATTAACCATCCTACAATACTACCTAACATTGGGCGATACAGACCTCAAAGACCTTTGTTCCCAGCTACCTGATGGTCACTTTCCTTCAAAGCCTGAGAACGTTTGTGCCTTCTCCGTGTCATTTTCCGAGGATTCATGTGATAATATTCCAAAAGATTCGGTTCAAAGTGATGTAGCTGTGTTTGATGAGGAAGATTTGCCGGAGGAGAAAGATGAACCGTTCCTGGAGGGACTAGATGCACCACCTGAGGATGGGAAGTGGTGTTTCATGGGTAAGGAATATATTGAAATTTTGGTTTTAAAGATAGGTTTTAAAAAGAAAATGGCAAAAACTTTGTTTACAAAGCTCTTTTTGTGCCAAGAAGCGTCCTGCAGACTGCGGGTGACATGTTATACGATAAAGACCAGAAAGTAGCCAAAACTTTTGTAAATCAAAAAATGGCAAGAACTTTCTTTACAAAACAAAAAATGGCAAAAACTTTCTTTACAGTGTAAAATACAACCTAGTAAAATCATTCAAGCTCAATTTTCACTAAAAAATTTTTTTCAGCTTTAAAAACTGACTATTTGAAATGGAAACGACGTTAAAGTACCTACAATATCAAAAAATTTCACTTAGAAATTGTACAAACTTTAATGTTAGAATAAATATGATTAGCTACAATACAAAAAAGCTATCACCTCAAGCTATTTAGGTTTGCTAACTTTGTCAATCAACTTTAAACTAAAGTCTTTAAACTAAATTCTTCCTTAAAAACCATTGCTAAACGCTTTAACGTCCAGAAGGTTGACATGTTTTTGAATTGTCAAATTGAAAATAATTTTTCCAAGTTTTATTGACTTTTTTGTACTGCCCTTCATTACCCTACCCTACCCTACCTTACCCTAACTACCCTACCCTACCCTACCCTACCCTACCCTACCCTACCCTACCCTACCCTATCCTACCCTACCCTACCCTATCCTATCCTACCCTACCCTACCCTAAATTACTCTACCCTACCCTACCATACCCTGCCCTACCCTACCATACCCTACCCTACCCTACTATACCCTAACCTACTCTAACCTTACCTTACCCTACCTTATTTTAACTTACCCTACGCTACCTTACCCTGCCTTTGTTTTACCGAGGTTTGGCTTATGCTGAACATTTGTCATACCCTACTTGCCCTATCCATGCCTTACCTATCTAACCGTATCCTACCCTTGCCCTACTATTGCCATAACTTTGTCATACCCATAGCTTTCTCATGCCTTACACTAGCTATACCTACACCCTACACTGCTCTATTCTTGCCTTACCTACCCCGCTTTTAAATTTTTTCAAACATTTAAAAGTGGTGTTATGACTAAAGGATGAATAAGGAGTACATGTTCATAATTTTATGTTATTAAACTCCGTTTTTATGAAATATGTCGCCTACTCCCATTGTTTTACTGAACGCTTTAAACTAAAAAAGACAATCAAAATTTTCCTGTTTACTATTTGAAGTCTGTTCGCGGTAATAAAGTTCGTTTTTTAGGAAAATTGCAAATTAATTTTGTTTTTTAAAAGGTGGGGTAGGGTAGAGACGAGCGAGGCAGAAGTAAGGCTAGATTAGGGTAGCAAACGGCAGTATAGGCTTGAATGCTCTACGTTAGATAGTAAAACATTGAGCAGAGTAGGGTATGGTAGGGTAGGGTAGGATAGGGTAAGATAGGGTAGGGTAGGGTAAAGTAGGGTAGGACAGAGTAGAGTAAGGTAGAGTATGGCATAATACCCAGAAAAGAAAGCTAAAGGGTAATCCCCGCAGAAATTTGTAGCAAGGTCCCAGCACTCGCAGTAATTTGGTGGGTCGTTTTACATCGAGGCAAATATTACGTAATTCGAATTCTTGTAATTTCTCTAAAGCTATCGTATTACATGATCTTGTTTTGTAATAGTAGGTAAAATACGACGATAAGTATCGATAGTAATAAAAAAGTTGTAGCCTGGTCAGGGCCGGGCGCGAGGGGGGGAGGGACGGGGGGGGGGTACCCCGCAGAAAAAAATTTTTGAAAAAAGTTGAACGTGGTCCCCCCTGTGGATTTTTGGGAAAAAAATTTCGCAACAAATCGGCACAGGTACCCCTGCCCCCAGACCAAAAGTCCCCGCCCGGCCCTGAGCCTGGTAAAAGTAAGGTAAGCTAGAAGATAGAGTACGGCTAGGGTAGGGTAAAATAAGGCAGGCTTCAACCAAGTAAACTAAGGTAGTATTTATGGTAAGCTAGTTTAAAGCAAGGTATGGTAAAACTAAGGTAGGTCTAGGGTAGGATAAACCTAGATTCAGAGCAAGGTAGAGTAAGGCTAGGTAGGGTGAGGATATGGCTAGGGTAGTGCCAGAGCAAAGTTTGGGTAGGGTAAGGCTACTGTTGGGATTAGGTAGGACTAGAGTACGGCTTGGATAGGGCTAGAGTATGGCAAGAGTAAGGCAAGGGTAGGGTAGAATAGGGTAGAGTAAAGTAGGGTAGAATAGGGTAGGGTAGAGTAGGGTAGAATAGGGTAGGGTAGAATAGGGTAGGGTGGGGTATGATCTTGGTTTTTTTAACTAATTTATAAAAACCGGTCAGCCCTGCCCTTCCTTCCCCTGCCCATTCGAATAATTCGGTTGAAACTTTTTGTAATGTCCAGAGAACTTGATTGTAACATTTTTCGACTCAAAAACGGTTTGAAACCGCTAAACCGTTGCACCCAAAAGTCAATGAATCATTTCGAAAGGCTACTTTAAACTTACAAAGCTAGCTGAGAGTCAGTTTCATAAAGTTGCTACGTAATTGAAAATGACTTTTTTTCGTTTTTACTTTTGTAAAGAAAGTTCTTACCATTTTTCGTTTTGTAAAGAAAGTTCTTGCCGTTATATGTGTTGTAAAGAACCATCTCTTGTTTTGTAAAGAAGTTTTATATGATGTAAAGAAAGTTCTTACCATTTTTTTCAAAAACAAATTATAATTTCTCTAGAATGAAGCTTATTCTTGCGGTTACCCTACTCTGTGCCATTTTGGTTGAAGCTCAAGATGAGCAAACCCAAGCAGTACCGACTGAAGCTCCAGCCATAGTATTCACAAAAGTATGCTTTGATCAAGAGGACGCTGAGGTTTTGGAAAGCACGGTAAGTATCCTAACCTACTGTACCTTACCCTAACGCACCCTACCTTACCCTACCCTAACGTACCCTACCCTACCCTACCCTACCCTACCCTGCCCTACCCTACCCTACCCTACCCTACCCTACCCTACCCTACCCTACCCTACCCTACCCTACCCTACCCTACTATACCCTACCCTACCCTACCCTACCCTACCCTGCCCTACCCTACCCTACCCTACCCTACCCTACTATACCCTACTCTGCCCCACTCCTCCATACCCTATTTCATTCGGCTTAAGCCTTACCCTATCTTGAGTTGGCCTTACAAATAATTTGTTAGTCAACTCCAACACTACCCTAAGTTAGCTTTGTTCTAGCCTTACTTGCCTTGAGCTAACCTTAATCTTCTAAATGAAAAACGGGCTGGCACTGAGCAAAATTTCGATCGGGCCAGGCCTAGCATTCAGGCCTGGCCTGTTTATCATGTCTAATTGGTCTAGCCTTACCCTAATTTAGCCTTGGTCTACATTACTATACTTTAACTAGCTCAACCCTTACTAAACCCTGGCTTAGTCTTATTCTAGCGCTACCTCATACTACCCTAATTTAGCCTTTTCCAATCCTTACCCTAGCAAGCTGACAAGCGTCCTAGCCTGCCTAACTGACACGCCCTACCCTAATACTTATAATATTATTTTAGGGTACCATCTGCGCCTTCGCAGTACGCTTCCAAATGGCAAACAGAAACTGTGCCGAGTTGGTTCAAAACACATTGCCCGAAGGCTTTGTAGCTTTTGGTGAACCAGACCTCAGTCCAGTTACTTTTGAACAACTCACTACGGAACTGACAGCACCAGTCCGCGGCGGGAAATATTGTTTTATCTGTACGATTTTTCCTTTTTCATCGTATTTTACCCAAAAATTGAGGATTTTTTAACGCTTTTCATTAACACTTTTAAGCATTACTAACGTACTGGCTGATAGTACGGTACTATGAAATTTTAAGACTTAGTTTTTTGGTTAAAAATTTATATAACGTGACATTTAAAAAGATGAAAAATATCATAATATACTTTAATATTACCTAAAAATAAAATTTTCAGCCCGAGCAGAAGAACTGACCAGACTACGAGGATTCTAAGCCTATTACATCAATCACAAGCCCAAAACCTTCACCTTCTGCCACATTTCAGCTTCAGTCATACTATTTTTTACCATTTTTATATTCTATACTTATTGTACAAATTCGACTTGACCGTTTAATATAATATATTTTACCTAAATTATCAATTTGGACGACTACAGCAGTTAAAAATTTAAAAACTCGGTTTGGTCCAGACCTAAAAGTAGGTCCACTATGCCCGAACTATTTGCAAGCCTAGCTCAAGATGCAGCCTGCACTCAGGGGCGGGCGGGGGCTTTTGGTCTGAAAGCGTGGTGTAAAAAAATTTTTCCAAAAAATCCACGGGGACCACGTTCTACCTTTTTTAAAATTTTTTTTTCTGGAGGGAACCTTTTAATTTTTTTTCTGAAGGAGGGGGGACTTCCCCAACGTCCACCCCCCCCCCCCCCTGGCCGGCCCTACCTGCACTGCCAACTTTCCTAAATCTTTCTTCCCTTTATACCTGAAAGAAGTCCCACTAAGCCCGCCCTAGGCCAAAGCAAATTTGAAAAGGCCGGTATGGCACATGTGGGCCAAAGCCTAAACCATGGCCCAGTCTGTGAGCCGAACCGTAAAACTGAGCCCGGCCGCTTTGCATACACCTATCTGTGAACTTATTGACCATTAACCTCTATTCATTTCTACCATTCTAATGTATCAAAAACAGCCCTGAGATCGTTTTATTATGCTTGTAGTCGTATAAAAAGTTAATAAATTACCAACATTTTGAAAAATTCTAAATTTCAGTCAGGAAGTTTGATTCTGTCATCAACATCCTTACACATCCATTCGAATGCTTCAATCAGGTTCTCGCCAGTGTAGGCGGATGAGTCAAAGATTTTCCAATGATGATATTTAATTTCCTCTAGTTTCATTTCCTAGAAAATTTAAATCGAATTTAACTTTAAGCCTATAGATAAGCCTAAAACTGTGTGCGCTAAGCCTAAAATGACGTTGGCTAAGTCTAAGAAAAAGCTTAAACCTCTCAGCCATAAGCCTAAAACCATAAGCATTAAGTTTGAAACCCAAAAGCCAACCCTTTCTCCTCAAAAATTTTCGTTTTTCCGCCAAAAATGGAGTTCATACCTACTATAATATCGAAAAACCCCTCAACATCATTACCTTTCGTTCGCATAACCTCAAAAACCTCTCTTACTCACCTTCTGAATCTCCTCCGCCGTCAAAGATCCTCGAATATCCCTTTTATTGGCCAGTATTAACAATGTAACCCCAACCAAACACTGCTCATTCAACAATTTGTCCAGCTCTTCTCGCGCCTCCTTCAGCCTTAACCTGTCTGTGGCATCAACCACGAATACGAGTGCATCAGTATGTTCGAAATAGTTCCTCCAGTACGACCTTAACGAGATTTGACCGCCAATATCCCAGCAATTCAGCTTCCAATCACGGAACTCCAAGGTTATGATGTTGAATCCAAAGGTTGGAGCTACCTGAAGATAAGATAAACCTTCTTAATACCTTTTTATGCTTCACCAATTACTCTTTATGATAATATGTCATCTAAAATACCAAAAAAAAACTAAGGAAAAACAAACTTACAGCCATATAATCTTCGCCATTCAGTCTGGTCATGATGGTTGTCTTGCCAGAGCAATCTAGACCCAATATCAATACTCGTATTTCATGTTCACGCATCTTTTGTTTCCTCAACACCTTTAACATCACCATCTTGACAAGATATCTAAAATATATTAAGGTTTACGCATTAAAATTAAATAAAAATTGAAAAAAGCGAGCAAAACTATACCATGGATTTTTCACGCATTGTAAAGATTGAAGTATTTTACAAAATTTTCTGTTTCAAATAATAAATATACACTTCCTTACATATTTTAAAAGTATTCGCCCACTCACTAAAAACATCAATATTACCCTTAATAAAAAGCTTTTTATCTTGACCAAAGCAAAATTTATATTATCCATGATCTTTTTAAAAAATGAAGCAGGAAACCGCGTATTTTGGAAAAAGCAAAGTTCCAGATTTAAAAGCAATACGTATTTTACAATCATTCGACACTAAGTAAAACCGAAATTACAATTTACACAAGTCAAAACTTATATTATCCATGAGCTTTTTAGCCCAAATCAAGCATAAAACCAAACTTTTACAACTTTGCCTTAAAAAATTGGTAAAATATTGTCTTCAACGTAATTCCAACGTATTCTACACCAAAATCAATCCAATCCAACATAATTATCGTATTTATACACAAAATATCGTTAGTTACAACAGGTGGAGGCGTCCATGGACGGATGGCCAAAAATGCCATTTTTCATTAAAACTCAAGTCTAAAACAACATTTCTTATCAAAATTTAGGTAGGTTAGACTTGTTATTAGCCGAATATACAATTTTTCAACATTTTCATTTTGAAAAAATGGCATTTTTAACAAAAAAAGGTTAAAATTCTACAAAAACTGTATGTATAACATGGTTGATAGTGCTGAAAAGCGACGGATAATACTGAGGCAAGCTCTCGAATACGATTGGTGCGTTAGTTAAGTAGATATTCTGAATAAGGCGGGGCAGATTTTCACAAAATATTGTGCTTGATGCGATTAGAAATGGCAGAAAAGTAAAAATTTTTTAAATTCAAAATGACCTTTTCCAGCCTTTAAAGACCATAAAACGTCATTTCTAACCCTCAGTAAAGGTAAATTCCATTCTAATACCTCAGTAAAGGTCTCAGTAACATTAATTCCAAAAAAAAATTTTGCGCCATTCTTTCTGCATCAACTACAACCAATAACTGATAAGAGACTAACAAATTTTTGTTATAAATAGTAAATTTAAGTAGTAAAAACCGAATAAATATGTATTATACAATAGTGGTAACCGAGTTAATTGACCAAAAATAAAATATCAAAATTTTAAAAATTTTTCATATAAAAATTTTCGACCGGTCGATAAAACAAAAGTGCATGAAATATGACCAAAAGTGGTTTAGAGTGGTATGTAATTAAATAATAATACAACATAGTGCTACATAATTGGGTATTGATACTATTTAGTACTATTAAATTGAGTTTTAATACTATTTAGTACCATTTGATCTTAATACTACTTAGTACTAACACCAAAATTATAAGTAGTATATAGCCTTTTAAAATCTAGTGTTGGTACTATATAGTACTATTCAGTACTATAAAATGTAATATTAGTACTAAATAGTACTATAAAGAAAAATACAATAGTATTATAAAGACAAATACTATTACAGTACCATAAAATAGTACCAAAACCAATACCAAAATAACCAGTAGTACCAAGAAAAACCAAAACAACCCAACTAGTACACTTAGGTAAATATGGCCGAAGGTACCAATCCTTCTTTGGTGGTAATGGTCGGTGATAGGTCTTCGTTGCACAGAAAACTCTCCGGGAATTGCACGATATTTCCCCACAGCTGTTTGAGATGATGACGGGCCAGGTCTGGGTTATATTCGGCCATTGGGAGTTCGCTACGCCACACTTCCAACTCGTCTCGTGATGATACCTACAACAAGATCAAAACTGATAGCCGTATTTTACAAAAAATAAGTAAGAACTTTGCTTACAAGCCGAAAAATGGCAATAGCTTTCTTTACAAGTCATAAAATGGCAAGAACTTTCTTTATAGAGCTTGAAACAAAAATTTTTTGAAAGTGGAAGTTGAGTGGAAGGTTTTTAATGTATTTTGCACTAAAAATCTTCCACTCAACTTCCATTTTTAAAATGTTTTAGAATGGTCTAAAAACACAGTTTTAACGCGTTTTAGAAGTGGAAGTTCAGTGGAAAATTTTCAGGGCAAAATACATTAAAAATCTTCCACTCAACTTTCATTTTACAAATCGCTTTAAAAATCAAAAAATAGCAAAAACTTTCTTTAAAAATGCTTACCAAGTTAGTAGGGAATGTTCTGAACACTTCTTCAAAGATTTGAGTGTTCTCCTTCACTGCTTTCCACCAAACGTCATGGTAGAAGGAGTCGTGAACTGGATCGTCCAAATCAACCACTGATGGGTTTATTGGTGCTTTGTGGAAGGCTTCTGATAGCAGGCCGAGATGCTCCTGAAAGTAAAGAATTTCATTAATAAATTGTCAAAAATAGCAAGAAGTTTCTTTACAACACAAAAAATGGCAAGAACTTTCTTTACAAAACTCTTTTGTGCCAAAAAGCATTTTGCAGGCTGCGGGTGACATGTTATACAATAAAAACCAAAGATACCCAAAATTTTCTTTACAGAACAAAAATGGCAAGAGTTTTCTTTACAAAACAAAAAATGTCAAGAACTTTCTTTACAAATCAAAAAATGGCAAAAACTTTATTTACAAAGCTATTTTTGCGCCAAAAAACGTTCTGCAGGCTGCGGGTGACATGTTATACGATAAAAACGTTTTTGCTTACCTTCATAAGCCGTTTCCTCAGATTCGAAGCAAACTTTCCAGCCTGATACTCTTCTTCATTCATTCTCGACGGTACGAATTCTCTGTCCGTAGCCAGCACACAAACTTCTGAATCCCTCATACCCAACTGTGACCGGTCATTGATGTTGGCTGATCCGATGATCGTATACTTATCATCAACTATGAGTAATTTACAATGAATGTAGACCATTTCTGTCACTAACTTGCCGCACAGCTCGTCATGAGTACGTAGTGAACAGAATGACACATAGTCGAATGGCTTTTCGATTCCATTCATTTTTAGATTCTCCATTAGGGAGTGAGGTCCTTTTGATATCGATATTAGAGTCCAGTGAAGAACGGCCATTAGAGCTGAGTAGTTTCCACTGCCTAGGTCACCTTCAAAGCCTGGTAGGAGAGGGATTAGAACGTAGACTCGGAATTTGGTGCCTTCTCTGAAAATGAAAAAAATAAAATTTAAAAAAATGTGGTTTGAAGTGTAGGCTAGAGTAGTGTAGGATAGAGATAAAGCTACAAGAGACCTGAGCCTAATCAAAAAAAATGAAAAAAAAGGCTAAGGAATGACAAGGATAAGGCTCAATGGCGGGTAGAAACTTATAACAGCATAAATAGCGGTCGAGATAGCGAGAAGTGTAAGGCAAAGGTAAGATCGGGTTAGGAGTAGAAGCAGAGTAAGGTTCGGTAAGGTTGGGTAGGTCAGAGAAAGGAAGAATAGAGTTAGACATGAGAAACGGGCCGGGCCGGCCTTGGGTAAAATTTCGATCAGGCCGGGCCTAACATTCAGGCTCGGCCCGTTTCTCATTTCTAAAAGATAGAGGAGAGCAAAGTGGGGTAAAACAAGGTAGAAAATAGGGTAGAGTAAACAGTATAATCCCTCGCTGTAATTTGTAGCCAGATCCCAGCCCTCGCAGTAATTTGTTGGGTCGTTTTACATCGAAGCAAGTATTACAAAATTAAAAGATATTACATAAGAAAACGTTACTTAATTCAGATTCTTACAATTTCTCTAAAGCTATCTACATAGATGCGTCGTTTAAATTAGGTAATGCCCTATAAATTTTAGTCAATTTTTCAGTTATTATGCTTTTTTTGTAAAATAGCTTGCGTATCAGTTGGCTAAAGCAAGGATAGGAAAAAGCACAAGAATGGCTAAATTCTAGGAGCCGGGGTAAGAGTAATATTATAGTTAATGTAAGAATAGGGGTAGGAGCAGGGTCGGGCGCGAAGAGGGGGGGGGGAGGGAACGGAGGGGGGGGGGTACCCCCCCAGGAAAAATTTTCGAAAAAAGTTGAACGTGGTCCCCCCCCTGTGGATTTTTGGAAAAAAAAATTTCGCAAAGGTAGCTCTGTGCCGATTTTTTGGACCCCTGCCCCCAGACCAAAAGTCCCCGCCCGGCGCTGGGTAAGAGTAGAGATGAAAATAAGGGTATGAGTAGAGGTAGGGAATAACGTACGCTTTTTTACCTGAAAATCCACCTCCAAACATAAAAAAAAACTTTTCCTACCCTTCTCCCCCCCCTACCCCAAACTTAAAAAAACTCCTTGTTCTACCCTTCCTCACTCCCGATATTCAAGAAACCCCTTTTTGCCCCATCTTACCCAAAACTTGAAAAAAAACTACCTGTCCCTACCCCAACAAAATTACCCTGCCCTACCTCTCCACACCCTCCAGATTTGAGACAAAAACTCATAAATATCCTTACCGATGAGCCCGGCAGATCCGATCACACAACGCTTTGCATATTTCATTTGTCACTTCGGTGCTGTTGATCATAGAAACAAAGAATTGATTCTCGATGTAGATAAAATGTTCTGCATTCTGAATCAACTTAACGTAGGCATCCTGAATCGAGTCTTCTTTGCCATCGATCAGCGCACTCCAATGTGCTACTGATCGTAGCACTTGAATATCACAGTTGTGGGTATCTTTGTTCAGGAATACTTTGGGCACTTTTATTGAATCGTAGCTCTTTGGAAGAAGATATGGGTAATCCTTCTTGTTTTTGTGCTTTTCGGTCTGGAAAAGGACATTTTACTACTTTATCCTACTCTACTGTACTCCACTGTACCCTACCCTACGCTACCCTACCCTACCCTATACTACACTGCAGAACCTTGCATAAATTTGCCGACCATACCATACCCTGATCAACCTCAACTTAACCTACAGTACCCTTATACTCCCTGCCTTACAATGTCCTACACTACAGTACACTTTTCTGTTCTTAACGGTCTTACTCTGTCTTGGAGTACCCTCCTTAGCTTTTTTTTCCTACTGCACCTTTATGAATCCTACCTTGCACTTGCACTAATTCATTCTACAGTACCCTTACTCAAGTTACAGTACCCTTTCCTAGCATAGATATTCCTACATTACCATACCGTACCTTTATCCTGATAACTATACCCTACACTTCAGTAACTTTATCTAGCCTACCTCAATGTAGCCCAGCTTAATTTTCTCTACCCTATGTTATCCTACCCTAACCTACTTTATTCTACCATAAATTAAAATTCCGTTTCACAGCCAACCCTACCACACCCTAAACTGACTTTCACTACCCCACAAATACCAAATACCCTACCTTAGTAGCATTCCACCGTTGAATAAAGTGTCTAGCCACATCTCTAGCCGCTTCTCCATACACAACAGAGTGAATATCGTGCCATGGTGTTCTTGGCACTCGATATCGGTCGATAAAGTCCGAGTAGGCTTCGTGAACATTGACAAAGTCTTTCACCAAATAATTTACATAATCCTTGCCTGGCCATAGCTTTCCGGCTCCTTGAAGACCTGATACGTCGACTTCGTTTTCGTGGACTTTACAGTAACTAAAATATAATTACTTAATTATAGTCCATATGTAAAGGTAATGTCGAATATTGTAAGAAAAACGAGTAATATAAAAGTAAGAGACATATTTTCGTTAGGTAGAGGTAAAATATAGATAACAGTAGACAAAATACAATTTTTAGAGAGTAGAGATACGATCGCAATAGAGTTGAAAAAAAATATCAAAGCAAAGATAAAAGTAGAATAAAAGCCGAGTGCACCGTAAAAACAAGAGCAGAATTCGATGCAAGTTATACTGTAGAAATATTAGAAGCAACACATCCGGTACACGTAAGGATAAGCCATATATTAAGAGCCCGGTATAATATCGGGTGCTGACATAAAAAACCCGCCATACTTCGTCTGTAATTACCTGTAAAAAATGGCGGGTTCTTTATGTCGGCACTTAATAATTAGAAAAAAATGTACAGCAAGAGTAAAGTATACGGTAGAAGTAGAAGTGAAGCATATGTTAAAACTACCATATACTACTAAAAAGAAAAGTTACGGTACGGCAAGGCAAGGCAAGAGAGCAGTAAGATTAGCGTACAGTAAAATAAAACTAGAGGTCTGTAAGACAAATGCACGGAAGGACAAGAACATATACGGTAGGGTGAAGTGAGGTGTAAGGAATAAGAGTAAGAGAACGATAAAGTAGCGTAGAGTAAGGTAGGGTAGGGTAGAGCAGAGTAGGGTACGATTGAGTAAGGTACGGTAGGGTATGGTAGGGTAAAGTAAGATAGGATAAGGTAGGGTAGAGTAGGCTAGGATAGAACAGGGTAGAGTAGAGTACTGTAGGGTAGGGTAAGGTAGAATAGGGTAGGATAGGAAAGGGTAGGATAGAGTAGGGTAATGTAGAGTAGGGTAGGGAAGAGTGATCTAAGGTGGATCAGAGCAGAGTGGAGTAAAAGGTAGAGGCAACTCTTACTTATAAACATATTCATCATTAACATCGTCCGGCTTGTCCTTCTCCAACAACATTTTCCATCTTTTAGCATTTCGATTTGTTTTTAAATTTGACACAACTCGTCTCATAATAGTTCTATTCTTAGGTTCATGAATAATATTCCGAACTGGTGTCTTTTCATTTCTGCCTGGTGTTATTGAAGATGAAGATTGGGTAATGTCAAAAGTTTTCGAATCATCAAAACCTGGGCTACTTGACGCATCTAGAGCTACTGAATGCCACCGGAGGGTTTTTTGACCGAACGGTGAGTCGCGGGCTATTTGCTGAAAAAAATGGTAAAATGTATTTATACTTACCGTATTTTACAACAAGAACTATTTTAATTAACTTCCCTGTTACCCTACCCAACCCTACCCTACCCTACTTTACCCTACCCTACCCTACCACACTACACCCTACCCTACTTTGCTTTACTCTAACCTCGCGCTGATCCTACAGTAACTCTGCCTTACCTTATCTACCGTATTTAAAACTACCGCTACGGTTGGCCATACTCGGGGTTTCCGTACACCTACACTGCCGTCAAAATAACGTAGATCTTGTAAACCTTACTGTAAGCCTAGCCAGCCTTATACTGCGCTTATCATATCCAAGGCTTACCCTAATACACCATACCCTGCCTTACCCTATCGGCCCAAAACCTTCACCTTACCATTCTAAAGCTCATGCCTTACTCTAACAATGAATCTTATCATAAACTCCCAAAGCCCCTATCCTTCCTCTCCCCCCGCCCCTACCGGTCCCAAAATCCCAACCCTAACCAAAAAAAACGCGCCATACCTTACCCAAAAAACCTACCCTTACAGTATTACAGTACCCCCCCCCCCCCCGCTCCCCATCATCCTTTCCACTTTCAAAAAAACTCCTACCTGCGGCGTCCTACTATGATGTGGATTCATCAAATCGGCCGTGATTCCAGCCGGTCCCGATGGCGTTCTCTTCACACTAGCCGCCTTCTCATTCTTCGGAACGTTGTCGAACGGTGTTGGTGACCGTGATCTCTTGTTGGGCGAGGATGCCTTTCTCGTTTTAATCTGATTCATGACATCCTTGAACGTCCGTCTATGCCCCTTCTCACGTTCCTTCTGTTCCGGCTCTTCTTTCTCGGCTTCGGCATCATCGTCCGGGATCTGAACCATTGAGGTCTTAGTCTTGCCAACTCTATGGCCACTTTCGTCAACTACGGCATGCTTTATATGATCGGTTTTGGCTTTGATCTGATCTTCCGGCTCTTCGTTGTGATTCTTGGCCAAATGCTGATCACTGTTGATCACTTGACTTGCTACTTCTTCTACTGCTCCGGCTAGGCCTTTTGTCTGAAAAACCGGTTTTAGGTAACAAATTTAACTAAAAATAGCTTTTTATGGCTTGGAAAGAAAGTTCTTGCCAAATTTTAAAGTTTTCTCAAAATGAAAGTTCAGTGGAAGAGTTTCAGTGCAAAATACATTACAAATCTTCCACTCAACTTCCACTTTTTTAAAAGCACCTGTAAAGAAAGTTTCTTCAGTTAAAGCTAAACACACCATCATATTGTACATACCCTCTACCCTACATTCAAAAAAATCATTTCCTACCCCTCCCAAAAATAAAAATAGCCCTAAAATTATATTAACCATACCAAAGTATAGCCCTGAGCCTGCGGCGCGTACTGAACTGATCCCAAATCAGCTAGCACATGAGTTGAATTGTCCCAACGACCGTAACACAAGTCTAGACCGCCGACGAACGCGATCAATTGATCAATAATGATTAGCTTTTCGTGGTGAGACCAAAAGAAGGTACCGGTGCCGAAGTAATGGTCCGGGTGTCGCATTACCTAAAAGAATATAATTTTTTTAGATTTTGTAAAAAAGGTTTTTGCCATTTGAAGTTTTAAAACTAATCTTTGGTCACTTAAAGATCTAGAAACGTAATTATGACAAATTTAAAAAAGTGGAAGTTAAGTGGAAGATTTCTAATGTATTTTGCACTGAAAATCTTCCACCAAATTTTCACTTCTAAAAAACCTCAAAAACGTGTTTTTGAAGCATTTTAAGACGTTTTTTAAAAATGAGAGTTTAGGGGAAGATTTTCAGTGCAAAATACATTGAAAATCTTCCACACAACTTCCAATTTTAAAAAAGTGTCATTTTTGTTTTGCCAAAAAAAATTCTTGCTATTTTTTGTTTTGTAAAGAAAGTTCTAGCTATTTTTTGATTTGTAAAGAAAGTTCTTACCATTTTACGTTTTGTAAAGAAAGTTCTTGCTATTTTTTGTTTTGTAAAGAAAGTTCTTGCCATTTTTTGTTTTGTAAAGAAAGTTCTTGCCATTTGTTGTTTTTTAAAGAAAGTTCTTTCCATTTTTACTCCTAGAACTACAATTAAAAGACGATTTCTGAGACAGTGAAGCAGCCTGAAACAGGCAGGTGCACTAGAAATTAACCCCCTGTTTTTATCGTCTTAATGCATGAGATAAACCGTTTTAAGTTGTATAGTGAAGTGTTTTTGCACAAAATGTCATTTTGACATTTTTATGACATTTTTTGTCAAAAACAGTGAAAATTTATAATAATTTTAAAAATTAGCAGAATGTTTTAAAAATTTGTACACTTATGTTTTTAACTATGCTGATTAAAATTGTAGTTGAACATTTTTTTTCTAAAGTTACCGTAACCTACCGTAACCCAACCGGTCGATTAAAAAAGTGCAAATAAAAAAAAATTTAACACGGTTAGTCATAGTCAATTTCAGCATATTTGAAATCTACATGAAATTTGGGTTTGAATAGACGGTACGCTCAAACTTAAAGCTGCCAGTTTTTGGGGTTTTTGGTCAATTAATAAATTACGGTAGGATACGGTCAAAAAATTAAAAAATTACTGTGCCATTATTAATATATCAAATGCCGTGTAATTTGTTATACTTACGTTTCAAAACACGCTTATTAAAATTGTAGTTGAACATTTTTTTCTAAAGTTACCGTAACCTACCGTAACCCAACCGGTCGATTAAAAAAGTGCAAATAAAAAAAATTTAACACGGTTAGTCATAGTCAATTTTAGCATATTTGAAATCTACATGAAATTTGGGTTTGAATAGACGGTACGCTCAAACTTAAAGCTGCCAATTTTGGGGCTTTACGGCCGATTAAAAAATTACGGTAGCACAATGTCAAAAAATTTAAAATTTTACTGTCGCTTTGCTAATGCAATTACAAATCTGCAAATTTGCATACGTACGTTTTTCGTTACGCTGAATTACTTTGTAGTTTAAAATTTTTTTCTAAAGGTACCGTAACCTACCGTAATCCCACCGGTCGAGTATAAAAGTGCAAATATCCAAAAATTTAACACGGGTCTCCATAGTCAAGTTTAGCATATTTAGAACCTACATGAAACGTAGATATTGATTGGGTATAAGCACATCTCTAAAGCTGCCAGTTTTGGTGCTTTACGGTAAATTAAAAAATTACGGTGGCGTACTATCCAAAAAATGACCGTAAACCCCCAAAATTGGCATCTTTAAAGATTATATTATAGCCTTTCAATATCTACGTTTTATGAATAATCTAAATATGCTAAAATTGACTATGACTAACCGTGCTAAATTTTTAGATATTTGCACTTTTATAATCGACCGGTCGGATTACGGTAAGTTACGGTGCTTTTACAAACTTTTTGTAATTACCAGTTTGTTCAACATGGTAAAAAACATAAGTATGCAAATTTGCAGACTTTTAATTGCATTAGCAAAGCGACAGTAAAATTTTAAATTTTTTGACATTGTGCTACCGTAATTTTTTAATCGGCCGTAAAGCCCCAAAATTGGCAGCTTTAAGTTTGAGCGTACCGTCTATTCAAACCCAAATTTCATGTAGATTTCAAATATGCTAAAATTGACTATGACTAACCGTGTTAAATTTTTTTTTATTTGCACTTTTTTAATCGACCGGTTGGGTTACGGTAGGTTACGGTAACTTTAGAAAAAAAATGTTCAACTACAATTTTAATCAGCATAGTTAAAAACATAAGTGTACAAATTTTTTAAAACATTCTGCTAATTTTTAAAATTATTATAAATTTTCACTGTTTTTGACAAAAAATGTCATAAAAATGTCAAAATGACATTTTGTGCAAAAACACTTCACTATACATCTTAAAACGGTTTATCTCATGCATTAAGACGATAAAAACAGGGGGTCAATTTCTAGTGCACACCATGCTTCACCGTCTCAGAAATCGTCTTTTAAATAGACACACAAACAACACCCGTATTTTACCTTGATATTAGGATGAAGACCCTGTAGCAGTTTCTTGGCGTACAATGTATTCAAATTCAAAGTCAATTCGAATTCTTTGTATATTAATATGAATATCTTCACGCCCTTCTCGGCCTGTCTTTTTAGAACATGATCCAGTCTCCAATGATTCCCTTCAGCCATGGGACGTCGCATATAAATCTCAGGACAAAGCCACCAATCCGCTATGAATATCTCTTCTCGGGCCAACTCAATCATGGCCGCCGCTCTCTCCCAGTAGTCTTTGGCGTCGACAAAACTGAAGAAAGGTTGAATTAATAGTGTATTACAATTTTAAGTTTGGGCTAGGATAGGATTCAAAAGCGTATGATAAAAACAGAGCAAAAAGGGGGTTTTAAAAAGACTAGCGTTAAAGGTAAGCCAGTGTATACTCTTGTCAATCCAGAGTACGGCGTTTTAGGATAGGATAAGGCATTTCAAACCAAGGTAGATTCTTTCAGAAAAGGATAGAGCATTTAAATCCAGGGTAGGGTGTTTCAACATAAGGTAAGACATTTAAAATTTGAGAAAAACGTTCTCAAGCTGGGTAGGTTACGATAAGGTAAGGGTAGAAGTAGAGAAGGGTAGGATAAGTTGAGATAAGATGAGATAAATTAAAGTAGGGTAAGATAGGGTAGAATAGGATAGGGTAGGGTAGGGCAAGTTAGGGTAGACTATAGTGAACTTACTACTGAATGTACTGATGCTCTCTGATTGGATAAGAAGACCCATATGGTTTAGGTTTTAGCCATATTTGACCGGTTGTTTCTAGCACTTGTCTTATAGCAGCTTTCCAGTAAAAAGCCTCGTCTTCTCTTTGTAGCTTCATGGCTAGTACACTAAAATATTAATCTCAGAGTAACTTAAAACTTTAAAAAAATGCTTTCTTATGAACCATAGAGCCTTATAGTAAATTATTTTCAAATAGTAGTGTAAAAACTTACTGTGAAGCATTCGACAAAAACATATATTTGGGTTTTGTGCTTGTTATCACATCCGGAGAGTCAATTTCGAATTGTTCATCAAATAACAGTACCAAGCGAACTCTTTCATTGTTGTTTACGTAGCAAACATATGAATCTTTCAAAATTAGGTACCTAAAATATTAAAAATTCTAAAAATTGCCGCATTTTTGAAGCGTTGTCATACCCTACGCTAAGCAGAAATGCCGTATCCCAACCCTATCTAACCCTTACCCTAGTCTGCCTTACCCATCCTACCCTCGCCCTAGAAAAGCCCTGTCCTAGCCTTAGTCACACCACAGCCCTGCCTAAGCCTTGGACTGTAAAATCCCTGTTCTGCCCATAGCCATGTCCGTCTTAACTATAACAAAGTCGTGTACTAGCCTCGTCCTAATAAAACCTTGTCCTAGCATTGGCCATATCCCTGTCATACAAACCATTAACCTACCGTTCCATCCAAGGTAATATCCATTTGACACAGAACTGTTTGCATCCGATATACACCTTGCCACCTCCCGGCCTCTTCTTCATCAACCCTTCCTTATGTTTTCCTCCCAGTTCATTGATAAACGAAAATCTTGACACTTCGAGGAACTCGGCCATCTGATGATAATCCCTATTCACAGGTATCGTCAACGCATGTTTAAGCCATCGTTCCAGTTGTGCTCTTCGTCGTTCCATGTGAACTTCGCTGATCATTGAATCGGGTAACAGTGGGAATCTTGGGTGATCATCGTCTTCTTCATCCAGCTCTTCGTCTGGAGAATCTGGAGTTTTACCGTTGGATTGGGGCTCGTCTCCAGAATCCGAATCCATTCGTGGCGTTCCAAAGTCGCCCAATTCTTTGCCTTTTTCGAGGACTTGAAGCTCATAGTCTTTGGTTTCTTGATCAATGTCGTCCAGGGCGTTTTCGATCTTCGTCTTGGCTCTATAATAATAATATGTTAGATATTTTAGAGTAGGATAATGTAGAAATGAGTGGAATAGGATAAAGTAAAATGAGGTAGGAAAGGATAGAATAAGATAAAGTGAAATGGCTTAGAAGCTTCAATTTTTAATTTTTACAATATTTTAGGTAACAAAACAAATTTTTTGTTATTTTGTTACCTAAAACACTCTTTTTATTAATTTTAGGTAACAAATTTACATAACCGCGTTCTTACTTCCTAAAAGGCGTTTTGAACTGTTCCATTCGTCTATGGCCACCCAATGACTTGGCCAATTGAGCAAAGTCGGCGTATCTTTTGAACACTGTCCATTTGTATCGGCCGTGAGTCGCTTCTACTGTGTAACTGAAATAAATTAATGTCCCATAAAGAAGCTTAGGGTTAGGGCTTCAGAATTAAATCATTAGGCACATGCCTAGCGCATAACCTTTGTCAACCAAGCCATACCTAAACGCATAAAACAATAAAAAATAAAACTTACATCCAAGGATTGAGAAGATGTAAATTGGTAGATGAATCTTTCTCGACTTTCGTTATTCTTGCTGTTATGGCCACACCTGGAATCCAATACCCGACTTTTTGGAATTCATCTTGGGTGCGATAGATCAAGCCATATGGAATGTAGCCTGAAATTGAAAATACTTTTAAAACAAGACATTGATAAAAGAATCTTGTTTGAATCCTCAAAATTGAAAAAAATTGTCTTACCTCCCAAAATAAAAAAAAAAATTATTATCAAAAATCCAAGAAAAAATAATTTTTATTACCTAAAATCCAAAAAATCATTTTTATTACCAAAAATCAAATAAAAATCATTTTAGTTACCTAAAATCCAAAAAATCATTTTTAATACTTAAAAACCAAAAAGCTTTATTTTTGTTACCTAAAATTACAAAGGAACCCTTTTTTACCTAAAATATTTAAAAATAATTCTTATTGCCTAAAATTACAAAAAAAACCTTTTTTGTTACCTAAAACCACAAAAAAAAACCATTTTTGATACCCAAAAACTAACAAAACTTTATTTTTGTTACCTAAAATCACAAAGAAATCATTTTCGCGGCCTAAAATTTTAATAAAATCTCTTCTTATTACCTCAAACCTCAAAAAATTCGCAAAATACCCTATTTCATACCTTTTTTCTTGACCAATTTCGGCTTTGGCAACTCGGATCCGTCGCAATCGCAGGCTTCGGTCGTCGGTGAATTCACCATGCTTTTCCCGATAATAAAAAAAGCGGAAAAACGTTTGCCTTCAGTCGATTCGATGCATCTGAAACAGCGGACAGTTGTAATAAATAATTGATAAGGGTTCCCACGCTTAATTCGATATAACAATAACGAAAATGTTTTTGGAAAGTTGAAGAAGGGTTTGAAAAGTTGAAAAAGATATGATAAAATGGCAGTTTAAGCCCTATGCTACCCTACCTTACCCTATCCTACAGTATCCTACCTAACTAGCCCTAGTCTACCCAGCATACCCTACCTTACCCTTATACTCTTCAGTACCGTACATCATCCTACTACATATATATTACCCAGCCAATACCCTTGAAACCGAAACTTCCCTTCATTATTCTAACATTTCTTAACCATGCCCACGCCTTATCCTGAGAAACCCCCTTAAATTAATTATGTTGTCCTACCCTACACACCGTGTCATCAAATTGTTCTACCCTTGCAAAGCCTTGCCCGATCGAAGCCTTACTTACACAGTATACTGCCCTACGATACCTGACCCCACCTTACTCTGCACTATCCTACAGTACTCTGCCCTATCCACTACTACTAGAACTTCCTTTACCAACCCTATTACAATATGCCCTAAATACCCTTGCCCTACCCTCCACTAAACTGCTTTGTTTTGCCTTGCCCTGCCTTACCCATACTATAAAATCCCCTATCCTATCTTATCCTATCTTACCCTACCCCACCCTATCCTATCTTACCCTACCCTACCCACCCCTGCATGAACTTCCCCTCTCCACCTCAACCAAGCATCAACTATTGTGCAATGTGACCAAAGAAGTCCAAAAGTCCACTCCCGATAATACAATTGAAACCCAACTTTAACCCAATTCTAATCAACTTGAATCCATTTTTAGTATAAAAACAAGGCATGGTAAATAAAAACAACAAAATCCTCGGCTGCAGGAATGACTTGCTTTTATTTGTAGAGTAGTTGAACAAGAGAACCTATTTGCTATTTGTTTACTTGTGAAAAGGTCTGTTTCGACTGGTTTAACATAAAATAAAAAGGTGAGCAACAACATAGACAGTTTAATCATGTGGTTTAGGTTTTTAAACCAAAGTTTTAAAAATAACTCTTAGAGAATTATATTTAAAAAATTCAATCTTTAGGCTTAAAGGCTCAATGTTTAAACTATAAACTACAAACTGTAGGCTTACATACTTAAATCTTTAGGTATAAAAACTTTAATGTATAGGCTTAAAGGCTTCAATATTAAAACTCAAAGGCTTAAATCTTAAGGCTTAAAAGTTTAAACGTTTAGGCTTAAAAGCTTCAATTTTTAAGCTGAAAAGCTCAATCTTAAAAGTCTCATAATTAAAGGCTTTAGGCATATCGCTTAGAACAAAATTGGCTTAGAAAGCCTTATGCTTCAAAGACCTAGCCTTGACCTAGACTTAGCCATGTCCTGTCCCTGCCTTAACGCTATCAAAGCCCCTCTTTTAGAAAGCCTTAAACTTAGAAAGCTGGGTTTAAAAATCTTAGCGGTATAGGAAAAATTAGGCTTAAATAGTCTTACAATTGTTAGACTTAAGTTCCAATAAATCTAATGTCAATCCTAAAATCCTTAAAAACATTGAAAACTACATTATATTGTAAAATACGCCAATACACAGTTTGGTGGTAATGAAAGATCAAATTTTAATTTTTAAAACTTAAGCCTAAAAATTAAAATTGTAGAAGTTGAACTTCAAAAACAAGAAAAAAAATCCCACATAGCCTTGTTAAGTTTTTTTCGACAAAAACGCTTTGCAAGTTTCGCCCATTTTCAACAAAACCCACTTCAATCTCATGCATAAACAACAAATAATCTGCAGTTTTTGCAAACTTTGAACGTCAAGGTGCAGCAAATTGTTTGCTAATCAATTTTTCTTCAACGACTTTCTTTACAAAACAAAAAATGGCAAGAGCTTCACTTACAAAACAAAAAATGGCAAGAACTTTATTTACAAAACAAAAAATGGCAAGAACTTTCTTTACAAAACAAAAAATGGCAAGAACTTTCTTTACAAAATGAAAAATGGCAAGAACTTTATTTACAAAATGAAAAATAGCAAGAACTTTATTTACAAAATGAAAAATAGCAAGAACTTTATTTACAAATCAAAAAATGGCAAAAACTTTCTTTACAAAACAAAAAATGGTAAGAACTTTCTTTACAAATCAAAAAATGGCAAAAACTTACTTTACGAAACAAAAAATGGCAAGAACTTACTTTAAAGGACAAAAAATGGCAAGAACTTTCTTTACAAAGTTAAAAATGGCAAAAACTTTCTTTACAAAACAAAAAATGGCAAGAACTTTCTTTAAAGGACAAAAAATGGCGAAAACTTTCTTTACAAAACAAAAAATAGCAAGAACTTTATTTACAAAACAAAAAATGGCAAGAACTTTCTTTACAAAACAAAAAATGGCAAGAACTTTCTTTACAAAACCAAAAACGGCAAGAACTTTCTTTACAAAACAAAAAATGGCAATTTTATGTTAAAAAGCCTTTTTAAATATTGAACCCACCTTTTTCTACCCTCGCCGTCAATTCCCTCTCCCTATCTACCTCCGTTACCTAGAATAATCTCATCTCGTTTCAATTCGATTATTATCAACTTTTAAATCACTCCTTGCTTCACTCGGAAAAAGGCGGCTAACTTTCCAACATTTGGAGTTCTTCACGTGTTTACCACAAACAAAAAAAGTCGAAAAAGCCTCTTCACTTTTTTTAGCGAACAACAGACAAGAAAATTACCCAGAAAATCGGTCGAACATTCCTTTATATCGTCATATGGTTTGTTTTATATATTTAGGCGCGTGAATGTCATGTTCAAGCAATTTAAGATTAAACGCTTAGGTTAAAAGTTGTCAGAGGTTTTAGGTTTAAAGATTTTAAAATTAGAAGCTCAGAGACTATAGGCTTAAAAACTTTAGGCTTAGAGACATGAAGCTTAGAGGCTTAAAGACTAGGTTTAAAAGTTCGAAGATTCGACACTTAAGACCTTTAAGATTAGAGACTTCAAGCTTCCGGCCCTTAGGCTTAGAACCCGTAAGCTTGCGACCTTAAGGTTTAGAAGCTTTAGGATTCGGGGCTTTAGGCTTAGGGTGTTTAAACTTGGGGCTTTTAGGCATAGCGCCTTGAGTCTTAGGACCTTTAAGCTTAGATTTTTTAAATGTAGGCGGTTTACGCTTAGTGCTTTTAGGCTTAGGGTCTTCAGGCTTAGATTCCTTAGAATTGCAGCCTTTAGATTTAAGGCCTATAAGCTTAGGTCCTTTCGACCAACGACATTCCAGCATCCAATTTTTACTAATTAAGAATTCATTAATTACTACTTTTTTGTATCTGAACCCAAAAACAAGACCAAACAATGCATACTAATTACAGTTATTTACTTAACACTCCTTACTTCCCCATTTCCTATCCCCCCCCTCCCTCGCACTACTTACGGCCTATGCCCCACCCTACCTTACCGTCGAATCTCATTACCATGCCCTTCTGTTACATTATAATGACTTGAACCTAGCTTGTCTTACCCTATGAACCTACCCTACATTACTCTACTCTACCCTGCCCTGCCCAAAAAACCTTGCGCTACACATTATAAATTACATTACCCTACCTTAACCCTTTCCCAAATTGCACGTCCATCATGTGGACGCATTTTAGAACAAAAAGTCGTCATAACTGGGAGATGACAAAAGTGAACACTTACTAGAATGTTTACTCAACTAATTTTTGAAAGAAAAAATATGAAATTCCCTCGAGTTTAGCCGTTTTTTGCTCGTCATCTCGAATTTCGCTCATTTTTAAGTCAAACATATATGTAATAACTTTACAGTTTTTAGTTTATTTTTCCTTGACTACCTTCTCCTGCCTTATGCCAATTTACACTATCGAACTCTACCCTACCGTACGCTACGCTATAATACCCTACCCTACTATACCCTACCCTACTTTATAATACTAATAATGAGCTTCAGCTAATAACGTGCTCGAAAACGGTTAGTATCACAAAACATTCTCCAAAATGGCCCTAGAAAACAAAACGTTTTTCCTTCTTCAGACTTTATTTTCTTGTTGTGGCCGAAGCAAAAAAACAATATCAAACTCAATCGAACCTATTATACATAATAACTTGGGTTTTTTGAGCCTGGCACCTGTTGAAAAAGTAATTTTATTTATAATTTTATGTTTTAATACCTTCGAAATTAACTTTATTAAGCACGGTTTTAATTCAATTTGAATACGTAAAACTATCGTAACTTAATTAAAGTAGAACTACTGTATAACGAATCGCTAGACTAATTAAAATTTGTTTGTTTTGAAAAGATTACGGTATACAAAACCTTTAAAGGTAATTTTTCTTCGTTATACAGGAGTTCCACTTTATGCATCAAGCTTAAAAACCCCTTCTACATAGTTTTAGGCTTACAATGTTAGATTTATTAAGTGCCAAAATAAAGAATCCGCAATTTTTTACAGGAAATTACAGGAAAAGGATAGCGGCTTTTTTATGTCGACACCTAATAGAAACTAAAAAGACTTCAGGTTTAAAAGCTAAAAAGCTTTTACATTTAGAAACCTTAGGCTTAAAAGCTTGTCAATTATAGGCTTTGAGGCTTTAGGCTTACAATTAACACTTCGGCTCAGCACTTCGGCTCTTTATAACCATGCTAACACTATATACTATCGATTGAAATAATCAAAACTAATAAAAAATAAGCGTGACTTGCCCTGAATAACCTAAATGACATTTAAAAGATATGTATACGTGACGTAGAATAAAACAAGCATTAATCATGCTACAAAATAATACAAAGCAATACTGTAAAAATTACTCATTTTTTAGAAAACAATAACCAGCATTACAATTTTTAAGCGCTAACGCTTATATTATTATAGTATTGTTTCATACATGACATTTTGTAACACCCCCCCCCCCCCTCCCTACCTTCTTCTTGTAGCCTCTGCACCACCCCTTCTGTAGCACACCCCCCCCTTCCCCTCGATCACTCAAATTTTAAAACAGATTGTTAGCCGTTTTGTTAAAAAAAATGAAATTCAATGACAGGTTTGACTAACGTCTCATAACACTTTTGACCATAATAATAGTATGGAATTTTATCCCCTCCCCCCTCTCCTCAATTTCCTTCCCCACAAAGTACGGTATATGCTTATTTTAGTACAAATTATAGGTTTACTAACATATTTTGTCTTCTATAGTTAAACCTCAAAAGAAGGCACACGAGGCCTTACCTCTGCCCCAGGCCGAAATGTACCAAAAAAATATTCAATTGGAACCGGACCAGAACGTTTAAGCCTAAGAGCAGGGCACAAGCAAAAGCCCCAGGTGAGCAGCTTAGGTCGCGGAACAAAAGATTTGACTGGAAAAAAATTTAAAACAAATGCATAACGTACTAGTTATTTAGAGCACAAATGCAGTCCCATACAAGTTATCCGAATTTTTATTTTCAGCAAAATTGGGCCCTTGGGTTTTGTATTGATAACTACCTTTACAGACTTTTAAATACAGATTTATCGAATAACTTTACGTCAATTGGCAGTCAAGTCAATAACAACATGAGCCACTGAGCATAAACACTATTGTAATCTTATTATAATCCCTATTAGTCATGAGTGCAACATAGTGTTTTCAAAATTTTAAGCACAATAGTGGAGTGATCGTATTTTACAAAAAAAATAAAACAATTTAACTTGTAAAGAAAGTTTTTGCCATTTTTTGTACTGTAAAGAAATTCCTTGCCATTTTTTTGCTTGTAAAAAAAGTTCTTGCCATTTTTTCTTGTGTAAAAAAGACCTTGCGATTTTTTTTTGGAAAGAAAGTTTTTGCCATTTTTTCGCTTTGTAAAGAAAGTTTTTACCATTTTTTGTACTGGAAAGAAAGTTTTTCTTTCTCTTCTTTAAATACTCTATTCCTTTATTAACATACGCATCTTTCCTCCCCATGCCTTATGAGGTTAGCCTCAATATTTCAGCCACCCGTCTTAAACCCTGCCCAGTGTTTTGCCCGGACCGGTCCAGAGCGTTTTTCACCAGTCCTGTCCGGAGATTTTTTGAGATTTTCGGGTCAGGCCCAATCCAAGCCCAAAATTTTTAGGAAAAAAAAATTTTTTTCGGTCCGCCCGGATTGGACCGAACCCGTCCGAAGACCGGCCCGTCAAAACACAGACCCTACCCCCTCCTTTCCCTTCCTTTATAAGGTTAGTCACACTCTGGAGCCAACAAAAGTCGAGAAGGAACGCATTAGACTTCGAGATTTCGTCATGAAACTCGGAATTTATTGAGGAAAAGTGAGTCATAACCAAAATTCGTAAAAAAAAACAATTCCTAAACGTGTGCCTACAAAGAAGGGGGGGGGGAGGGGGAGGGGTTGCGACAAACATTCAAAAAAAACATCCCTTTGTTTTTTGTGTCAAAACATTTAAAAATTTCAGCTTTTTTGAGGTTTAAATGTTAAATTTCAGAGCTTTGATGCTGAAAACTAACATTTTTTTTCAATTTAAAAGCAAAAAATTTTAAATTTTTTAAATTGTAAAGAAAGTTATTGCAATTTTATAACCAAAAATTCTGTTTCAAAACAAAGAAGAATGTTAAAAGTTGAAAAAAGTTTATGACAAAGATAAAAAAACCTCAAATCCAATAAAAGTCTGGCTCAAATTATCTAATGAAACCCTTCTGTGCCCTCACGTGAAGTCAAATAAACATTAAATTTAAAATGCCTATGAAATCATGGAAATTCTTTGAAGAAGTTTCAAATTCTAAGAAGGTAAAACGTATTTTACAAAAAAAATCAAAATAAATATCATATGCATAAGCCTAAAACTTTCAAACGCAAAAATTACTAACACAGAGCCTAATAGATTTAAGCCTGTCAACAAGACTAATACCTTTAAGCAAAGAATCGCCATGCCTGAAACCTCTAAATGTTCCAGATTAACTTCTTTAAGGCTAAAAGCTTTAAGCCTAAAACCTTTATGCCTAAATTCTCTAAAACAAAATTTATTTGACATTAAAGTCTCTTTTGACATTAATTCTAATGGCTCTAAGCCTAAGACCTCTAAACCTTAGGCCTCTAAGCCTTACGCCTCTAAGCCTAAGACCTCTAAGCCTAAAGCCTCTAAGCCTAAGGCCTCTAAGCCAAAGGCCTCTAAGCCAAAGGCCTCTAAGCCAAAGGCCTCTAAGCCAAAGGCCTCTAAGCCAAAGGCCTCTAAGCCAAAGGCCTCTACACCTAAGTTATCTATCTCTAAATTAAACGCTATTAAGCCTAAAACATTTTTAAGCCTGTCTAATTCAAACAAGCCTAAACCACCAAAACGTGCTAATATAAACCACAAAATAGAAAAAAAACCAAAGAAAATCATAAAATAACAAAAAGTGCCAGTTAAGTTCCACTAAATCTAAAAGAACATTAAAACTTAAAGGATGTCAACAAAACCAAAAGAATTTTTTGGATTTTTGGAGCAAAAAAAAACAGAGAGAACTCTGTGGACATTCATTCGCTTCCGAGGACACAAATGTCTCCATTCAAAACAGTTTGACCAACTATTTTTAAATCCTCAAACAATTTCAATGCCTGGAGGGCTTTACTGGCCTTGATGAGGAATTTAGCAAAGTTTTGCCATTTTTTAGTTTGTAAAGAAAGTTCTTGCCATTCTTGATTTGTAAAGAAAGTTCTTGCCATTTTTTGGTTTGTAAAGAAAGTTCTTGCCATTTTTGGTTTGTAAAAAAGTTCTTGCCATTTTTTAATTTGTGAAGAAAGTTCTTGACACCTATAAGTAGAAAAAACGTATTTTACAAAAATTAAAATAAAAACCCCCACAGGTAATATATAAAACAAGCAAATTCATTATAAATCATATAAACAACAATAAAAACAATCAACATCAATGAACTAACCCATAGATAATATAAATTGACCCCAAAAACCAAATAAAGCCCACAAATTAATATCTAAAGCAATATTAAAATAAAACTAATTAAAATCCTTCATTCCCCTCAGGTTACATCCCAATTTCTCCGAAAAAACAATAAAATATTCTTTATTTATTTTCTATTCAATAGTGGCACTTCGTCACACAACATATCGGCTTTCACTTTTTCTGTGACACTTCGCTGCGGATGTTTCTTTTTTCGACCTATCTCTGCATAATATATGCACACAAAAGTGCGCGTTATAGCTTTATTTTCGCGTACGTAACCTCATATATTATTTAGAATTGATCTTGCTCATTTTAGGAGGTTGGTTATCTACATTCCTGTCGAACTATGGCTGCGAAAATGTGAGTTTTAACCTAGTTTTCATATCAATATTTCTGTTTTAGTGGCCAAAACGTTGTTCAATCATGGGCTGATGCATCTGCTGAAGAAAGTAAGTTTATATATTTATTTTAGGTAACAAAATCTATCTTCTAAATTATTTTAAAGTTTTGGAACACAAGGTTTCACTTTTGTTGCGAAATAATGCCATAGGCAAATGGGAGAATTCTCAAAAGAAAATTTTTATTTTCGAAAATTCAAAACCAATCTTTTGGTTGTAAAATTGTATATTTATTTGTCTTTAACATCACGCTTGGATAACATAAGTCTAACTATGGGTATTCAGAATGGAATAAGTTCGTTTTTATTGATTTATGTTATATTAGGTCTTGGGTCATGGTTAACATCAGCTTTTCGGGGTTTGCAAGGATTTATGTGTTTAAAAACTCTTGTTATATTATGATAACAAGGTTATTTCTGTTTCTAATATAAAGCGGCGGGTTTTTTTTGTTTTTTCGGATTCTATTCTTTGAAATAAGAGGTAGCTCATGGGTAATATAATTTTTCTGAAGAAAACTTTAAATTTTGCGTAGTCCATGGCTCTTATTAGTTTAAATATGAATTAAGCTTTATTTTTAATTATTAATTTGCTTGTTTCAGGTCCACTAAAAACTGAAGAAAGCATTATCGAGGAAAATGGCAAAACTTACAAGGTATGAACTGATTTTCTTTTTTTTCTTGATTTTAGGCACATTTACAGACCAAAGCTGATATGGTAAAGCTTTAAAAATGAACAAAGAACTTTTTTCTTTGTGTTACAAAGATTTAACTTCAATTTTTCTTGACCTGTGCATCAATTCATGTTGTTTTAGGTCAAGCAAACATACCAAACCGTGACTCGTCAAGTTCCACGTATTGTTGCTGAAAGAAGAAAGTGGAAAAAGTTTGGCAAGTCTGCTAATGATGGACCAGGCCCAAACCCAGCTACCACATTTGTCGCTGAGGAGGTCAAATTGGTCTGGGTGAATAACCAAGCCGAACAGGAGCTGGTCGATGACAAGAAGCAGGATAACTTGGCCAACACTGTTGCTACTCACTGTCGCTTGTGTAAATCGGATGACCATTGGTCTAGAGATTGTCCTCTTAAGGTAGGGAGGCTTTCAGTGTTTTTTTTATGTTTTGAGGTGGTGTATATAGTTTTAGGCACATTTTTATTAGTTTTTAAGCTAAATCGAGCAACTTTTCAGTTTTTTGGGTAACATTTTAATTTTCTTTTCATATATTTATGCATAAATTTTAAAATATCACTTTTCAGAGCTACTACCAAAGCCAAGAAGACAAGACCGACGCAAGGGCACCAACCTCAGGTGCTGGGGCTTATGTACCTCCAGGAGCTCGTGGTGGAGATCGCGTTGGTGGTAAGCTTTTTGAATATTTTAATCAGTTTTCGAACGAAATGGTATAAACTTTCTTTACAAAACTAAAGATAAAAAGAAATTTTAAAAACTAAAATATGACATCCTTTCACAAAAATCCGTTTTCAGCCGAACGAAGAAACGATGAGAACACGTGCCGTGTCACGAACTTGCCCGAAGACATGCCCAACCTCGAGGAACAGCTCCGCGACATGTTCGGCCAGGCCGGCCGCATCGAACGCTTCTACCTGGCCCGAGACAAAGCCACGAACAGGCTGCGCGGCTTCGCCTTTGTCACATACGAAAGCAAAACCCACACGCAACGAGCCATTGAAATGTTCAACAACGCCCGCTTTGGCCACCTCATCCTCAAGGTGGAGTGGACGAAACCCGCCAACAACTAATCTATTCACATTGTTTTTGGTTTTTCAATGATATAAAGTTTGTTATTGGGAAAAGGAGGTGATGTGAAGGTTGACATTGGACTTTATGGTTGATTTAAGGCTAATATTTCTTTATTCTACACCAAAATCTAAAGTTATATACAAAAATCGTCTACTACAACATCAGAAGCTCATTTTTTTTTGCGACTCCACTTTATAAATCGCCCTTGATATTGGGATGGTCGATTAAATGATAACGGAAGCACTCTCTGATCTTGTCGAAATCTCTCAAACAAGCTAGATACTTCAAGTAGTCGGTCGGTACTCCATTCGTCGTTTCACAATAAGCCATGCAACCAGGTTGTACGCCCTTGGCTTGACAACAAGGCCTGTGATCAGCTCGAGATGAGGCACAATCCCACATTTGACCGACGGTGGGGCCACGCGGAGCGCAGGTGGAGAGGAAGAATAGTACCTAAATTTTATTTCAAATGTTGTTTTTTTTATTATGGAAAAAATTTTGAATTTTTTTAATTTGAAGAATTGTACGGTGCAAATAATATATTGGTTGCACAGTGCACTGGAACAAGAGCCTGCACAGTGCAGTCAATATAATGGCTGCACAATGCAATAAATTTACTGACTGCACAGTGCAGTTAAATTACGTAACAAATTCACGGTGCAACCACATTACGCAAGAATCGCACGGTGCAATCAATGTAGCGGATGCACAGTGCATACAAAATTACGTAATAACAGCACCGTGCATTCAATATAGCGGCTGCACGGTGCAGATGTCAAATTACGTAACACTTGCACGGTGCAGCTAATCAAATGAATGCACAGTACACTTAATTAAAAGACTGCACGGTGCAAGCTCAAAAACCCTAATACCCATATCAAAATGAAAAACTAAAAAATTTAAACTTACAGTATTACTAGAAAGAGCACTAAAATCGCAGAATCTTTGTTTACATTCAGGATCAGCCTGAGGCAATTTGGCACAGCAAGCCTTTAGCTTTTCGTTTGGTCTTCTTCCTTTCTGTCTCTTTGGTGGTAATGGAACTTCGGCAGGTGATTGAGGTTGTTGAAAACCTGGATGTTGAAAACCTTGCCATAGTGGAAACAAGCCTTGTGATGATATTGGTGTTAACTGTATTAGTACTATTAGAAATGTTGATGTGTAGACGAGGGTTTTCATCCTGAAATTTTAAAATTTTTTAAAATAATGAGTAACTGAAGAATTAGAAATTGTTGCAAAACACGATGACATAACTGGAAAATTTTGTAAAATACGCCGTTGACAACTTGTCCTGTTTTACCCTACCTTGTACTAACTACTCTACCTCAACGCTTGCCCTACTTGTGGCTTAACCTTGCCTTACCTTCGCCCTACCCTCGCCCTGTCTAGCCTTGCATTAATGAAAGAAACCTGAAGTCAGGCTTGACATTCCAGAACAAAAACTCTTCGACACGTCTTTCACGCGCTTAATGTTATGATCGAAAAAGGATTAAAGTAATAAGTCATCTTCTCTACTTTTTAAGATCCGAGGAAAAATGAGAGACGGGAATTGTTCTACTAATCACTTCTTGTTTCTAAACTTTAAATCAATAAAAAATTTAATTAATGAAAAATCCCCTTCTACTAAAAAAATAAAATTTACCATACCCATATTTTTATCACAAGCCAAAACAGCCCTTGCCCTACCATAGCCATTATCCTTGCCATACTCTTGCTTTACCTTTACTTTACTATTGCCCTACGCTTGCCCTACCCTTGCCCTAGCTTGCTTTATTCTTGCTCTATCCTTGTCTTTCCCTTGCTTTAAAATTGTAATAGCCTTGCCATACCCTTGCCTTACATTTGCCTTCCTTTGCTATACCTTTGCCTTACGGTTGCTCTACCTATGGCTTACCCTTTCCCTACCCATGCACTACCCTTCCATATCCTACCCTTTCCCTACCCATGCCCCACCCTTCCATATCCTACTCTTTCCCTACCCATGCCCTACCCTTCCATATCCTACCCTTTCCCTACCCATGCACTACCCTTCCATATCCTAACCTTGTACTACCCTTACTCTACCCTTGCCTTGCCCTAGCTCTACCTTTGATCTACCTTTGCCCTGCTCTTACCCTACTTTTCCCTACACTTGTTCTATCACTGCTCTCTTTGCCTTACCCGACTATACCCTACCCTACTCTACCCCTAGCCCTTGAATACCCCACTCAAACACTAGCATGCTTAACGCACCCTACTCTACCCTTGGTTTACCCTTCCTGTACCCTTGCCTTTTCGTTGTCCTATTTTTGTCCCTGCCTTACCCTTATCCTATCCTTGCTCTATCCATCCGCTGCTTTACCCTACTTTTTGTTATCTTACAATACCCCCACCAATATCCAACCATAAAAACCTAAAAAACCCTCTCCCCTTCCAAAACCATGCCTTTTTCTACCCCTTTCCAAACCAATAATGACACTTTTAATTATGTTGTTATAGGGATGCTTACTACAAACCAGAATACCGATTAAACGTATTCAGAAAAGGTAAATCCGGAATGAATCCACAACAAGTTTTGTTCGTAACCATCGTTTAGAAAAGGTAATCGTTCAGAAAAAAAGTCAATAAAAAAAAGGAAAAAGCCTACTACAATATGACAAAATGGCAAGAACTTTCTTTAATAAACAAAAATGGCAAGAACTTTCTTTACAAAACAAAAAATGGCAAGAACTTTCTTTACAAAACAAAAAATGGCAAAAACTTTCTTTACAAAACAAAAAAGAGTTTAAACTGACGTCAATCCTCATCCACTTCCTTTCATTGATGTGTAGTAACGTTCTTATATATTTTTTTATTGAAGCGAGGCTTACAATTCAAAAGGAAAGAAAAACAACAAGATGATGAATGACATTCAACATTTTTAACAAAAAATTGGTTTTGAAACCTTTGGTCATCGAACGATGACAATGACAATGTCATCGGTGAGTCATTGCGTTCTAGAGATGTCATAGTTGCGAGTCATGACATAATAATACTCCCTACCCTACCCTACCCTACCCTACCCTACCCTACCCTACCCTACCCTACCCTACCCTACCCTACCCTACCCTACCCTACCCTACCCTACCCTACCCTACCCTACCCTACTCTACCCTACCCTACCCTACCCTACCCTACCCTACCCTACCTTACCCTACCCTATCCTACCCTACCCTACCCTACCCTACCCTACCCTACCCTACCCTACCCTATTCTACTCTACCCTACGTTTCTGCCCCTATTCCTTACCTCTATTGTCGTTCTCTTGTCTTACCGTCTTACCTTAGCTTACCGTACTCCATTCTACCTTATTTTACAGTAATATATCTTGCCGTACTCTACCCTCCCGTACTCTGCTTTACTATAGCTTACCGTACTCAACTCAATCGTGCCTTGCCCTGCTCTGTCTTTCCAATCCCTACTCTACTATACTTTACTCTACCGTAATCTATCCTATCGTACGTCTGTCTTGACTTATCCTGCCATGTCCAGCCCTACAAAGTAGTCTAGTTTAAGATACCGTACCCAAAAAATAGCAAGCCTACCATACCCTACACTACTTTTCTTTTATCTGCCCATGCTCTACCCGCCATACCATACATTTTGTTATCTTATGGTACTTTACCCTTTACTAATGTCTTTTTTCTTTGGTTAATTCCTTATACAGAGGTTCTACTGTACTTTTTTTCATTTTTCAATTGCTATATCATTCCAAAACAACTTCAAAACTGTTGTTTATATAACTTTTTATCAACTAACATGATAATCATAAACATTTCGCTTCTTTTGACCTTTAATTGTTTTTATATTGTTTACCAAAAGCCAATCGATCGTGGCCAATCACTCCAAAACACAACTTTAAAACATGTCCTAGGCGCCCTTTTTTGCCACTTCCGAAGCCATGTTTATCAGATTTTGACCACTTTTGTAAACCAACATATTTTGCAAACAATGCTTATAAAACCGAACAAAAATAGGTATAAACTATGAGTAATACATGGATAATATAATGATGGCCCTGATTTTAACGATTTTTTGGCGTGATAAAGCTTTGATATAAAAATGATAGGGCAATAATAAAGCAAGGTATAGTATCTGAAAAATTTTTAGAGCGTATATTGTGTCCAATTTTAGAGTCGTTATTACTTTTATATGAAAATATTATCCATGATCAGCTTTGACCTCACAATTTTGAGATGCCAAAAAATTGTTTTCTTTTGCAATTTTAGTCGATTTTTCAAAAAAATAATGTCAAAACACTTTGAAAATCGTATATTAGAATTTCATAGCTGTTGGCGATTCCTACAATAAGTTATGACACTTTTTCTTATATTATCCATCATTACCTCTTTTGGAGCCACTGACTTTGAGAATATATAACAAAATGTTCCGTTCATAAATCTAGATACTTTTTGTTTTGAAATACGTCAAAACACATCAAAAATCATGTCCTAAAAGCTCGCAGCGTTTGCATCTACCTAAAAATAGATATTTAGATTTTTCTTTGTCTAACGATTGCAATTTCAGCCGGCTGTCCAAACATGTTGAAACACTGTTTGTTTACAAAAATTATCGAAGCAATTCAAAATAATTTGACTTGTTGTGTTCGTAAAAAGAAGTAAGTTGTATTTTATAACATTTTTGGGAGTTTCGTGGATTTTACATCAATTTATATTGTAGTAGAGGGCAGTTGTTCAAGATTTTAGACGTTTTTAATAACTTTTAGTAAAATAAAGTCAAAATTTAAGGAAAGTAAAATATTAGAAGCCTTTTTTGAGCTAATAGAGTTAGTTTTAAACTGATTTATCCTTTTTATCAACCGGTTTTTACAATTCTCTTGAAAAACATCAGACTTGACGCATTTCAAAAATGGGGTCAAGTTTTGTTTTTAGTAAGAAAAACAAATTGTTGTTTGTTTTACGGATGAAACTGTTGATTCTATGCGTAATATTGTGAAATAACCTGTAAATACTACTAAAAATATTGCAGAATGACAGATTCATGGGATAACGCTGATAAAAGTAGGTATTTTCGGCTTATTTTGTTGAATTATAGGTTATAACTTAAGGTTCTTCTTGATTTTAAGGCTAAAACTTGAGTTATCCGTGCTTTTGAGAGTCTTCTTGAGTTAAATTAATGAGTTAACAAAAGGTTCTTGTATTTTATAGTGTTTTTTAGCTACAAATCTGGCTTTGCCATAAAGAATTTATGTGTTAATTTTAAAATTAGTTGAAGACTAACTGTTAATGCCTATAACAACCTTCATATCAATGTCTTATGTCTTCTAATAATCTTCAGAACCTTTATCATCAAATTCATTGGATTATCTTGCACATTTTGTAGCGGATTCATGGAATTTCGACGCCAATTCGTCCGTTGCCATTCAGGAGAAGTTCTTCAGAGATGGCCACATTGGAGATCGATGTGAATTACTCGTAGCTCATCCGTTTTATCTAGCTACTGGTGAGTATGTTACGTTTTGTTGTTTTGGTTTAGATTTGGAATTTTAGATTGAAGAGAATCAAAGGTTATGATGGGATGTATGTTGTCCATCACTAATTTGATAGGTAGCATAAGATGGTTAATATAAAATGGAATATTATGTATTATGAGCTATTTTATAGCTCATTTGAAAGAAAAAAAATTTATTTAGCTATAAAAAGGTAATTTTTGTTGTGTTACAGTCGAAATTAGCCTTTTTGAGAGCATTATATTATCTATGGTTACCTTGATAAAGGTTAATATAAGAATCAAAATATAAAATCAAGCTTAGGTTAAAATAAGTTGATTTATAGCTTACAACACAGATAATACATAATATTACGTAGTGTAATATAAATATTGTTTTTCCAGGGCCCGGACTAGGTATGAATCTTGAATATTGGAAAGACGTCAAATTTCTATTAGTTCGAATGAAGTCGGAGTACATTACCGTTCAATGCACGTTGGATTCAGATGAAGTTGACGATATTTTTAAAGATATTGCTGGTGAGTATCCTTATCTCTGAGTTTGGCATAATTCAGGCTTGTTTGATATCAAAAATTTGAGTTCAAAATTGATTTATCCTTAAATTTATGGATTTTGAGCTAATTTTGATGTTTTCAGCCCTGAAAGAGCTCAAAACCTTGAAGTTCACATGCCTGGAGTTGCAAGGATCTTGTCGAACAGAGAGTGTACTAAAGTATCTTGGTGATAAGATTGTGGAAATCACTGCCGACAAGTCGATTTTGCCTTATTTTCATAAAATACCTCATCTCAAGATATTGAACTTCTCTGAACGGGGTGATTTAGGTACGTTTTTCTAGTTATTGTCGTTTATATTGTTGTAAAAAGTTAGCATGTTGTTATAAGAATGGTCTTCAATTCATTTTGAGGTTAATTTCAAGAAAATACGGCTAAATCATATTGTTTTAGATATTGATGTAGTGTTCTCGTTGTCCGTACCTCACTTGAATCTCAAGCACAGTAGTTTTGTTCTTTTGACAGATATTGGAAAGCATACGTAAGTTTTGAAACTACATCTGTTTAAAAATGGCAAGAGAAACGAGATTTGTAGCGAAAAATTGAAAAAATGCCGAGACGCAGCTTGCGAAGACGATTCTGCAGGCTGCACAAGGCAAAATTGATTATCATGTAAAATACGTGCCATATGATGACTGTGTGTTTTATTTTGAGGTATAAAAAATTTATTTTTAAACGTTTTAAAAAGACCTTTTTGCAGATTTACCAAAAATTCTTTACTAAACCACTTGGGTATTAATGTAGAGCTAGGTGAACTGGACAAACTGGTGGACAAAGACGTGCTAAAAACATTTGAAGCTCTAAAATCTTTGAATACTAACATATTTGTTCAATTCCAAACTCAAATGCTCTTTTACAATGAAAGGGACGAGGTGGGTTGAGCATTATATTGTAGTAGGGCAATGTGGGTATAGGAGGGTAAAATACATGTCTCTATCTGAAATATATTGAAAATAATGACATTTTATATACGACGAAACCTAATTATGCACGATTTATCTTATAAAATGTAAATTTTCAATATTTTTTTAGTGGAACGACACCAAAGTCTTCCTCACATCGGTCAAAGATTTTATCAATAGAATAACAACTCAAGCCAAAAGCGTGGAATTGAGGTCAGCAATCAATCTGGCTGTGGAATGCAAGGTAATTAAGGATTTTTTAATTTTGTCAAGGATTTTTACTTTTTGCACGATGCAGTTATTAATTCAACTGCACGGTGCAGTCAGAAAATTTATTGCACGGTGCAATATTTCAAAAGGTTAATTTTAGCTATTGAAATGGTTTTAAAAAATTATTTTGCATTGATAATGAGAGTTAAAAAAGCTATTTTTAAAACGTACTTTTGTAATTTTAAAAAAATTTCATTTTACATTGGAAATGAGGATTTTAAATTTTTGCACCGTGCAGTCACAAAATTGATTGCACAGTGCACAGCTGTCTGAAATGGGAAATGACCAATAGTGGCTTTTCGTTCGTTGCAAAGTGTCCAAAAATTTTTCAAATGGTCTTTTTATTTTTTCTTTTTCTTTTCTCTATTTTTATATTTTATTTTAATTTTTGACACTTCGCAGCACGTTGAAACGTAACGAAAAGCCAGAAATTTCCATTTCCAATTTTTGTTTTACTTCAGACAGACGTGCAGTGCAATATTTTAAAATTTTGATTTTACCTGTGAAATGACAGTTTGAAAAACGTGTTTTGCATTGAAAATGAAAGCTAAAAAAGCAAAATTTAAAATGTGTTTTTGAAATTTATAAAAATTTTAACTTTGCATGGGAAATGAGGTTTTTTTAGGATTACCCAGACAAATTTGACGAATTCCTTGAATCGTCATTCCCAGAAGCCAAGATTTCAATCGAAAATGATGAGTATACTGTAGACTTTAATTCAAACTCGACTAAAGTCGACTTTGGAATCGCCAGAGAAACACCAGATATGCAATAACAATATCATAGTATGAATACGAGTGCAATTTTCTATAAAAAGTATTTATTTTGAAAGATATATTGTTAGAGTTGATAGTTTATAAATAATATTGGACTGAAAATTTCAAATTCGGTGTTTAAATTTGTCTGAAATGGCTTATTGACATGAAAGGGACATGTTATACGATGAAACATGTTTTATCGTATAAAGTGTCACATAGGATGAATGTATTGAAAGTAATGACATTTTTTTACTTATTGGGCATTTACTCATAACGTTACATTTTGTTTCAAATTTTATGTCGGAGCGACAAGTTATACGATGAAATACATTCAAAAACTTTTCATCGTATAACATGTCTCTAGCTAAAGAATTTTTTAAAAAGTTGACATTTCTTCGATTATCAGCCTTTTTATGGTCGGTCTTTTGCATTTTTAATATTTTTTATTACTAAGGCGACATATTATACGATGAAAGATGTATGAACATGTTTCTTCGTATAACATGTCACTACAAAAATAATTTTAAAAAAAGATGACATTTCGTATATTTTATGACTGTTTAAAGCCCATTTTTTGCGTTTTTAAAATTTTTAATGTTAATATGGCATGTTATACGATGAACTATGTCGGGACACATTCCTTCGTATAACATGTCACTACAAAAATAATTTTAAAAAAAGATGACATTTTGTTGCGTTACAAGCTTTTTAAGGCCATTGTTTTTCATTTCTTAAATTTTTTATTGTCAAGCTGACATGTTATACGCTGAAAGGTGTTCGGACACATTCCTCCGTATAAACTGTCTCCGAAGCTGAAATAGGTATTAAATGGCATTTTATGACTTTCAAACAGTAAATTTTTTTTTCTGCTTAAAACTTTTTAAAAAATTTTGTTTACAGTCACAGCAAAAAAGTTTAATTGAAGTAATATCCCATGTTAAGATGAATAATATAATTTAGAGCTGCAGGCTTGAAGCATATCCTCAATTTCTGGTTTAGCCGTAATAGGAAGGGGCTAGTAGTTGACGCAAAACCAGCCCAAGTCGTTTGTTGTTTTTTACGCGCCTCCGATTCTTGTTTTTGCAGCCGGCTGCCTCTTGATTGGGTTCGATTTGAGGAGTAGATTAGGTATAAAATCCACCCACCCCCCGCACAGTTTTCTTCAATCCCCTTAAGTGGCGTTCTTCGAGACAACGTTCACTGGCGTGATCGTTTGGAGAAGACAGGTAATTATGATGACTTTTTGGTTTTACGGTTGTAACGGTTACTGTAGCTTACTTACAAGCCAGTGGTAGGTGGTCAAGGTTGGGTAGGGTAAGGTAGGATAGGTTAGGGTAGGACAGAGTAAGACAGTGTAGGGTGAACTAAGTTAAATTTCATTTCGTAAGGGTAGGGGTGGTACTAGGGAAAAGTACTATATAGTACTACATAATGACTATGTTACTACTAAACTAAGAATTGAGTACCGTAGAGTAGTAGAGCAGGGTTAGATGAGGTGAGGTAAAGAACAAAAAAAGCCTTACTATCTTACTAATTATGGTATCATTAGATTAAGGTAGGCCTAAAACGGCTATGTTAAGGCTAGAGTACTGTAAGACAACATATAGTTAGTATAACTTACGGTAGAATTAGATACAGTAGGCTAGTGGTATTGTAGAGAAGAAAAGATTAAAAGATTGAATGCGAGGCTAAGGTATAGAGCAGGGCGTGACATTTCAGGCTAAGGAAGGGTACAGTAAGGTACGCAATGAAAGGTTATGGTAAAGCAGGGCAAGGTAGGGTACAGTTACGGTAAAACAGAGTATTATGAAGCAGAATAGGGTAGGGTAGGGTAGGGTAGAGTAGGGTAGGGTAGGGTAGGGTAGGGTAGGGTAGGGTAGGGTAGGGTAGGGTAGGGTAGGGTAGGGTAGGATAGGGGCTATTTCAAAATCATATTCTAATTTTAACTTTTTCAGCCAAACACATCGTTTTAAACCATGTCCAAGCTAGCCAATTCCGTGGCCGGAGCCGGTATTGGCTTCTCTGCCATTTTCATCTGTGGGGCCCTCTACTTTGTTGGCAACTTGTACAACGAGATCAATGAAATGCACACCGAGAGCATCGCCGAGCTGAACGAGTTCCGTCAGATCGCCAACGACGCCTGGAACAGCATGATGGACCGGAGAAAGCCTCAGTTTGAGAGCATCTTCAGACAGAAGCGTCAATACGATGCCGCCGCTACTGGTGGCGGCGCTTCGGCTGGTGGTGCTGGACAGTGCAGTAAGTTTGTGACTTAGATTTAGTAAAAGTTTTAAAAATTCAAAAATTTTTAAAAATTTTATTTTACAGACATGTTATACGATGAAACATGTTTGGTATAACATGTCAGTTAGTCGTACTATAGTAAAAATAATTAAAAAATATAATTATAAAGGTCTGTAAGGTCTAAAGAAGCTAATTTTTAAATATTTTTAAAAAGTGCCGTGTTATACGATGAAACATGTTTGATCGTATAACATGTCGCCTTAGTAAAACATGTTAAAATACGGATTAAAACTAAAAAAAATATTACTTAAAGAATCTATTAAGCCTAAATATGCCAATTTTTATGTATTTTTTAAAAGCGACATGTTATACGATGAAACATGTTTGATCGTATAACATGTCGCCTTAGTAAAAATTGTAAAAATTATGTTTAGAAATGTCATTTAAAGTATTTACAAGTCACAAAATGTAAATTTTTTAAAAAAATTTTTGGGGTTCTCTGAGAGAACACACCCACCACCTATTTCAAGCACCCATTTATTCAAATTTATAAATTTACAAATTCCATTGTAAAATGAGTCCAGAAGCGAAGTTCGGTTGTTGTAACGCTTCGTTTGCCATAGAAGAAGTTGGATTCATCGCACTCCTTCAAAAAGTGACATGTTATACGATGAAAAATGTTGAAACATAAACATTTTTCATCGTATAACATGTCACCTTTAACGAAAATTGTAAAATACGTTATACATATAAAGAGCAGTGTTAAATTAAAACATTTAAAACAATATTTTCTTTAGACTGCGCCCGCCAACCCAACAACTGCCCACCCGGACCACCAGGACCACCAGGCCAGCCAGGAGAGCCAGGTACCCCCGGAGAAGCCGGCAAGGACGGCCAAAAGGGCGGCGAAGGCTCGGCCCAAGCCGACGAAGGCTACGGACAAGCCGGCTCATGCATTCAATGCCCAGCCGGACCACCCGGACCACCAGGACCAGACGGACCAGCCGGCCCAGCTGGTGCCGCTGGTGACGCAGGAGCTCCAGGCAATCCAGGCAAAGACGGTCAAGCCGGACCACAAGGACCACCCGGTGAAGCCGGCCCAGACGGACAAGCCGGACCAGCCGGTGAAGCCGGAAAGCCGGGAGAAGGCGCTCAACAAGCTACACCCCTGCCCGGACCAAAGGGACCACCTGGCCCACCAGGACCAGCTGGCGATGCGGGACCAGCCGGTGCCACGCCACCAGCCGGTCAACCCGGTCCACCCGGACCACCAGGACCAGCCGGAAAGAACGGTGATGCTGGAAAGGCCGGAGAGTCTGGTGCTCCTGGTGCGGCTGGTATTCCTGGCGCGGACGCTGCTTACTGCCCATGCCCACCACGTACTGGCGATGTCGCTGGTAATGCTGCTGCTGCCGAGAAGGGCGGCTACAGAGTTAGATTTGTTTAGAGTATGAAGAAGTTATATTGAAATAAATGGCATTCAAAAAAAATTGAGTTTTGGCGTACAGTGACACGTTATACGATGAAACATGCTTGAGCGTATAAGTTGTCGCTTTTTAAAAAAATATTAAAATTTTTGAAAATTAGTTTATAACTAGTGATGTAAGCCTAAAATATTAATTTTCAACAAAATTTGAATATTGCCGTGACATGTTATACGATGAAACATGTTTCAGCGTATAAAATGTTGCTTTTCCAAAAAAAATTAAAAAATTTAACAAATATAACTATAAATGTCTATGCAAGCCTAAAAAATCAATTTTTTAACGTTATTTTTATTTTCAGTGACATGTTATACGATCAAACATATTTATTTTATCGTATAACATGTCGCTTTTTCAAAACGATTGCCCTATCCTATCATCCTACCCGACTCTTCCCTATTATAATACCACGCCCTGCCCTACATGCTTCAAGCTACCTTACTATGTCCTGCCCTACCTATGCGTAACACCTTAACCTACCTACCTCCCTTCTTAAAATGACTCATAATCTGCCCTGTTTAGCGGTTTTTAAGCGTCGATGAAATCAAAGCATGAGTTCACCTTTCTGACCTTGATTTACATGAATGTGTCAGAGAGTTTTGATTTCGAATTTTTAAATTTTAAAAATTATATAATATTAGCTTAAGTTCTGTAAACAATATTTAAATTTTTGTAAGGCCTGCAGTGTGCGAGTGCCATCTTATACGACGGATTGGCAAACTTTAAAATTTTCTGTTTTGTAAAGAAAGTTCTTGCCATTTTTTGATTTGGAAAGAAAGTTCTTGCCATTTTTTGATTTTTAAAGAAAGTTCTGACCATTTATCATAATTATAGATTTTTTTTCGATTTTGAAAAAATGGAATTTGAGTGGAAGATTTTCAGTGCAAAATACATTACAAATCTTCCACTTGGCTTCCATTTTAAAAAACGTGCTGTTTTTGCTATTTTTTGTTTTCTAAAGAACGTTCTTGCCTTTATAAGTCTTGTAAAGAAAGTTCTAACCTTTAATGGTTTGTTAAGAAAGTTCCTGCCATTTTTTGTTTTCTAAACAAAGTTCTTGCCATTTGTCTTACATAATCATCGTATAACATGTCACTCGCAGGCTGCAATACAATTTTTTTACAAAATCGACAAAGTTTTGGTCATAAATACGACAAAACAAGAAAACAATGTAAATTCAAAAGTTTTTATGTCATTATTTGTTTACTTTGCAGTTATGATTCGTCGTATTTTGCGGGTAAATTTAATCTGATTACTCTGTATTACATGATATCAACTTAAAACGTTAAAGGTAACTTTTACTGAGTGAATAGATGACTAATTACTGAACTTATTATTAGTTTGGACTGCTTTTTTGAACTTTTTGAAATTTTTTAGTGTTTTTCAATTTAAAAATGACTTTTTTGTTTTGTAAAGAAAGTTCTTGCCATTTTTTGATTTGTAAAGAAAGTTCTTGCCATTTTTTGATTTGTAAAGAAAGTTCATGCCATTTGGTAGTTTGTAAAGGAAGTCCTTGCCATTTTTGTTTTGGAAACAAAGTTCTTGCCATTTTTCATTTTCAAACTATTTTTTTTGTTTTCAGATAATGAAGCCAATTATAGCCACAGTATTGTTAACATTACTGAAATTTCAATTCCTATCAGCACTATTGGACGACTATCATTGTGGAGTCAGCACAATAACAAAAGTACTGTCATATGTGTCTAGTTCAATGTGTCAACAAGAGAAATGTGAGTTTAAGCTTAAAATGGCTAAAACTTTCTTTACAAAACAACAAATGGTAAGAACTTTCTTTACAAACCAAAAAATGGCAATAACTTTCTTTACAAGAGAAAAAATACCAAGAAATTTCGTTACAACGCACAAAACTAAGGTTTTTTATAAGTGGAAGTTAATTGGAAAATTTGCAATGTAATTTGCACTGAAAACCTTCCACTCAACTTCCACTTTTAAAATGTCTTAGAATGACTTAAAAACACGTTTTTGAAACTTTTTAGAAATGGAAATTATGTGGAAGATTTCCAGTGCAAAATACATTATAAATCTTCCACCGAACTTCCACTCTTAAAAAGTGTCAAAAACGTGTTTTAGCCAATTTTCAGACATTTTAAAAATGAAAGTTGAGTGGAAGATTTCCAATGCAAAATACATTACAAAGCTTCCACTCAACTTCCAATTTCTTAAAAGCTTAATGACTCCTTTTGGTAAGTCAAAAATAGAAAAAATATCATTTCTAAGGGCTAAAAAAAGTTTTTTGTCAAAAAATTTTTTTTTATTTTTGAAAAAATTACAGTAAACGGCTGCTGCTACGCCCATGACCGGTGTTATGACAAGAACTTTTACAAACATGATGACATGTTGATGAAGGAGTGTGACTACGACTTTAAGCACTGTATTCAAGTGTCGTATGAGAATGAGTTTGTTTGTAGTAAGATCCTAAGTGTCACACATGGGTCTCTGGTGACTTTTGTTGGCAGTTTCTACCGTAATCTCTTTGGGATAGATGCGCCTGAGGAGCATGGTCATTCTCGGTATAAACGACATATTAACAGTAAAGTAAAATAAATTTAAAAAATTTGTATTATAGCCCTGTGATATTTGATATTTTATCGGTGGGAAAAAAGGAGTAGGGACTGTATAATATTGGCGTGGGTTACTGTAGCTAAGGATAGGTTACCAGATAGGATTACTAAAAAGTTTGGAATAGGTTACTGTAGAAGAGTATAGACTATGAAGTAGAGTTACTGAAGGTTTTGGGGAACGTTACAGTGAAGAGATAAGTCATGTGTGTAAGTTACTGTATGACATGATAGTAAAAGGATGTAGGGCTCATTGAGGTGAATTACTGTAAGAGTTATGAGATGAGGGTAGGCTATTTTAAGACGTAAGAGATAGATTACTTAGAGTATGGTGGAGTAGGTTAGGGTAGGGTAGGGCAGGGTAGGGTAGGGTAGGGTAGGGTAGAGTAGGGTAGGGTAGGGTAGGGTAGGGTAGGGTAGGGTAGGGTAGAGTAGGGTAGGGTAGGGTAGGGTAGGGTAGGGTAGGGTAGGGTAGGGTAGGGTAGGGTAGGGTAGGTTAAAGCAGAAAAGCAAAAAAATAATTTGTACATTTATTCTACAGTAATCTCAATTACAATATATTATTAAATACAGCACTATACATTATTATTATATTGTACATGACCCTGATAAGCCCTAAAATGCTGTTTAACTATGGTGAGTTGGTTGGATGACCATCAAATTTGCTGTGATCTTTGTCATTCTGGGCCTTGGCGTTGAAGATTGCCTCACTGAGCTTGGTCGTCTTGTCTGAAATTTAAATATATACAACTGGAAAGCCCTACCCTACCCTACCCTACCCTACCCTACCCTACCCTACCCTACCATACCCTACTCTACCCTACCCTACCCTACCCGCCACTACCTTACCCTACCCCGCTGGGTTCTTCAATCCTCTCCCCTTTCCCCATTACTTGCATCTCTATAGTAACCCAAAAAGCTACCGTAACCCACCCTTTTTAATTATATCTCAATAGTAACCCAAGACCTACCGTAATCCACATTCTTAATATATACCTCTCTACAGTAACTCAAGACCTACCGTAATCCACCCCCATAACTTATACCACTCTACAATAACTCGCTTCCGTATCTTAAAACTCAATACGATGACCCATCTTATGACATATTCCTTCCCCACCCCCCTATATCAAACAGTAACTTACCATTGACAGTACTACAAAACTCTCGGTACCCATCGATTCTCATCAATGTCTTGTCGTACATAAACACAAAGTAAAATACGAAAGCGCTCAGTAAGAATCCCAAACCAACAGCGGCCGTAGTAAAGTAAAACACGAAGGTTACAGTAACCAATGTAATACATATGGTAGCAAAAATAATTGGCAATACGATCGGGGTTCTAATCCTCTCCGGATGTACTTGCAGACACTTGTACCGTATGTACAGTAACGCCATCATAGTGAGGAAGCGTTGCAGCCATTGTGCGACACTCAGCATGTTCACCAACGTACTCATATCGCCTATTAAGGCGAATACAAAGGCTAGCAACGAATGGAATACGATGGCCGCTCGTGGTGAACCGCTCTTGAGGTTTACTGTACTTAGGAACGATGGCATATGACCGTGACGTGCTGCTGCGAATAGGTATCTGTAATAAGTATTAATGTTGGGTTGTGACATATAGAACGATACTGTGAATTTTTGAAAGATATGGTACGGTAAAGTAAATAGGGTCAGTAAAGTCAGGTACGGTAGAATAAGGTAACGTTGAAAGTTAGGTATAGTAGAATAAAGTAATACGTAATAAGATACAGTAAGACATAACATAGAGAATATGCCAAGACACAGTAACATAAAATACAGTTATAAAGGGTACTGTAAGTACGGTAAGACAAGAGAGAGAGAGTAGAGGTATAGGTAAGTACAAAGGTAAAGTCAGGTCAACGTAGGGTGGGGTAGAGTAGGGTAGGGTAGGATAGAGTAGGGTAGGGTAAGGTAGGGTAGGGTAGGGTAGGGTAGGGTAGGGTAGGGTAGGGTAGGGTAAGGTAGGGTAGGGTAGGGTAGGGTAGGGTAAGGTAGGGTAGGGTAGGGTAGGGTAGGGTAGGGCAGGGTAGGATAGGGTAGGGTAGGGTAGAATAGGGTAGGGTAGGGTATGACTTACCGGCTCGAAGCAAAGATGGTGCTGTTTAAGCTTCCGATCAGCATTAGACTAGTTAGAAATGGCATTAAATACTGGAAATTGCCCATTGAATGTTGTGCAAAGGTCTGAGCGATGGCTGTTGATGCTTTGATCTCTGAGGCTGGTAAAACCACAAAATATGCAACATTTGTTATCATAAAAGTTGCTGCTACTATTATCATGCCTAATAAGATGGCCAGAGGCATGGTTCTGAAAAATTAATTATAATAGCAAGAACTTTCTTTACTAAACAAAGAATCGCAAGAACTTTCTTTACAAAACAAAAAATGCAAGAACTTTCTTTCAAAGCCAAAAAAGGGCAAAAACTTTCTTTACAAAACAAAAAATGGCAAGAAATTTCTTTACAAAACAAAAAATAGCAAGAACTTTCTTTCCAAATCAAAAAATGAAAAAAACTTTCTTTCCAAATCAAAAAATGGCAAGAACTTTCTTTCCAAATCAAAAAATGTCAAGAACTTTCTTTACAACCCTTAAAATCGCTATAACTTACTGTCTCGGCCTGTCGATTTCCTCAATGCCAAAGTTCAAAATGTCCCACCCATCGTAGGCAAACAAAGCTTGATAGAAAGCCAACGCCAGTGGGGCGGGTTGGAAATTCGAAGTTTCGAATGGATTTTTCAAATTTTCGGTTTTTTGTCGAAAAATTAGTAAATAAAAACCGACCAGCACGATCGACGCCACCGCCAGGATCTTGGCGGTCGTGGCTATGACTTGGAACTGGGACGAAAACTTTTTCAACGAAAAAAAGTTGAGGGCGCAGATGGACCCTGCAAATAGAGAAATTAGACCTAAAATAATAACCCTAACAAAAATAAGCCTAAAATGACTAAATTAAGCCTAGAATGTTAAAATTCAACTTAAACCGCATAAAAGTTTGAAACTCTTAAGCCTAAAGCCGTAAAAAACATTACAGTTAAAAAAAGTTAAACCTAAAATCATTAATTCAAGCCTAGGGTATAAAAAACGTAAAACACAAGACCTAGTAAACATTTTAAATTTGCATTGACATAAATAAGCCTAAAATCAAACCTAAGACTAACGTTAAAAAAAGAGCCTAAACTGTTAAAGTTAAGCCTAAAATGTTAATGTTAAACCTAAAATAACATAATTAAGCCTTAAAATAAATTCTAAGCCTAACGTAAAAAAATTAGCCTTAAAAATCAATTCTAAACCTAAAGTAAAAAAATTAGCCTAAAATTTTAAAACCAAGCCTAAAACGTTAAAATTAAGCCTAAAACACAAAAGTAAGCCTAAATGAAAATTTAAACCTAAAATAACATAAATAAGCCTAAAAATCAAATCTAAGCCTAAATTTACAAAAAAAGACTATAGTTTCTAAATTAAGCCTTAAAGTCCACGAATAAACCCGAAATTTCAAAGATAAGCTTAAAGAAACACAAAAATGTTAAATTAATAAACTTAAGCCTAAATTTCAAATGTAAGCCTAAAATAAAAAAAAAAAGATTCCTAGCAAAACATAAAAAGCCAAGTAAATAAATCTTAAGCCTAAAATGTAAAAGTTAAATATCATACTTAGTCAAAAAAATTAAAAATTAAAAAAAGCTTAAAATTACACTTTATACCCAAACAACTCACATACAAGTCCAAAACTGACAAAAACTTTGACCAAATGACCAACAAACTCATTTTCAAATTCTATTCGAAGCCCTTGAAATAAATATTCGCTGAAAGACTTGGCTTGGACTGCCACAATCGCTGGATACATCATCAAACAGCCGGTCGACATAAACGAAAAAGCCGCTGGAAACCTTAAAAATGATGATATTAGGCTTTAATATACCATAACCTGTCATAAAACATTACCCTACCGTACTCTACCGTACCGTACCCTACCATACCCTACCCTACCCTACCCTACCCCTACTTTATACTGAAATATACCATTTAGAGCCGGACGCTAAGGGGGGGGGGAGGGGAGGAGAAAAACCTATAGGATACCCCACCCGCTTTTACCTTTTAATTTAAAAAAACACACCCCCTCCTACCAAGAAATCCCCACGCCCACTCTTGCTTCAAAATTGACCTTTTTTATCCTAAATACACCCCCTCCCGGCCCGAAATCTACCCTAGCTCACCATATCCTAAAATGTACCCCATTTCTACTCAAAATCTACCCCTAGCTTACCATACCCTAAAATTTACCCCTTTCGTCCTCGAAATCTACCCCTTGCTTACCATACCCTAAAATTAATCTCTTTCCTACTCAAGATCTACCCTGCCCTACCTTACCCCCACCCTGCTCTGATATACCCAACTTACCACCCAACATAGCACAAATAAGCAAAATCAGCCCCACTCTTCCTGATGGAGGTGCCCAACTCCACATAGCTATAAGCTCCCAAGACCGAGATCAGCGCCGACAGAATCCACACAATCGCTGCGAGACCAACACTCCCGGTGTACTGTACGACGAAGCTTGGTGTGATGAACAAACCAGCGCCAATTATGTTACCACAGACGAAGCTGACAGCACCAGACAGTCCCATTTTGTGGTGCTCATTGATACTATGCTGTTCGGATTCTGAACTCAGGGTGGATTCAGAAGGTTTTGGAGGTTTTAAAGCTTCGGCGGATATTGATGATGCATCTAATGAGCTTTGTAGATTCGACCGGTCGATTGGCTGAATTGATGACATTTTTTAGATTGGTTGAGTGGTCAATAACCTGAAATTTAAAAAATTTAATTTTCGAAAAAAATTGTTGCAAAAACTTTCTTTACAAAACGGAAATTGAAAAGAACTTTCTTTAAAAAACAAGAAATGGCAAGAACTTTCTTTACTTTCTTTACAAAACATAAAATGGCAAGAACTTTCTTTAAAAAACAAAAAATAGCAAAAACTTTCTTTACAAAACAAAAAATAGCAAGAACTTTCTTTACAGATCAAAAAATGGCAAAAACTTCCTGCCAACATACAACATAAATTTATCAAAAAAGTAAACAAAAGTATGATAAAACAGAGAAAAATAAAAAAAACCGGATCTAGATAAGCCTCAAAATTCAAAGAAAAGGGTTAAAAAGAATGGCAATTACTGTAGTGTGCTACAAACTAAACTAATTGATAAGAAGTTGGTGATATATTAGGCTTTAATCGTTCGAACTGATAAGCCAAATAATTTCAAAAAATAATAATGATGAAACTGTATCCGGTATAACTGCCTACCCTACCCTACCCTACCCTACCCTACCCTACCCTACCCTACCCTACCCTACACTACCCTACCCTACCTTATCCTGCTCCCCTCTTCCATACTATATCTTACCTTTATCTTCCCTACTCCACATTACACTACCCTACCGTACCCTCCCCTGTTCTGTTCTGCCCTGTTTTGCACAGCCCAGCCTTGTCTAGCCTAGACGGACCATGTACAGTAGGCCAACCTTACCTTACTCTATATTGTCCTACCCCACGTTACCCTAGATATGCTACCTTTACGTACTTTACCCCATCTTATCCTGCACTATCTTATACTACTTTGTCCTATCCTGTTCTACCGTAGTCGGCTCTGCCGTGCCTTATTTTTTTCTTCCTCTCTTTACCCTACCATGCCTTACTCTACAATACCCTCTTGTAGAGTAATATTATCTACCCTATCTTAACATACAAAATCCTACTCTACCATTTGGTTTTATTTAATATGCCATTTTTAAATATACTCTCCCGCCTTTATCTACCCTACTCTCTCAATATTAAACTTTTTATTACTCACATAACCCATCATATCAATTACAATAAGCTTCCGACAAACAGTAATGGAAAAACGAACTCGCGCAACACAAAACAAACCAAGTATAATATGCTATGAAATCTCGAGTTAGAATAAGTAAATGTTTACTCAAGCGTCAGAGTAAACTCACTACGTAATCATCTGCATTATATCTCTACATTGTCAGTATACACCAAGTTTTAAAAGAAAATGGCAAAAACTTTCTTTACAAAACAAAAATGGCAAGAACTTTCTTTACAAAACAAAAATGGCAAGAACTTTCGTTACAAAACAAAAAATTGCAAAAACTTTCTTTACAAAACAAAAATGGCAAGAACTTTCGTTACAAAACAAAAAATTGCAAAAACTTTCTTTACAAAACAAAAAATGACAAGAACTTTCTTTACAAAACATAAAATGACAAGAACTTTCTTTACAAAACAAAAAATGGCAAAAACTTTCTTTACAAAACAAAAAACGGCAAAAACTTTCTTTACAAAACAAAAAATGACAAGAACTTTCCTTACAGAGCCCCAAGATTCGAAAAAAACTTCAAAATAACAGTGAATCCACTATTAAACTGACCTTTTATAGATGTATACAAACAAAAATAATAATCCGCCATTTAAATCTCTTTTTGTGGAAGCGCAGAATTGAAAAAATTTCGTCATAACCGAGAGAAAAGAAAAGATATAGACAAACGTATTAGAATTTCGAATATCTTTTTGACTGTTCTTATCGAAGTGGATAATATAATATAAGATATTGGATGATTTATACAGGATGACCCAAACCAAAAAAAAATTTTTTATTAAAAAATTCAAAATTTAAAAAATTAGATTTGTATTTTAAAAATGCTCTAAAATTTACCGACTTTGCCCTGCCTTATCCTACACTGCCTTACGCTTCCCCACCCTATCCTACTTTACTCTACATTATGCTGTTCTGCCGCGCCTTGTCTTGCCTGTACCTTACCTTGCTTTGCCCTTGTCTTGCCCTGCCTGGCCTTGCCAGCCATCTTGCCCCGTTCTTATTCTACTGTATATTTTCCTGTCCTGCCATGCCCTACCCTGTCTTATCCTAAAAAAATCAAAATGCCATTGTAAATTGAAAAACAAGAATCATATGAAAACTAAGTTTGGAAGGTGATTCTACATGTTATAGCGAGCATATGTGTGTTTAATAAAAAGATTTGCATATTTACTACAAATGCGAACGTATATATATACAATACAATCTATTCTTCAACACAACATAAAATAATTTTTTACATTATACTAAACTTCAGCAGTTTCACAACAATCACAAAACTTTGGATACTGATTTATTTACAGTAAAACCCCTCTATAACAACATCATTTATAACAAAAATCCCGTACAACAAACGACCGCCGTTTTATACAAGATTTTCACTGTATATTACTGTTCAAAAAACAGCGAAATCAATTTTTTAAACACTGTAATTATGTAAACCAAACGTTTAATTTATAAAAACATATAATAGATGCTGCTTCATCATGATTTTATAAATAAAACATCAGAAAAAATGAAACATTTGTTGAACAAAGAGCAAAACAATGACTAAATGTCATTAGAAAACGTTAACTATTAACGATGAACTTTTTTAGATATAATTCAACTATATCAAACTAATGTTACACACAATCCTTCTCTACTCTCTACTTTACCCTACCCTACCCTACCCTACCCTACCCTACCCTACCCTACCCTACCCTACCCTACCCTACCCTACCCTACCCTACCCTACCCTACCCTACCCTACCCTACCCTACCCTACCCTACCCTACCCTACCCTACCCTACCCTACCCTACCTTACCCTACCCTACCCTACCCTACCCTACCCTACCCTACCCTACCCTCCCTACCCTACCCTACCCTACCCTACCCTACCCTACCCTACCATACCAACCCTACCCTACTCTGATTACCATACCCAACCATATTTCACTGTACTATGGCTTACCTTACCATATCTTACCATTGGCTTACGCTACAAATTTCTACCCCACCTAGCTTTACCCTATCCCTACTTATCTCTACTCTATCCCATTTCACCTTAAGTTACACTGCTACAACATTACTGCTATATATCATAGCCCTACCACTACTTATATTAGCCCTACCCCTATTTCTCCTAGCTCTAACCAGCCCTATCCTATGTATCACAACCCTACCCCTATTTATCACAGCTCTACCCTACAACCAGCAACGATCACATGAATACCTTTTTCTGTTCGCACAATGTACTTTAATTTGGAGTTCATTGAAATTCGAAAAACTGCAAAAAACAGACGAATGATTGGCTGTGGTCATGAGAAATTAATTATTTGTTGTAACATCAACAGCTCAAGTTACAACCTGTTTGATGTGGTGATTGACGGCTCGTTTTCCGTACATTGATGTATTACCGAGAGTTTACAATTTGCAGATCATACAAAGAAATGGCATCAAAGTGACTTTTTTAGTTTTACAAATAAGGAAGTGAGGGTAAAGTAAGAATAAAGCAAGTCTTAACGTAAAGGTACAGTAGTAATTTAGTTGTTGTCTTCATTCAAGGTTGTATAATACTAAAGAGAATGAGACTAACAAGGTATGATACTAAAGAGAATAAGACTAACAAGGTATAATACTAAAAAGATTACAGGACTAACTATAATAAATAGACAACAAATAAGTACTTGGGTGATTCTGATGATCCTACGCAATCTTAAGATGGTAAAACCAAGCTAGTTTTTGTAAGTTTGTCAAGCCACACGTCTTCTGCCGTCCATCGCCATCGCAAAGCGCTCCGGATGCGAACAAAACGTGTTGAGGTGTCTGAAGCCGTTAAATTGGTCAGTTCAGCCGCTTGCAGCACCGTGTTAGCCCTAGTCCTCTTAGTATTTCGAATTCAGTTAGTCCTAGCCCGTTGTATTATGTGTATACCAAGTTAAAATTAAAGTCCAAATATAGCTACTAGTTCAAGAAAATCCTTTTTTCTGCCACGGCAAGTAGGAAAAGCAACACTAACTGTACCGTTGTCAGGCTTGGACGCAGGGCATGGTAGGGCATGGTATAGGGCATGTTTAAAAATTTTTTACAGGGCATGGTAGGGCATGGTATAGCTTGGAACAGGGCAGGGCATAGCATATGCCCTGTATTACCCTGCAAATGCCCTGTTTGCGCCATGGTAAGTTTTGGCGGACGCCTCCGCCGAGCGGTCGATTATCAGCGGACGCCATAACTTATTTAGTTTAGTAGCTATAAATATGTGGTTAAATTCAGAAGTTATTATATGTCATAGGCTACAAATAAGAGCATAGTTTTAAGATTTTAAAAGTAGTATTGTTATCGACCGGTTGATAATTTTTAGTATAATTTAATTGCAAATTTCATATATATTCTTATCGCTTTGGTGTTTTAAATCGTATAGAAATTACATTGGGTACAATTCTTAGCGAAAAACGTTGTTTTTTTGTACAAATTAAGCATTTGTTAATTATCTACCGGTCGATAAAAATATTGCTTTCAAAAACATAAATTACTGCCTTAAGGTGTAGATTATAACAGATAACAATTTCTGCACTTAACTACATGTTTCTAGCTGCTAAACTAACCAAGTTATGGCGTCCGCCTAAATATACCCAAATGCCCTGTAAATGCCCTGATGCCCTGCAGGGGAAGAGCATGGTAGGGCAGGGCATGGAAGTCGAATTCCCTGTACAGGGCATTGCAGGGCACAGGGCATGGCATGGAAATTTGCCAATGCCCTGCCCTGTGTCCAAGCCTGACCGTTGTACAGGGATAGAGCTCCCAGAAGCTGTTGCAGAGATGAACCACACGGGGCAAGTCGAAAATTACGTCCGTCTGGGAGAGAGAAGACTCTTCAACCGGTAATCTACGACAATATAAGTCGTAGTCAAACCAACAATCAATAAGTAACTGCCAGAGACAGTTTTACAAACAGAATCAAACAATAAAGTAATAAATCAACTATCAATAAATTTCAATCAAACAAAGCCAATCAAGAAAATATCAAAGTTTGATTTCAAATCAAACAGAACAAACTTATATTTAAACAATATAATCGAACTAAAGTATCAAACACAAAATAAGGATCAAATTATCAAACGTATGAAACATCAAATCAAACGTGTATCAAACGTTACAACGAACGTATGGCTTCGAGCGAAGAGAATCCGTGATCGTCGCGAATTAGGTCGGCCTTTTGGCAAAAACGTTTTCGTGGTGAGATCTACGGACACCCCGTCAAGTGTCGTAGATAGATGCTGCTCGCCAAGTTAGATCAAAGCATACTAAAGGTGTAAAACTCAAAACTTCAACTTATTACGTTGAAATAGTAATACAACAGTCGAAACACAATATAGAAGGTTTATTTACAGAATATATACCGTTATGCGTACGTAGCTATAAGCCGAGCGGCGGCCAAAGAAGCGATCAGACGTTGACGAAGCGAGAACCCAAGCGAAGGCGAAGCTAAATGATTAGCCAGAAGTCCAGGTGACAGAAACGTTTCACGGTCCTGCTTGTCACTTGGAAGGTCATCTTCTGAATTTCCTGGTTTCGAACTACAATACCCAAAGATTGATATTCCAAGTAAGAGGATTTTGATACGGAGTCTAGTCCGAAACATATCCAAGGGTAATGTTAGAATTATAGTTTACCTTATAATCAATAAAAATATAGCTATCACTTTACAACATTTAAATTGAAGTTACAGTAGAAAAAGAAGGAGGTAGAATGTGCCAAGTCTAAGTCTACCCTAGCCTAAACCAATGAACTAACAAGGAAAGTACCCTACCTGCCCAGCCCAGAATCAGCTCAAATTTTTTATATGAATTCTTTGTACTACCAGTAATACCCATAAAAAATTTTAGCTCGCGCTTTTGAGTTTTAAATTTAAATTATTTGGGTTTCCCAAATTTGGCATTGTGTTTCAAGCACTTTTTTTTTACATTCCAGACAAGCTACGCTTAAAAATTTAAAAATGTAGGTTCATTTAAAGGTATTCTACTAGTATATCAAAGAAAAATAGTTAAAAGTCAAAAAATGACAAAGTTACAAGCTTGAAACACAATGCCAAGTTGGCGGGAAATTCAAAATGTCATTTTTTGATCTCGATTTTCTCGAGGCTTCCTGGAAAACGCGATTTAGTACTTTGCTGAAGATCTTATATTTACATGATCTTACTTTATAAAAAGTTTGAGGTCAATCAGAGCGGGGCAGGTCACTTTCCTTGTAAACCGATAACCGGGTTATAAGTTGTTGTAGACTAGGGTAGAAGTAATTATCAGGGTATACTTGTGGGTGGCAAAAGTAAAGTTAACGGTAAAATCAGGGGTAAGGTTTTGGGCTAGGTCTAGGGTTACGGCTAGGTCCAAGGCTACGGCTATAACTTCTTTTTTTTTATTTTACGACCGGTGTTAGGAAATGAAAAAAAAATAAAAACCTTTTTTGTGGGTTTTGAAATTGCAAAGTTGAAAATAAAAAAAAATTCCACTTTTCCATGATTTTGAAATTGACCTTTTCCATGTTGCAATGACAATTGCCACTTCCAATTTTGTGGTCGTTTCCTTTCGTCTGACAAGATGGTTGACTCTTGGAATAAAATGTCTGGTCCCTCATCGCTTTGGTTGGTCTTAATCGTACTGCTTGGCATCAAAGTTGCTTCCCTTCCTAATGACGGAATTACCTACAACAAGGATCACCTCAAGGACACGACTTGTGAAAAGGACAATCCAGGTAAGACCTGTGTGGAATTGGACCTGGACGACTTCGAAACGTACTTTGTCAGCCTGTTCGCGTCGCATAGCCACAGATGGATTTTGGTCTCAACGTTCAGTAAGTGAAAGATGCCAGTTTAAGCTTTGCTTATCACTTTGTGTACCGTTTTCTAAAGGATTGGGTTTCAGGTGTGAACGGAAGCGCTGAGGAATTTTTCGCAGAAGATACCGCCGACAAAAGTAGGTTAAAATTTACTGCTTGGTTGGGGTAGCATCCACCCGTTGTCTAGTTAGGATTACTAAAATTTTGAGCAAAGGAAGAAAGGGAATTTATTTTAATTGTTTTTCAAATTTACTTTTTTTCAGCCAATATAGAGAGCTATTATAAAGGAGTTTACCTACCGATCCATGAAAACAGACCCTATTTTTATCACATGGAATATGCACCCGACGGAAGTTACGAAGAATCTTCAGTATATACGTTTGACGGTTCTCGAACGTGGAGCTACAAAATAAATGTAAGTTTTGGGCCTGTGCTTTTTTTTAAACATGGCACTGGAACGAACTTTTCTGTACCAAATCCCCCTCCCCCCCCGAGCGATTTGTTATACAGGCGCTCTACTGTATTTGCTTTGAGAAAAGGTTACGAACAAAAACGTTTTTTTGGTTTAGATTGAATATGTTTAAGGGTCCAGGAAGATTACCGGGCGCTTGGTACGAAGGCCCTGTGTTCACATACAAAGGCTACATATTTATTGGTCGATATATTTGGATCAAAAAAATCGAAGGTTTTTACAAACCTAATAGTGTCAGTCTTATCTTTTTGTATGTTTTTAAAACTCAATTTTTGTTTTTTAAGAAACGAAAGACTGTAACTACGTTGAATTTGACCTTTTCATGTAACTATAATATTTACAGACGGGATGCTGCTCCTGAATTTAAACATGATTTTCCTAAGAAGTGGGATGAACTAGTTGAATGCCGTGAAGTAAGTTTTTAAACATTTAATAGTTGAAAACGTAAAGTTATTGATTACGGTACTATAAGGGTTATTGCTTACAGCAGTGTTGGATTGATTCGTAATTTGTTTTCTTTAGCATTCTAACCTATGCATAATTGATCCAGTTACTGATGAAATTACTAAAATGGAATACAATGAGGCTGCTCGGTTCGGCAAACTGATTATCGAAAAGAAAGAAATGACTGCAAAAAAAATTTTCATGGTTTAAGATACCGCATTCATCATGTGGACTTGCCAAAGTAAGTTTTAAGATGAAAACTACATGGGAGCGGCATAAAATTTTAGGGTAGTGTAGGGTACGGTAAGGGACCGGGTACGTATTAGGTTGTTCTCTTAATTCTTAGCCCCCTCTCAAAGCAAATTTGTAGGGTATGGGGGGTGCAGAATTATGTGAACAACCTAATAGAAACATCTTCCATAACTTTTTCTGTTTCAGCCATGTGTTCTACTTTAAGAACGTTGAAAAATGGGAATTTTTTCGAAATGAGAAGCCGAGATGGTTGACGGTTGATTACCCGCACGAGGAGTATGCAGATAAAAGGTAAGTTTTTAAATTTTAATTTTGTGTATTTTCAGGTTTAGAAATGTTTTGTTGACCAACCTTTTGCTTATGCTTTGTTTTTAGGCATTTGACTGTGGCCAGTTTTGCGCCATACCCACGTGATGGAGACAAAATTTGGAAAAAGTTTGACTACTATCTCACCACAACAACGACTACCACTACGACGACAACCACCACCACGACCTCAACTACCACAACCACTACCACCACCAGTACCACGACCTCAACCACCACCACGACCTCAACCACCACCACCACTACCTCAACCACCACCACCACTACCTCAACCACCACCTCGCCAACAACCACCACCGATGAAGAGGAAGTTACGGAACAAGTTGAGGAAGCCGAACAGGAAGATGAAGTTGAACAACAACCAGACGACTCTACTGAAACTGTGGCTGAAAGTAGCACTACCGAGGCTGAAGAGAACGCTGGAAGTGGCAAAGTTTCTTGCATTGGCTGGATCGGTGGTTGGACCGGCCTATGGATGATTGCGCTGCGTTATTATATTGTTTGAGAGTTACGGACCGATGAAATTAAGATATATGATGGATGTGTTACTGACGTATTGTGTCATAAAATTATTATGAATATTAGTAGTATTAGCTAAAGTTACAGTATATAAAATATTTATTTACCCAGAAATATAAAATACGACCGATCCGCGGTCTAGTTGGTTAGAGACTTCTCATTTTTTGGCCAAATCGGCCGAACTATAAACAGTTTTTGCAAGATAAAAAAGACCTTCTTTGTTCTGGATCGGTTCTATATTTTTGTAAACATGTTTTTGTATTTCTTAACTCGCAACTTCGCGACATATTGAGTAAAAATAAAACTTTTGTATTTTGATATTATTTTTGATTAATGTTAATGTGTAGCGACATTTTTACGGAAATCTATATTTACAATATCGATTATCTTATTTGACTTCAGAGGGCGCTAGGACAAATGCGGTTTTTGGACATTTGCGGATTTTTTAACTGGTTTTTTTTAGATTTTTTAGTTAATTTAGTTGTAGTATGGTACTAAATTGTACTAAAGTTTGACTTGGTACGGTTTTAACATAACAGTACCATTTTGGGCTTTTAGTACCATTTAGTACCAAAAATATAAAAACAGTACCAATTTAAAATTTAGTACTATTTAACGTTAAGAAATATTAAAACAGTGCCAATTTAAACTTTAGTACCATTTAGTACCATACTAGAACTAATTAACTAAAAAATAAAAAAAAAATCCTAAAAAATCCGCAAATGTCCAAAAACCGCATTTGTCCCTTCAGAGATGTAGTTTTTGTTTACAGAAAGAAACCTTTTTTATGTTTTTTGAAATTCCAAAGCTCAAAATAAAAAAATCCGATTCCCCATGATTTTGAAATTGATCTTTTCTATGTTGCAATGACAATGTCACTTCCAATTTCGTGGTCGTCATTTCGTTTCCTTTCGTCGGACAAGATGGTCGGCTCTTGGAATAAAATGTCTGGTGCCTCATCGCTTTGGTTGATTTTAATCGTGTTGGTCGGCACCAAAGTTGCTTTTGTTCGTAATGATGAGGTTGACTACAGCACGGATCACCTCAAGGACAAGACTTGCGAAGAGAACAATCCAGGTAAGACCTGTGTGGAATTGGAACAGGACGACTTCGGAACGTACTTTGTCAGCATGTTCCTCTTGGATGAGAATAATCTGTGGACTGTGGCCTCAACGTTCAGTAAGCGAAAGTTTAGCCTTTGCTTGCCATTTTTGTGCCGTTTTCTAATGGATTTGGTTTCAGGTGTCAACGGCAGTGCCTTCGAGTTGTTCGCGGAAGATAATGACTTCAACAGTAGGTTTACTGGTTGCTTTTCGTTTTCAGAGAGTAAGATTATTATTAGCAGTAGCCATGGCAAATATGCTGTAACATGGCTATAAGAAAACATTTTAATTTTTTAACTGTACCGTTTATCAGGCCTAGATATGGTATATTATTATGGATTTTACATACCGCCCCATGAAAACGAACCCTGGTTTTATCATGTTGAAAAGGTAGAAGGAAGAAAGCATTATCGAATGTATCAGGCGGACGGTGCAGTCACGTGGAGATACGAAGTATATGAGGTAAGTATTGCGCCATTGTGCATATTTATGAATATTGTGCATACAGTCGTTGTCAAAAAACAGGCAACGTATTTGTTTCAAACATAATTTTTTTAAAAAGATGTTAGAAACGAAAAAATTTTTGTGATTTTAGATTTTTCTTTCATACATCGAACGCACACACACTTTTAAATTTGTTAATAACGTTACAGTAATCCTACCGTACCCCTATTTTTTATAATAACTATGTGCATAATTTTTTTTTCATAGGTGGATAATATACGTTTTGTAGAGCATAAAAGGTTGTACATATTCTGTAAGTTTCATTACTTAACCTCTTTTACTAAACGAGTAATGATTTTTTAAAATTCTAAAAAACGGCCATTTTTCAAGCGGAATCGAACTTTTCTTGTTTTTCGATCCTTTTTTCAAATTTAAAAAAATCGTAATTCGTTAACTAAATGAGATGAAGTAATCAAACTTACAGAATATGTACAACTTTTTATGCTCTACAAAACGTATTCCTTCAATTTTCGAAAAAAAATTTAGACGCATAGTTGAAGAATAGGGGTACGGTAGAATTACTGTAACTTTTCAAAATTAACAAATTTAAAAATGATTCTTTGTGTGTTTGATGCATGAAAGAAATCTAAAATCACAAAAAATGTCTTGCTTCTAACATCATTTTAAAAAAAGTTAAGCTTGAAACTAATAAGTTGCCTATTTTTTGACAATGGCTGTATCCTCTATAACAAACTACTTTTTAACAAACTTTTCTATAATGGATTTCTATATAACGTATGTTTATATAACGAACAAATAAAAGCACTGAGCAATTTGTTATATAAGAGTTGTATTGTATTTTTTTTGAAACAGATTACGGTCAAAAAAGACTTGGGTTTACAAGCGGATTTTCTCAATGTTTCTTTGCTAATCAAATGTTTCAAAAATTGTTGTTTTTAAATTTTAAAAAATTAATTGTTTGAGTATGTTTAAGACGGGTACTGGCCCTACGGCCGGACATTACCTAGGCGGTGCGTTGACCTACAAAGGCTACATAATTATGACTCTGAGTTTTCGGATAAAGGAAATCGAAGATTTCTACAAACCAGATAAGGACGGTCGTATTCCAATGTATGTTTATAAAATTAATTTGTTTTTTTTCCCTTTTAGTTCTTACGAATAAAATAAATGCATTAATCTCTTTTTACAGAAGAGAATATGTTGACGAATTTAAACGTCAGGAGGAAGAAGAGTGGGCCGTGCTAGAGAAGTGTCGTCAAGTAAGATTTTAACCATGTGATAATTACAACGGTAGCGATAAGATTACAGTAGGGTTATTTTTTGTGTTATATTATGATTACGAAGTGTTGGATTGGTTACTTTTTTTGCTTTAGGAGCTGCATTGGCAATGTACGATTGATCCGGATACTGGTGAAATAACCCCAATTGACTATCTTCAAGCTGCTCAGTTTGGTAATCTGACCATCGAAGTTAGAGGTATGATTGCAAAAGGAGATTATCTTGGTGAACGATACCGCATACATCATGTGGACTAAGTAAGTTTTAAGATGGAAACTAGAATCGGCACAAAATGTTGAGGGTAGGGTATTGTAGGGTAGAGGGTACCTAGTAACCTTCATATTTTTCATAACATTTTTGTTTCAGCCATGTGTTCTACTTTAAGAACGTTGAAGGTTGGAACTTCTTCAAAAATCACAAGCCAACATGGAAGAGAATGTCGTACGGTGCGTACGCTAAAGAAAGGTGAATTTTAAATTTTTAAATTTGTGTAATTTCGGGTTTTAAAATCTTTTGTGGCTCAACATTTTGCTTATGACTTGTTGTTTCTAGGCACTTGACTACGGCCAGTTTTGCACCATACCCACGAGAAGGGGACAAAATCTGGAAAAAGTTTGAGTAGTACCTGCCCACTACAACAACGACTACCACAACAACTACCACTACTACGTCAACGACTACTACGACCACCACCACTACCTCAACTACCACAACTACTACCACCACCAGTACCACGACCTCAACCACTACTACCTCAACCACCACCACCACCTCAACCATCACCACCACCTCGCCAACAACCACCACCGAGGAAGAGGAAGTTACGGAACAAGTTGAGGAAGCCGAACAGGAAGAGGAGGATGAACAACAACCAGATGATCCTACTGAAACTGTGGCTGAAAGTAGCACTACCGAGGCTGAAGAGAACGCTGGAAGTGGCAAAAGTGTATGGATCGTCTGGATCAGTGGTTGGACTGGCTTTTGGCTGGTGATCCTCGAAAATTATATGGGTTAGGAGTTATGTATTGGTGACATGACATATTGTGATGGATGCTACTGATTTATTGAGAAATAAAATTTTTGTATTTTGAGGTCATTTTAGAGCCATTTTTGATGTTTTTCAACCGGTTTTTAAGTTGTAAAGAATGTTCTTTGTATATCTTGAGCTGCTATTTGTCTTTTGGTCACCCGGGGCCTGCAGATCCCAAAAAAGCCCGGCCCGTTCCCCATGTCTATGAAGGAGTTATGTGTAGGGATAGCGAAAACGGAGTAGGGCAGATAGCTCATGCCAAAACAATCAAAAAAACTTTTTGAAACAAAAAGTACTCATTCAGAACGATGATTCTGTTCGTTTCATTCCCAAACCTTGATACTATTTTTCACCGACCGGTCGGTTGTGAAAAACTGCACGATATTGCAATTGGCAATCGCTGAATGTTTGCTTCAAGAGCCTAGTGTTAGATTAATATTTCAAAATGGATGAGGATTTGAATTTGGACGAAATCACTTCAACGAAATCAACAAATTCAACAACGTAATTTTTTAAAAATTTTTAAAGTTTCAAATTTTAAAAAAAAATTTTCCAATTTTAAAATTTCAAAATATTAGGCTAATTCCAACTTTTTAGAGCAATGCCAATGCTGCCAAACCTTATCTTTAAAAATGAAACGGTAAAAGAGTTGAGACGATTGCTTGAAAGTGATAGCTTTAGAAACTTGTATCCCGGAGATTCCAAAGCTAACGATGCCAAAATGGTTCATTTCGAAATTCAAAACGAAACTGTTGTACGAACCGACATATCATCGCTTAAGACGATGGCGAAGGAAAGGTAGGTTTAAATTGTTTGGCATACCTTATCCTACAGTAGCCTATCTTACTTTAGCATACCATACTGTGCATTAACTTGCTTTACCCTACCCTACCTTACTCTACCCTACCCTGCCCTAGCCTACCCTACCCCATCCTACCATACCCTAGCCTACCCTACCCTTACCTACCTTACTCTACCATAATTTAATTGTTTAAGTTCAGAGTTCTATATATTAAGTTTGCGAATGATATCGACTACGAAAACGTTTTATGGACGTCCAGTTTTAAGAAAAGGGCTTATTTAGTTGGACATAACTCGACTGATAAAACGTAAGTTCAAAATTTTTTAAAATCCAAAAAAAATTTTTTAATTTTTTAAAATTTCAAAAAAAAATTTTTGATATCCTAAAAATTTTTTAAATTTCAAATTTTTTAAAAACCAAAAAAATTTCAGTACCAGCATCCAGCCGATCAGGGACAAGAAGATGGTACCATTTGAACCACGCGACTCGGCTGACAACATTTATATCCTAATCAACAGGAAACTGTTCCTACTAACCAACTTTCAACGTCTGATTACGGTAACCAATACCAGCGTCTTCAACACCTCATTCGACCTACGATACACGGTAGTGGGTATGAGTGGGGACGCCAAAGACTATAGGTATACAAGTCGACCGGACTTGCAACGAGACCTGCTTTATGCTACGCATAAGGACGCGTGCTTCGTTGGCGCGCCATCCGGTGGGGTAGCACTAATGAAGAGGTGTACTAAAAATGACATTGAATTGAAGTATGATGGGTGGCATGAGACACATTACTATAGTTTGGTGGGTTTTTTGATAAGAAATAGCAAGAACATTCTTTACAGAACAAAAAATAGCAAGGACTTTCTTTACAGAACAAGAAATGGCAAGGACTTTATTTACAAACCTAAAAATAGCAAAAACTTTGTTTACAAACATTTTTTGAAACTTTTTTAATTTCAGGAACACTTAATCGCACTTAGTAATCAGGAAACCGCCTTGAACCCAACTTTCACTCGAAATACCTATGTCAAGTTAGTAGATAGCAATGCTAAACTGTGGTAAGCATTACCATAACATTGGTAAACCTTAACCTACCCCACCCTACATCTCCTTATCCTAACATCAGCAACTATATTGATGTCTTATCATAACAGTTAAATTTCAGGTTCATTATTATGTCCTTCTTTGGTGGTGTCTTATCCCTAATAATAGTCGGAGTCCTCGTGCCAGCATGCTATTATGTGTTCACCAATAAAGAAAAGCACAGAAAATATTTGTACAAACATACGAAGCGCTTGTAAGAACAATATCATTGTGGAAAGAAAAATGGCATGAAGAAGGTCCAGGACAAAGAGAAAAATCAATTTTTTAATATATATTATGTTAGGTCAAATAAAGCTTATAAATAATAATGTCTATGGCGATATCGGTCAATGATTTGTTAAAAACTAGCATAATAGACTTATTTAGCAATTAATATTACCTAAAAACCAATCAGAAACCTAAAATCGGCTTTTATACCGAAAATTCCCGAAAACCCGCTGATTTCAAGTATAATATCGTCTCTTGCAAACTCACTTTTGCGCAAAACATCACATTTTTATATTCAAAATTAGGCCATACTATAAACTAATAGAAAATGAACATAAAAACTCAAAAACCCAGCTACAAATTGATGTATCCATCAAAGTTTTCGAGCATTTACCAAAAATTTTGATGTCAAGTGTAATATCGCTCAAACTCAACATATTTTAACTCAAAACAAATCATTCTTTCACTCAGTGGATAGAACATAACCACATTCAGCTTATTTTAAACAAAAAAATCTGTTAAAAGCGAGAAAAATATCAAAATATTCGAGCGCATATTATACTAGACACCTGTTGATGTAAAACCTCAAAAAAACTGGCGTAAACCAATTATTTCGTACAAAAACTATTGTGGATTAAGAAATTAATCTTGGCTAATGTTTTTACTATCTAAATTCACTAGTTTTGACTTTGTATTATGTTAGAAACGCCTCCAAAAAATTAAAAGTTGTGGGACTATCAACAAAAAAGCTTCGCTTTTCAAAATTCAGCTCAATTTTTTGAGATATGCCTAAAAACCAAAAGAAATAATAAAAATAACTGATCTGACATGTATATTAGATAATCATGTTACTTTTCTCCGTGATCTATTTGCCCGTTCTTGAAGATATTGGTGCGGACCCATGATTTTCGGCCGAAAAAGCCAAAATTTATTGAAAATCCGCATTTTGACACTTCGTCTCGGTGTGTGACACTTCGTTGTTGATGTTCCGGCTTGGAATTTTGTGACGGCCGAGAACTTTTCGACTATTCTTGTTGTTTTACAGGTAGGCTTATAGTTTTCAAATTTTGAAAGTTTTTTAAAAAATCAACAGAGAGGACCAAGTTTAATATTTTTCTTTTTTCTCAAAAGACTTTATTTCCAGTCCAGAATAATCAGTTAGAAAACTCAAAAATTAATCTTCAGGTAACATTGGTATCTCCTGATATTCATCGTCACCATCAGCCCCAGTATACATGTCATTCGGCATCTGGAAGCCGTCTTTTTCCGGTGGAATCGGCTTCAAACCCTCCAGATTCTCTTCGATTTCTTCGTCGGATTTATCGAATTCGAATTGATGTTCCTGAGGCTGGGCACTCGGGCGGGGTAAGTTGTGGTTTTGTTGGTTTGGGCGGGGTGAATTGGCTTGTTGATTTGGGCGTGGTAAATTGGAGTTCTGGGAACTTGGGCTAGGTGAGTTGTTGGCCTGAGCATTTGGGGCTGGTTTTTGATAATTTTGGGCGGATTTTTGAGGGTTTGGCACGTTCTGGGACTGTGGGACTGAAAAAATAGTATTAATTGTAAAATGGCAAAAACTTTCTTTACAAGGCATAAAAAGGCCAGAACTTTCTTTACAAAAGGAAAAATGGCAAAAGCTTTTTTTAAAAAACAAAAAATGGCAAGAACTTACTTTACAAAACAAAAAAAATATTTTTCTTACCATTCTGAAGGTCACTAGGGACATTTTGAACCACCGACTTTTCTTGACCTTGACGAGGATCAAAGCCATGGTTATTATGATCATCACCTTCATAAGGAGCGTTCTCGTCGTGCGTTCCTAAATTTTTATTTTATAATAGCATCTTTGTTTACAATGCAAAAATGGTAAAAGTTTCCTTTACAAGGCTCAAAATGGCACGTTTTTTAAAGTGGAAGTTGAGTGGAAGTTTTGTAATGTATTTTGCACTGAAAATCTTCCACTTAACTTCCATTTTTTTAAATGTCTTAAAATGCCTGAAAACACGTTTTTGACACATTTTAGAAATGGAAAGTTGGTGGAAGATTTTCAGTGAAAAATGCATTACAAATCTTCCACTCAATTTTCACTTTTTTTAACTTTGATAAAATAAAACCCCTAAGATTGGACCAACTCCATAAGGCCTTGGCGTGCCTCTAAGGCCAAGCTTAAGCAAAATTGAAACGCCTGCCCGAGAAATAGGGTCTTGCCCCTCTATAGGCCCATTTATATTCACCCACCTTCAAACCCGGTAAGTCCATTTTCATTGCCATTTTTAGCACTATACTGTTCAGCATCTCGCTTCAATGCCTCACTCAGATGAGGATCGATCCGATGTGGTGCCAATTCGTCTTTGTTCAAGAAGAATCCACATTGAGAAGGCATGAAGATGTTCATGAACCCACTCATATGTTGAATCACTGGCTCTGATTGGCCTTCCGCCATTGGTCGAACAATCGCTTCGGAAATGAGAGTACCAGCACTGTTGCCACACTTGTTGTTGTAGTCGGTGCGGACACAGGTGAGGTAGCATTTGGCTAGACTGAAAGGGAATTTTGACGGAAATGAAAGGAACTTTGTTTACAGAGTGCGAAATTGCAATAACTTTCTTTACAAAACAAAAAATGGCAAGAACTTTGTTTACAAAACAAAAAGTGGCAAGAACTTTGTTTACAAAGTAAAAAATGGCAAGAACTTTGTTTACAAAACGAACAACGGAAAGAACTTTGTTTACAAAACGAACAACGGAAAGAACTTTGTTTACAAAGCAAAAAATGGCAAGAACTTTCTTTACAAGTAAAATTTTAAAACCTACTCGCAAACGTCTTGCATGACAGCCCGAAACTGTTCTCCATCAAACCTGGGCGCAGCTTTGTCATAAGCCCCAAAAATGTCTAGTAAGCCACTTTGAGTGGCCCAATTGGTTAGTCTAACTCGGCCGCGACATACTTTTTCACAATCTGAAAGTTTGAAAATTAAAAAAAAATTTTTAATTTTTTGAAAATTTAAAAATGTCCTACGTTGTTGGACTTGAACTCTTTCCGAGTCGATACAGTTCAGAATTCGCTGAAACGCCTTCTTTTGTTCAATACACATAAAATGAAGTCCACTAGTCAGAACGTCGAATGTGTCACGGCCTGGACAGTCTACTAAACTGTCTTGACATGCCACACCGTTCTCGTAGTTTCTGAAAAAAAAACATATGTGAATTTAAGTTTAGGAGTTAGACTAGGGCTAAAACTTGGACTAACGCTATAGTTAGGGCTACGACTTTGCCTAGGATTGAGGCTAGGTTTCGGCTATGGCTGGAACATGGACTACTGCTGAAGCTGTCTAAGACTAGACCTGGAACATAATCTCTCTGGCTAGGGCTCAGGCTAGGACAAGGTCTGGACTAGCTTTTTGTTTAGAGTTTATGCTGGAGCTTGAGCTCAGGATAGGGCTGAAACTTGGAATGGAGCTAAAGCTTAGGCTACGGCTTAGACTACGGCTTAGGCTACGGCTTAGGCAACGGCTTAGGCTACGGCTTAGGCTATGGCTTAGTCTATGGCTTATGCTACGGCTTAGGCTAGGGTAATATGCTGACACATAAAATGAAAGGTAAAGGGTAATCCCCCGCAGAAAATTATAGCAAGATCCTAGCACTCGCAGTCATTTGTTGGGTCGTTTTACATCGAGGCAAATATTACAAAAGTAAATAATATTACATAAGAAAAAGTTGCGTAATACGAATTCTTGTAATTTCTCTAAGGCTATCTATAACATCAAAATTTTATGTAATCCGCGGTAAAATTCGCCACTACGTAAGAATATACCGGCTTTGTATAAAAAAGTATCGCTAATGTACAGCTAGGGATAGGGTAGGGCTAAGACAGGATAGGGAAAAGAGGTTCGATGCAGGACACCTTACAATTGTTAGAGGGTTAAACCTAGGGCTAGAGATGAGGCAGGGTTAGGGCTAGAGATAAGGCAGGGATAGAGCTAGAACCAAGACAGGGATAGTGCTAGAGCTAAGGCAGTGATAGGGCTAGTGATAAGGCAGGGATAGGGCTAGTACCAAGACTGGGATAGTGCTAGAGCTAAGGCAGGGATAGGGCTAGAGATAGGGTATTTTGGGTATGGGGAAGACAGCTAAAGCTAGGGTAGGCATATGGCTAATTTGAGGGCCAGGTCTGTGGCGTAGGCTTAAAAACGTAAACTAAGGTTGGCTAGTAATACTCATTTTGAAAACCTAGTATAATACGTTATTACGTAGAGGAACATATATCATGTATAATGATACACGTATCTTTCCATATACGTTTTATATAGCACTTCAAAAGCGTAAAGCTTCTTTACGTAGCCATTACGAATTTTGAGGTTTTTGACTTCTGTGAACGACTAGTTTTGCATTTTTAGATCTTAGACTAAGTTAAGGATAAGCCTACTTTATGCTGAATAGGACGAGATTAGGATAGGGTTGAGTAGAGTAAGGCAAAGCAGGATAAGGTAGGGTAGGATAAGGTAGAGTAGGGTAGGTAGGGTAGGGTAGAATAGGGTAGGGTAGCGTAGGATAGGGTAGAGTAGTGTAGAGTAGGGTAAGGTATTTCTACTGCTTAACAGACTAAAACTGAACTGATCATTCTTAAATTAACCGCCGCATTCAATTTAAACAAAAATTTAAAATTTTGTCATGACAGTATCATAAAGTAGTTCATTGTGCTTTAGTGTACCAAAAACTAGCCTAGTACGGCAAAAAATGACCAAGAACCACTACTTTTCCCCAACCCCTTATCTAAGTCATCATGGTTAATATAAAATCATTTTTCAAACTTTCAAAACTTGGCCCGGTAGGGTGGGTATGATAAAGTAGGGTAGGGTAATGTAATGTAAGAAAGGGTAGAGTAAAGTAGGGTAAGGTAGAGTAGGGTATGGTAAAGGGTAAGCTAAACAACTTACTGGCAAACCCCATCAAACCGATCCAAGTTGTTCTCCGCCTTGAATGCCACTTTCATTGCGGCCGTGAACGCGACGTTACATTCACGTTGACAAACTGGCAGTCCTTTCAAGGCGTTCCAATTCGGAACGACGGCCAAAGTCGACATTTCTTCGAATGTAAAGTCGGGGAGTGGGCCTTCAGCATCAAAAAGGTCGTCATCTAGGGGCGACTGATCATGGTCGATTTGAATTTGACGCATGTGCTTCAGAACATTCTCGTCGTTCCGTAGGGAACGTGGAATGGAAAAAGTTGGTACGGTAAGGTACAGTAGAGTTAGAAATGACAAAATTTGGGATAGTACGATTTTTGGTACCATGGTTGACAAAATGGGACTACTTTTTGGATTAGGGGTTGAAAATGGTATTTTAGGCTTAGAAATAGTTTTTAGATAAGTTTAGGATTAAAAATACTTTTTTAGATAAATATAGGCTTAGAACTATTTTAAGCTTAATATAGGCTTAAAACGAATTTTTAGCCGAAGTTTAGTTATTTTTCAATTTTTGGCCTAGTTTAGGTTTAAATAAGTTTTGGCTGAAATTTAGGCTTAAACCAGAGTTTTAGCCTAATTTAAGCTTAAAAATTAAGTTTTAGCTTAATTCAAGCCTAAAAATCAAATTTTAGCCAAGTTTAAGCCTAAAACTAAAACTTTTTAAAATTTCGAAGAATTGACAAAAACTCAAATTTCAAAGCCAAATTTTGATAAAAATAAGATTAGAATCAAAAGCGTGGGACAATAAACTGGCTTCCAAGATGATTTATCCCTTCTTTTTTTATCAATCACAAGCCCCTCTCGGTTTCGAATTTTTGTAAAATCAAAGAACTAAACACATTCTTTAGGTAACAAAATTGAAAAAAAAACAAATGTTTATATTATAATAGGCTACAACATGAAAACCACAGGTTTAAAATAACTTTTTTGATTTTTGAACTTTTAGTTTGTAATGGCATGATCAAGAAAATATTTTTAACATTACAATAGCAGGCTTACAAGGAAAGTGCCCGACTTGCCCCGCTCTGATTAACTTCAAACTTTTTATAAAGAAAGATCTTGTAAATCTAAGACTTCCAGCAAAGTAGTCAATCTTTCCAGGAAATCGCGAGAAAATCGAGATTAACAAATGGCATTTTGAATTTTCCGCCAACTTGGCATTGTGTTTCAAGCTTGTAACTTTGTCATTTTTTGACTTTTAATAGTTTTTCTTTGATATACTAGTAGAAAACCTTTATGTGAACCTACGTTTTTAAATTTGTAAGCGTATTTTGTCTGGAAAGCCGAAAAAGTGCTTGAAACACAATGCCAAATGTGCCAAATTGGCTGGAAGAAAAGTTTAAGAGATCTTTCCTGACCGGATTGGACCTGGAGTCCGGAATTTGAATGTTGTTTTCCCGCGCTTTTTTTTTCTACCGGGCGGGCCCTTCTAGATGCTGTTACTTTTTTGATACCTATAATAGTTTTTGAGACATGAGTTTGGCGGGAAAAATAAATTCAAAAATCCGGACCGGACCCAAAAGGCAAAACTCTGTGGCTTACAGCCAAAGGAAAGTAGTTTTCAATTCTACCCTAACTACCTTAGCTTTACACTTGTTTTAGTTGAAGTCTTTTTATTAATAGTTTGTTATCCTTCATTTTTTTAGTCTGGATTCTGTCTATAAGCGAGGTCCATAAACATGTGTAAGATGACAAATTTAAGCAAAAATTAGCTCAATTTTTATTATATCTTCAGGAACGTATATATTAAAGTTCTGTGTTTTGACATTTTTATGTGGGCAGTTGTAGCTATGCTTTTTCTATGTTACAGTAAGAAGAAAATTTTTTTAAAATTTTTATGCATGTATAAATGTTAAGGCAGGGTAGAGCAGAACAAAGGCAGGGCAGAGGGCAAGGGAAGAAAGGACAGAGTAGGGCAGAGCCAGGCAAGGCATGACAATGCAAGATAAGGCAAGGCAGGGCAAAAGCAAAGGCAATGCAGGCCAGGACAACAAATTTTAGTTAAATTTCATATTGTATTAGACTGTTTTAGCGTAGGTAATGACAAGCATGGTAGGATAGGTTTTACAGTACCTACTGTCGACTTTTTAAATTTTTTTTTGAAATTTTTTCCGGCTTTTAACTGAGTTTAGTGGTGAATTTAATTTTGTGTTCGTTCCATGAACTTGGCCAAGAAAAATGTTATTAGTGCGGCGCGTACTTAACAGTGCACCGATGATTACTCACAAACTTTTTGTTGAAAAAAATTGTTTTTTCGAAGATTCTGGAAGAGAAAATTGGAAATTTTTAAATTTTTGAAAAAAGACTTGGGTAGGGTAGGATAAGTTAGAGTAGGACAGGGCAAAGCTGTGTAGGGCATTTTAATGCAAAACAGGGTGGGGTAAGGAAGGGTAGAGTAGGGTAATGTAGGGTATGCTAACGTAGAGTAGGGTAGGGTAAGGTAGGGCATGGTAGAGTAGGGTAGGGTAAGGAATGGTACGGTATGATAGGGTAAAATGAGGATGGGTAGGATACGATAATGTATGGTACGGTAATGTAGGGTACGGTAATATAGGGTAAGGTAATATATTATAGTAGACCTTTTATGACGCAATACAAAAAAAAATTTTTTTTAAATTATTTTTAAATTTAGGCTATTAAGAGCTTCAAAGTCACCCAGACAACATGGTGACTTCTTCCCCTTTCCTAATAGTTTTTCCAGGATAAATGACATGTTTTGCATTTCGCCCACGGTAAACGTTTGCCATTTGATGTAACGTACTGGAGCAAAACGTTTTGTCTTCAAATTTTTGTTTGAATTTTGAAAATTTTGTTTTATATAGCCTTACAGTACCCTATCCTAATCTTTCCCTACCTTACACTACCCTGCTCTACCAAACCCTGCTCTACTATACCCTACTTTTCCCTACCTTATCCTACCCTACTCTACCCTACCTTATCTTACCCTATCCTATCCTACTCTACCCTACTCTACCCTACCCTACTTTACCTTACCCTACCCTACACTACCCTACTCTACTCTAGCCTACTTTACCCTACCCTACCCTACCCTACCCTACCCTACCCTACCCTACCCTACCCTACCCTACTCTACCCTACACTACACTACTCTACTCTAGCCTATTTACTCTACCCTACCCTACTTTGCCTTGCCCTGCAATGTTTAGCTCCTTACTTAACCCTACTTTACCATATCTGCGTTTTACCGTACCCTATCCTACTTTACTCTACCCCAGGGACGTTGCTACGGATTTTCTCTGGGGGGAGGGGGAGGTCGAAAAAAAATTTTTTCGTCCACAGGTACCTGTGGACCGATTTTTCAAAAAATTTTTTTTTGTTTTTTTGCGTACAGGTACCTGTGCAATTTTTTTTGGATCGGCTCTGGGGGAGGGGGTACCCCCCCCCCCCCCCTCCCCCCAAACGACGTCCCTGCTCTACCCTACCTTACCCTGCTCGACCTATGTCCTACAAAAGCCTAGCCCTAGCTTCTGTCTACTCCTTATTTCTAGCCCCTACCTTCGCCTTTACCTGGCTTTGGCTTAGCTCATAGCTGGATGTATACCCTATCTTATCATACCTTAGACTAACCGTGACATAGCTTTTAGTTACTTTTACATATTTTTATTACGTTCACCCCCCTAAACATTATGTAATGTTTTCATCGTATAGCAGTGACGTTCGGGTCTAGTGGTATTAAATACAACTTTACGAAGTGGTATTATACTGTTATGGTGACTAAGCTGGATGGGTTAATTCCATTTTCTCGTATTTTTAATTATAGGCATAGAGCGGTCATTTTGTGGCATTTATACGTCAAGGTTTAGGTTTTAGGTTGGCAGGGCAAGGCAAGGTAGGGCATGGTAGGGTAGGTCAGTATCAGACAGAAGAGGACAAGGCATGTTAGGACAGGCAGGGCATGGTACGGCGGGACATTATAGGTCAGAAGAGGGCAGGACATACCAGGAGAGTACAGGAAAGGGAATGGATAGACAGGGCATTGTGGGTAGGACAGAACAGGAAAGGGTGTGGTAAGGCAAAGGCAAGATAAGGTATGGCAAAGCAAGGCAGGGCAAGGCATGGCAAGGCCAGGAAATGCATGGCAAGGCGCGGCACGGCAAGATAAGGCATGGCAAAGCAAGGCTAGTGCTAAAGCTAAAGCTAAAGCTGAGTTAGTGAAGAACTTAGCTAGAACTAGGGTAAAGCAACTGGACTATTTTAGTACTTCATTACTAAAAACAGTACTATTTTTAGATTTTACCAATTTTATTGTACCCTATTTCCAATAAACTCGTCATGAAAAGTTTATTTTGGTCATTTCGAATGAAAAAAATATAGAATATCGCTAATTTGAGTTGAAATTCAATTAACGAAGCTCAGCCTCGTTGCTAGAGTCCAAACTTTAGCATTGAAACAAATTGAACAGAAACGTAGGAACGTTCTGTTTTTATAGCGCTTTAATTAAAAATTTTACTGTAATTGCTGTTTTTTATGCCTGTCTGGGTAGGGAAGGAAGGGTGGGGTAGGATAGGGTAGAGGTTGGGTCTTAATGATTGATAGGTTAGGGCACTTTAAAAAAAGTTTAGGGTGTCAGCCGTTTTTAGTTTTTTAAAAGCTAAAAAGCATAAGTTTTGGCTTAGGTTTAGCCTTAGGGTCGAGCTCAAGGTTAAGATAAAACTAGGGTTTAGGTTAAAACTTAGGCTACGGCTTAGGCTACAGCTTAGGCTACGGCTTAATCTAGTATTTAGGCTTGACTCCTCTTTGATGGACTTCAGGCTTAGTCTTAATTTGAGCTTTAGGTCGAGACGTATACGTAGACTGAGGCTTAGGAACGGGCATGGGCTTAGGCATGCACTTAGAACTAGGTATACACATAGGCTTAGGCTTAAACTGAGACGTAGACTGAGGCTTACACTTAAAGTTAGACTTCGAATTAGGCTTAGACATGGGCTTAACTTAGCGCAGAGACTTAGGCATAGGCTCAAACATAAACATAGCCTAGGGTTTTGGGGTAAGGAAGTGTCTTGGGTTAGGTTTTAAAAATTCATGTTGACGTTTGAGTTCTTATTAAAAAATTTAATCGAATAAGGAAGTACTGTTACATCAAAAAAAGTTGCTACGTCTTTAGCACAAATTTTAGCAAAACGACTTTTACTCACGATATCATATCATTTTAAAACTTTGAACTCAGAGCAACTTACGAAAAGCTCGTAAAACGAGCTCCTTAATTCATTATTATGTTTTTATTTTTATGAGCATGTACGATGATTGTACTAATGTCATTTGGCTCAAAAAAGGCATGATTAAGCATTAGCCAGTGCTGGTTATATAAATACTTAACGTTAGATAGGCCTGGCTAGATAGATCACTAGCCAAATATAAATATTTAATCTAGCTTGGCCTTTATGGTATGTCATGCTATAGTAAAATGGCAGTAATCTATTACTCCTGTTTTTTCATACCATATTATGTCACATTTTTACTGTGAAAGGTTTTGAGTGTCCAAAAAATGACGTTATATTAACCATGATGACTTGGGTAAGCGTGGGGGAAAAGTGGTGGTTCTTGGTCGATTCTTAAGATACTAGGCTAGTTTTTGGTAAATTGAAGCACGATGAACTACTTTATGATACAGTTAAAATTAAGATTTTTTGTTTAAAACGCCTGAGGCAGTTAATTTAAAAATTACTTGTTTTTGGCTTTCAAACAGGAGAAAATACCTTACTTTACCCTACTCTACCTTGGTTTATTATACTTTACACGTCTTTATTCTTCCTTACTCTATCCTATCTTACTCTAGCCTACACTACTGTACTCTATCCTATACTGCACTACCCTAACTTATCTTTAGTTAAGGTCAAAACTGACCAAAACGATGTTTTTCAATCAAAAAACCGAAATTTAGATATAAAATGATTAGCAATGGGTCAGTTTAAAGCCTTTTACACCAAGTTTTCGTATTTACATGGCGTCATTTTCATTGAAAACCGAACCAAACCTCGAGGGAATTTGAAATCCGAAACTTATTTTTATTTTAAAACTTGGATAACGTGGGTTGGGTTGAGAAAAGTTTAAACAGTTGTGTAAAATGTTTTTTGGGTTGTTGTTTGTGTTTTTGGGTATTTTTAATATATTTTTTTTAAAATAACAGTTTTCTAGAATTTTTTTCATATTTCAGGCAGTGCCGGGCGGGGGTAGTTTGGTGTGACTTTCCCATTTCCCATTCCACAGGTGGACCAAAATTTTTTTTTGGGTCTTCACCCCCCCCCCCCCCCCAAGAGAAAAAGCGTAGCGACGTCCCTGGCTGGCTTAAGACTTTGGTTTGGGCTAGAACAGCTCAATGTTGAGTCTACAGTATGGCTAGGACTAGGAGCAAAGTTGGACAGAGCAAAATTAAGAAAGCGGGGTAGGGCTAAATTTAAGCTTGAGAAGGTTTTAAGTGCTAAGGCGGGGCTGGGGAAAAACGTACTTAGGTAGGAGTAGGGTGAGTCTGGGTAGAGCAGAGCTAAGGTTAGATCTAGGACTAGGACTAGTACCAAGAACAAAACGAGTGCTGGGACTAGGAATAGGGCTGACAAAGTCGATTTTCTCGAAAACTAAGCGCCATACGGAAAAACGGTTTTCAGATCCATACTCAGTGATTACAGGGCTTTAAGAATATATAGGTCTCGACCTGAAGTCGAGGTACGATTTAAGTGACATCCCATGTGAGACAGAGCAGAATGAAAGAGACTTTTTAAAATGTCAAAAAATTCGAAATTTTTTTAATTTAAAAAAAAATTAATTTTTGAAAAAAAAATTTAATTTTGATTATCAGTCAGTTTTCACTCAATTTTTCAAAACTAACATTAGTTTCTATTAGCTTTAGGCTTCGCCCCAAACGTCAGATGACAAATTACCTAACTAAGAGATGACAAACCCATTTGAGGCGGAGTAAATATTTATGGATGACAAATTGCCTCAAGGACATGTTTTTGGGCTTTGTTACAAATTAGGAACATTGGATTTAAATCCTGTCTTCCGGCCGCCGATTTATGTTTTTGAAGTGTTTTCGACGTCGATTCGTATTTATTTACCGCGGTTGTAAATATTGTTCCCGGCGGTCATTACGTTGATGTACTCCAAATTGAGATGAATATGTACAATTGGCTACCGGCGGCTTGTTTTGTCTGGGTTTTTCGGGGGAGGGGACAGGGGAGTATAAGCGGTGACAAGGGGATGATAAACTTGAGGTGTGGCAGAAGGTTGGGCTGCTGATGGCTTAGGGTGAAGATAAGGCTAAGGCCAGGGCTAAAGCTTGGGCTAGGGCTAGAGTCAGGGCTATGGCTAGGAATAGGCCTAAGACTAGGACTAGGGCTAGTACTACACTAGGATTAGGGTTAGTACTACGACTAGGATTAGGGCTAGTACTAGGACTAGGGCTAGTACTACGACTAGGACTAGGGCTAGAGCTAGGGCTACAACTAAGGCTAGAGCTAGGGCTAGGACTAGGGCTAGGGTTGAAATTAAGACTAGTACAAGGAACAAGAACAGGACTAGTACTAGGGCTAAAGCTAGTATTATAATTAGGGTTAAGACTATGAATAGAATCTGGTCTAGGGCCCCGATTAAGAATAAGACCAAAACCAGATTCAAAGCTAAGGCTAGGACTAGGAATAAGGCTAAAGCTAAGGGTAAAACAGAAGCGACGACTACATTATCTTTAAAATTGTCTTATTATACCACATTAAGAATTTGTTACAGTAAGGAAGGATAGCATAATGAAAACTTTTTCTTCTACAGTAGGTAGGGTGATCAATGAAAAACTTTTTTTTGTTATTGTGCTCTTCTGAAGCCCCTAGGGAAATTTTTAAAAGTTTAATAGACCGTTAAAGTTTTAGGGTTATTTAAACACTTTTTCTAATTAATCAGCTGACCAAATTAAAAGAGGATAGACCATTTTCGTATTTTACATTACACAGATTACCATCAATCTGGATAATGTAAAATACATTTACCAAATTGTAAAGTTTACGCAGTTTTTTCTATTTATAAATAAGCCTAAAAAGCGTGGCTTTATCCAATTTTGATTTAACTTAACGAACCAACACTAACATTGTCAGATGTTGATATAATTGAATTTTAAGGCCATTCTTTGTTTCGTCGTGGGAGGAGGGGTAAAACGAACGAAAGTAAATACGTGACAGAGGGCGGTAGTTTGGAATAACACATGTACCATAGTGCATTGTAAAGTATTTTTGCTTTTTTAGCGTTTTTACTGTATTGTAGACGGGTAAGTCAAAAATTTGGGCATGGTAACAAAGTATTAATAAGAAAGAGAAGGAGGTTGGATGAAGTAAGAAAATAGGCAAAGTAGAATAATTTTACAGTAGGATTTAACTTAGATTGGGGCTAAGGATGTGGTTAAGGCTAGGGCTAGATCCAGGGCCAATTTAGATGTTGAGTGAAGTAAGGTGGGACTAGGGTAAGGTTAGGATAGGGTTTTAGCCAAGTCTGATTATTGTATAGCAGGGTGAAGCTTGGTTTGTGGCTAACGTTAGGGCTCTAAAACTGAAGGACTAGGGCAATAGCTGAAGCTAGAGCTAAACATAAGTCTAGGGCTAGGTATACGGGCAAGGCTAGGTAAGGCTCTAGGCTGAAGCTAGGTATATGGTTAAGGCTGAGGCTATAGCTAGCGAAGAAAATGGACAGGACTAGGACTAGGATTTTTTTTGTACTAGGATTTATTGGACTAGGATGAGGACTAGGACTAGAACTAGGACCAATGCTAATGCTAGGGCTTTGGGCTAGCGCTCTGGGCTAGGGCTCTAAGCTAAGGCTCTGGGGCAGGATTATGGAAGGGGTTGGGTCTAGAGCTATGGATTATAACGCACAACATAATCTTTGTTACATGTAATCGTTGACCGTTGTCTTCAAATGTTTTTTAACTTTTCTCTTATTAAACGTGGTTCATATTGTCGTAAATAATACGCCGTTCTTTCTGACACAATGTAGTATTTTCTCCTCATAACACATCTACATTATATTATGCTCTGTAATGTAACATTATTGTTTCGAAACCATTTTTATTGCTGTTTTTTACTTCCCGGTAGACTGTGATGTCTTACAATATTGCTACCTTTGCTTAATGAAACGTGAACACCAACATATATGGTTATTGTAATAAAGACACACTATGTGACTATTATTGCAATAACTACATACGAGTATTGTTGTAACATTAATATTAAGAACGGTCGATCATTCGCTTGCAGGTTAACAACTGTTATCCTAACATGAACTCGGCGTACCTATCATTGGGCGGAAGTTGTTTGGCGTTCGCTGTACTAGTCATGTGCTTCACAGGATCGGCAGAGGTAGGCTTGTACAAGAAAAGTTACAGTAATCTTTTTGTAAAGAAAGTTTTTGCAATTTTTTGTTTTGTAGAGAAATTTCTTGTCATTTTTAGTTTGTAAAGAAAGTTCTTGACATTTTTTGCTTTGTAAAGAAAGTTCTTGCTATTTTTTGTTTTGTAAAGAAAGTTCCCGCCATTTTATGTTTCGTAAAGAAAGTCCTTGCTATTTTTCATTTTGTAAAGAAAGTTCTTTCCATTTCAGGCTCAAGACCTCGAGTATTACCCAGTGAGGAATCAAGCTGCTTTCTATTTCCGTCCGCGTCCAGCGCCCTATGATGTGAGCGCCGAGTTGGGCGGTCGGGTCGAGTTGCCCGTGGGCTGGAACCGCCGTTTCGGCAAACGTGGCCAACGACTGCGACGTGTCGCCGTTCTGGATTCGTTGGGAGGACGAGACTTTTTGATTCGTTGAACAATGCACAGCACTTTTGAGTACGATCGTACTGTATAGTATCGTACTATATAGTACCATGCTATATACAACTATATTACCGTACTATATATATGTATATTCTCAAAATATATACAACTATAGTACCGTACTATATATTCTTACAGTACCATACTATGTACTATATAGTACGATACTATATAGTACCCTTCTTATGTACTTGCTTTTCACCAAGCTTGTACTACCTTCTATAGTACAAGCTAATTACATCTGTACCACCTTTTCCAAGTTCATACTAGAAAAGGTGGTACAGCATACTATCTAAGCCTACCATCTCCCCTATGTACATGCTACTAACGACGAAAACACTGACAGTAAATCTAAAATTGCTTGACCGTATAGTTAAAGTATTTATTACATTGTATTATTGTCTTATCTATCATATAAGTGTCATAAAAAGTACGTTTTGATCTCACTTTTCCAGCCGAACCGATCTGTCTCTTATTTCCTTTGTTTTTTTACTTTTGGTAATAAATTTTTGTATTTTTTGTTGGTTTTAATTTTTTTTATTTGTTGGAATAGCCCCATCCCTATCCTAGAGCCCTAGCCCATAGCCCTAGCCCAGAACCCTAGCCCAGAGCTCTAGCCTAAAGCCCTAGTACGAAGCCCAGAGCCCTAGCCCAGAGCCCTAGCTCAGAGCCGTAGCCCAGAGCTCTAGCCTAAAGCCCTAGTACGAAGCCCAGAGCCCTAGCCCTAGTCCAAAGCCCTAGTACGAAGCCCTAGCCCAGAACCCTAGCCCAGAGCCCTAGCCCAGAACTCTAGCCTAAAGCCCTAGTACGAAGCCCAGAGCTCTAGCCCAGAGCCCTAGCTCAGAGCCCTAGCCGAGAGCCCTAGCCCTAGTCAAAAGCCCTAGTACAAAGCCCTAGCCCAGAACCCTAGCCCAGAGCCCTAGCTATAAGCCCTACACCAGAGCCTTCGCCCAAAGCCCTAGCCCAACACTCTAGCCTAGAGTCCTAGACCAGAGCCCTAGCACAGAGGCCTAGCCCAGAGACTTATTATAGCTATAAGCTTCAGAATTAGCTTTAGCTTTAGCTCTAATTCCAACATTATCCCAACACCCTAGGCACAGCTCATGTCCTAGACCTAGCCTTAACTGTAACTTGTACTTAATTCTAGCTCTAGCCAGTCTTGATCCCAGTATTAGCTTTAGCCTTACCCTTTTTTTAATAAAACAACTTGTTAGAAAAGATGTGGGTGTGCCGCAAGACTAATAATATGATAAGACTTTAAATTTTTCTTTACGTTTGGATACGTTTTTATAGTTCACATTGTCAATTTTATTAGTTCCGGTTGAAAAACTTGGTTTTTATTTGTTTATAACTTTATCAACGTTTTTTTAGACCAAAAAGTATAAACTGTCGCTTAGTTGGCAGTGTACAATGTGAAAGAATTTATGATAGTTTAAAGTAACGAATTCATTTCTTTTTACAGTACAATGAAAAACCAGCAAAAATGACATCTTCATTTATATGTTTTTAGCAAAAGTTCAGTAAACTATTAGTAATGACGCATTCCTTCAACATGAGGGAAGTTCTCCAACTTCAAAGATTCAACACGGATTCCTCCCATCAAGTCAAACTGTTGAATGTGTTTGGCCGGCAATCTGTGTTCAAAGTCGCCCAGGTGGGATCCATTGAATAATATCTGAAAAATTATTTTTATTCAACAACAGCTCAGCGGACGGTTGTGCTACATTTTATCGAACTATGTGTTGTTAGACGGCTGTGCTACATTTTATCGAATCATATGTTGCTAGAGAGTTGTGCTACATTTTATTGAACTATGTGTTATTAGACGGCTGTGCTACATTTTGTCGAATCATAGGTGACTAGACGGTTGTGCTACATTTTATCGAATCATATGTTGCTAGGGAGTTGTGCTACATTTTATTGAACTATGTGTTATTAGACGGTTGTGCTACTTTTATTGATTCATATGTTACTAGACAGTTGTGCTACCTTTTATCGAAGCATATATTACTGGATGGATGTGCTACATGTTCACTCAATACTATATGCAGAGTTCTTCTCGGACCGGACCCAATGCGGGTGTCTGGAATTTGAATTTTGTTTTCCCGCGCTTTTTTTCTACCGGTCGGATCGGTCTGAAACTTTTTCTACCCCCCTATTTGGAATGGTGCTGATCCTTCTAGATGCTGTTAGTTTTTTGAAATCTATAATAGTTTTCGAGATATGCGTTTGGCGGGAAAAATAAATTCAAAAATCCGGACCGGACCCAAAAGCCAAAACTCTGGCTATATCTCAAAAACATTAAACCGCGGCTTTATTTGATGATTTTATTAGATGATGCTACCTTAATATAATACTTTCAAACGACGACAAGAAACCTAACGTGTAAGACTGTGACCAAAACTATCATATATTGTAAAACTACGGCGAATGATACTATAGCTACATTAACCTGAAGGCAAGTGTACTTTTTCGAATTAAACCTACAAAATATCCTTTTTCAGTGACTCGTACCACCAAGTGAGCTGGATCATTATTGTGAAGCTTGACGTCCTTCGTCACTTCTTTTTTCCATTTTCCTTTTTCAAATGAGTTGAACGCGATGTTCTGTCGATTCCTTTCAAATCTTACTTTTACATGTAAAGCAATGTCATCGCCATCGGACAAGTTAATTACAAAATCCTCGGATGTACGGTTGTCTAATCGACCACGAATGTCGATTACAGCATTCACATCCAAACCACCAGCTGTTGGTAGAGAAAATGGCAGTTGTGGGTTAGTGTATTCGAAATTGTGACCCATTTTTTGTTTTTAAGCCTAAAAGATTTTTCTTTAGGTTTTAGTTTATAGTGTTAAAACGGCTAACTTGAATGTTTTGTAGGTCTAGCCCTACCCTAGCCCTAGATCGAACCCTAGCCTTAGCTTTAGCCCTAGATTAAGCCCTATAGCCCTAGCTTTAGCCCTAGCTTTAGCTCTAGCTTTAGCCCTAGCCATAGCCTTAGCTCTGGCTCTAGCCCTAGCCCAAGTCTTTAGTTCTAATCTTAGGTCTAGCCCCGGCTTTATCTCAAGCTTTAGCTTTAGATCTAGCTATAATTCTAGCCTTACATTAGTCATATTACTATTCTTTCAGCCAACTCTACAGTACCTATTTTATCCTGCCTTGCCCCGCCTTTGCCTTAGGCTTATTTAGACCCACTCAAAATTCATTTTACCCTCGCCCAACATAACATCCTAAAATTCAAAAACCACCGTTAGTAAACAACAAAACTAAAAAGAAACACTATACTAACAACGCAAGTAGTGATAAAGACTTGAGATGTTTTATATAATCTTAAAAGGGCGTTCCGCGACGATAACGACGTTTGGTATTTGCATAGTTTGAAAAGTGTGAATCACATTCGTTTTTTCTTTGTTTGTCATAAAAATTTATTCAAAGATACGGAATTCTGATACATCCAAGAACTTTTAATTAGTGATTTTGGCTGAAAAATCAAAATTACAATTTTGGCGGGAAAAGAGAAATTCAAAAAAATATCAAGACCAATTAGAGAACACAAATATATTGGCCATAATAGCAATTTAACAGATCATAGGGTTTAAGAAAGACATGTTTAACTATATTTTATGGAAATTATTGTTTTAGAATGGAATGTCAAATTTGGCGGGAAAACATAAATTTAAAAAATTAATGTCAATACAGGCTTCAGCAATTGGACTTTATAAATTTTAAAAAATGGCACTTTTATAGAACATACCATACTAAATAAAGATTTTAAGGCTATATCAAGCCAATTTAAACCTTAAAACACAATGCCAATCTTGGCGGGAAAATAGAAATTCAAAAATAATCGTCAATTTTAGTAGCTAATAGTACAATATTTTTAGAAGTGACATTTACATAGATATTATAATAAATGAAAGACATGAAAAACAACATTTTAGATCAAGTTTTACCTATATATTACACTAGGCATATACTACACTATCCTAACGAATCCTCAACTTCAGCCCATCCAAATCCCTGGCCCTTTCAGCGATTGGTCGATAAATATCCTCAATCGACCGTCCACCCCAAAGAAAGTCGATATGGCCATAATGCTGAAGTTTTGTCACTTCTGCCACAACTTCTGGTTTTAGTCGTTTTAGTAAATAGCCGTCAACGTCTTTTTCATTGGCTAGCCAATCGTCTGGACTAGAGAAGACGTGAATTGGTGAGTCCGAGATTGACGCCAAGTCATATATTGGTGGGTATTGCTACAATTTTTAAGTGTATTTTATGATAGCTAAATAAAAAATTTAAAAAAGCCACCCTAAAAACTTGAATTTTCAAAATCCCGCGCTTTTTGGCATTCTGTTTCAAGTAATTGTAAAACTTAAAAATAGTAGAAAAATCAATTTTAGGTTACAACCAACGTATTTTACAAAAAAAATTTAAAAAAAACCCTGCCCTGCCGTTACGCTATCCTACCGCGCCCTATCCTACCCAAAAAATTCAAAAAAACTCCAAATAAACCACCCCCCCCACCCCCTCTCCAATAATAAAAATCCAAATTTTGCTCTCATCAACCATACCTGCCCATAATTTTTGACATTTTCGGCTTCGCCAAAATCGTATTTTTGAAATTCGTCCGTCTCCAAACTCTGATAGTAATGTAACATGTTCATCATGGAGGTGCCTGAGTTTGAATGGGCAGTATATACACCAATCCGACTTGCATTCAGATGCCAATGTGGACCCGTATAGTCAATGATATGTTGTGTACAGAGGTGGCGGGTTAGTGGGGAGCGGCAGAATAGGGCTGATAAGGGGCGGAGGAGAAGAGCGTCGTTCATGTACTCTCCTGGCACGTTGCCTTGCCATATTAGCTTAAAAGTGGCAGTTTATGTATGGTGTAAAACTATATTAATGTATATTACCCTACCCTACCCTACCCTACCCTACTTTACCCCACCCTACCCTACGTTATCCCACCCTAACTTGCCCTACCGTAATCTATCTCACCCTACCCACGCCCTACTTTACCTTACCTTATCCTACCCTACCCTACAGTACCCTAATTTACCATAAACTGCTCTACTCGGCCTTATCCTATCCTCTACTACCTTATTATATTATACCTTACCATGGCATACACTAGCCTGACCTTCCACACTCAGTACTGTATCCTTAAACTGCATTTTTTTTAAATTAGCCTTAAAACCTAAAAAAAAATCCACCCGCTTACAAAGATTTCCTCTCCTCTTGTCCTTACACAATCCTCCTCTCCGTACCTCCCAAAAAAATAAAATACTACTCAAAAACCCACCCCTACCCCCTAAAACTCACCGGAAAAGCGTTATGAAACCTTCCAATAGCAGCCATAGGACCTTTCAGATTTCGAACCCTAGTAACCGGTGCTACAGCATAGAATCTTTGAATATTTTGAGAGAATCCGGGATCCATCGACAGTTTAGCCAATAACAATAAAGCTCCTTGGGAATAGCCAAGAAACTGGACTTGCTTCTTCTTAGACACCAACTTTACGTACTCTACTATGGCTGGAATGTCGTATTCAGCCATTTGGTCGTAGCTAAAGGTATGAGGTTTACTAGAGCATGGCAAGGTAAGATAGCGTAGGGTAGAGGGAGGGTAAAGCGAGAGTAGGGCGAAGGTACAGCGAAGGTAAAGCGAGGGTAGGACGAGGGTAGAGTGAGTGTATGGCGAGGGTAGGGCAAGGGTAAGCCAAAAGTAGACCAAAGGTAGGGCGAGAGTAAGACGAGGGCAGGGTATTGCAGGGTAGGGTAGGGTAGGGTAAGGTAGGGTAGGGTAGGGTAGGGTAAGGTAGGGTAGGGTAGGGTAGGGTAGGGTAGGGTAGGGTAGGGTAGGGTAGGGTAGGGTAGGGTAGGGTAGGGTAGGGTAGGGTAGGGTAGGGTAGGGTAGGGTAGGGTAGGGTAGGGTAAGGTAGGGTAGGGTAAGGTAGGGTAGGGTAGTTGTTACCAAAAATCCCAAAAGTTTCTGTCCAAAATGTTCATTTTGACGTGCTTCCGACCATATTTATTGCCTCTAACATTCGCTAGCCAAACGTCAAATCCAGCGTCAGCAAAGTAAAAACCTGAAACAATGACGACTCTTATTAAAAATGGCATATACTTTTATACAAATTGCAAAATTTTTTTTAAATTGAATAAAATAACTGAAAAATGGCCAAAAAATTTTTAAAAATAGGTATAACTTGGCTTCTTTATCTAAAACACTATATTTTTCAATATCGTAAAGCGTTAAACAACTATAAGCTGCTACAAAACATACCAGCAGATCCATTCTGACCATTTAGAATCCAAGAAGCTGATGTTAACTCAAGTCCGTGCATTAAAATCAATGGGTATTGATTTGGGAGCTTTGTGTCTAAAAAACTCATTTTTTATTGATATTTGCAACAAGTCTTATTTTAATATTGTTTAAAATTGATTTTTTTCTTTAATTAATAATTTTCTTTCTTTATATTTATCAAAAATTTTATTTGAAAGCTTAAAAACGCCGAAAAACGGCATTGCACCCGGCCGGATTCGAACCAACACGCTTTTGCGCGTGAAGTTGGCGGCTTCGCTATTCGACTACGAAATGCGTTTTTAAAGAATTTGGTTTATATGGTGCTCAAGGTTAATATGATGGTTTTATGAGATTAGAAAGTAAAAATTAGCTAAAAAACAAAAAAAAAATTTTTTAAATTTAAATTTTGTCAAATTACACGAAATTTTTAAAATTTTTTTTATTTTTTATAAAATTTTGAAATTTCTCACTTCTAGGTGATGGAATCCGATGAACATCAATCAGGTAACCATCATCAGTTTGAACTTTGTGAGTTTCCACCGGATATCCATAATGTTTGGCGATTTGGGCCTAAAAATTTAAAAAAAAACCAAAATTTATTACCTAGTTTTTTAAAATTTTTAAAAAGTTTTTGAAATTTTTGTATTCTTACTACCTCCATATTGTCAAAAATGCTATTTTAAGCAAAAATTATACAGAACAATTTGTTATTCATGTGCTCTGAATAAGAACAATGACATTACTATTGAGATACGGAGATATTCGAAAAAGCAGCTATAACAACAAAAATATATATGAAAAAAGAGAAAGTGTGACAAAAAATGTGTAAAAACATCATAAACTAAAAGTTTTTGTCGTATTTTAGTTTTTGAAATAACGTTATTGCCTTTTTTGAAAAGGTTATCGACTTTTCCTTTTTCTTCGTATAACATGTCTCCCGCAGCCTGCAAGAGACTTTTAATTTAAAAATATAACAGTTTCATGCTTTGTAAAGAAAGTTCTTGCCATTTTTTACTCTGTAAAGAAAGTTCTTGCAGTTTTCTCTTTTGTAAAGAAAGTTCTTGCCATTTTTTGTTCTGTAAAGAAAGTTCTTGCCATTTTTTGTTTTGTAAACAAAGTGCTTGCCATTTTTGAGTTTGAAAAGAAATTTCGTGTCATATTTTGTTTTGTAAAGAAAGTTCTTGCCATTTTTGCCACAAATTTTAAAATTTTCAAAAATTGTTTTTATTTTAAAAAACTTACAGTATCCATGTCGCACAATACATCAGAAACATCTCTTTTTTCTACAACTTTCGATGTCAACCCGATATTACAGTAAACAAAGAACAGTAGAAAAACTGTCAAGAGAGTCATGCACTAGAACGACATTCATAAAAGTGTGTTCATAGCCTGTTTTGAACACAAAAAACACGTAAAAAGCGTAGGAAATACGGAAAACGTTAAAGAACATGTTAAATAAACCGTAAAGTGGGTTGCGAAAACGAACCCTAGTTTACAGCCCTAGTCCAGAACCTTAGCCCAGAGCCCTAGCACAGACCCCTAGCCCAGAGTCCTAGCCCAGAGCCCTAGCCCAAAGCCCTAACTTTAGTTCTCGAGCTGGCTGCCTCTGACGTTAGCCCTAGCCCATATCCAGTTGTAATTCTAGCCCTAGATCTAGCCATGTCTTTTGTGTCGTACCCTTGTCGTGACCTAAAAAGGTAAACCCAATCAAGCCTTAACGCTAACTTCAGCCCCATAAAAAATCCATTTCGCCTTTCTCCAAGGTTTGCCTCTCAAGCCTTGGCTCGCAATTTAGCCCATAAAAATTAAGCTTAGCTTCCATTCTCAGAGTTTAGACACTAATAATCTAAGTGCTACAACAAAAACTTTAGCACCTAGCCTTTAGACTTATCAATTCATCTAGGTTTAACCTAAAATGTTTTTTTTAAACCTACCGTTCTTTACGAAATCCCTCATCCTATACCTCTAAAAAATTTAAAAACTCCGCTTCAAATTCATTTTTCTTCTACTCCCCCCCCCCTCTTTCTTTATCATCTGTCATAAAAAATATTTAGCTTTAACAAGGCTTATCTTACCGTATTTTTACTAGAATTTTAAAAAATTACCGTACCCTACATTAACTTATTCTATCTTCACTACCTTGTCCTACCTTACTTTACACTACCTAATAATACTCTACCCTACCTTATCTTACCTTACCCTACACTACCTTATCCTACCTTGTTTTACCTCACCTTACACTACCTTATCCTATTCTACCATACCCTACACTACCCTACACTACGTTATAATACTTTACCCTACACTACCCAATTTTTAAAAACACCCAAACCCACATATCTCAAAAATCACCCAAAAAATCACCACAAATGTCTCAGTCGCTTCTAATAAACGTGTTTGTATGCAAAGAAGAAGCTTTGTTTATCCAAATAGTACAACATAATACAACGTTTCAAGCCGAGGCTTTGTTGCCTCAGGCTTCAAATACGGAACAAAAGTTTTCGAACTGTTTGTTCAACCAAATTTCGGTGTTTTTTGGGCCGAAAAAGAAACCAGACACGTAAATAAATATGCAAGTAGCCTCTTGAATTCGGATTTGCATATTTTACGACAAAAAGATGTGGCAGTGATCTGTGATAGTGTTTTATAGTGACTATGAGTCAAGTGTGGTGTGGTAGTAATCACTGAGAATATTTATAGAATCAAAAAGATTTGATATATTTGGTAAGCCTATGTTTTGTATTAGGCTCAAAATGCCATTTTTTTAAAATTGAAATTGAGTGGAAGGTTTGTAATGCAACTTGCACTGAAAATGTTCCACCCAACTTCCACTTTCAAAATGCTTTAAAACGGCCTAAAAACACATTTAAAACAATTTTTAAAAATGAAAGTTGAGTGGAAGATTTTCAGTGCAAAATACATTACAAATCTTCCACTCAACATTCACTTTCAAAATGCGTTTAAATAGCCTAAAAACACGTTTAAAGCACTTTTTAGAAATGGAAATTTGATGGCAGATCTGTAATGTATTTTGCACTGAAAATCTTCCACTCAACTTCCACTAATACACAACCAAAAATAATAGAATTTATTGAGTTTAGCTTCAAACACAGTATATAAATGCCATTTTCAATGTAATTCTGTTTCTTTTCTTCTTTTTTCCTTCGGCGATCTTGGTGACTTTTTGTGTAAAACATTTTTGTGGTCCTTGTAAGATATATAGAACAGTACCGCTACGAGAACAACAGTCACCAGCACGATAATGGCGGCACCAAAGAAGATTAAGAGAAGCTTTCTGAAACAAAAATATTTTAAAATTTTGAAAATGGGGTAAGCGTAGATTCGGTAGGATTAAGGTTAAAAAATAGTATAGGTTAAGGTAGGATAAGAGAGAGTAGAGCTAGGGTAGGGCTGGTCAGCGTCTAAAGTAGGGTGAAATTAGGTAAATCAAAGCAGAGTATGGTAGAGTAGGATAAGATAAGGTAGGAAAAGGTAGGGTAGAGCAAAATAGTGCAGTACAAAGTAAGATAAAGTAAGATATGGTGAAGCAAGGTAGGATATAGCAAGTTAGGGTAGAGTAAGCTATGATAGAGCAAGACTAACCTAGCTTAGGATAAAGCTAGACTAAACCTAGCTAAGGGTACGGGGGATAATAGAGTAGGACAAGGTAAGGTAGGGTAAAGCAGAACAGAGCAAAGTACGGTAGAATAAGCTAAGGCAGAGCAAAGTAAGAAAGAACGGTAGGGTAAAGAAAGGTAAGGTATTACGGTAGAGCTATACCAAGGCTAGCCTACGTTAGGATAAGGCTAGACTAAGGCTAGCTCAGTGTACTGGGCAGGGCAGGGTATATAGGGTAGGGTAGGGTAAAGTAGGGTAAGGTAGGGTAAGGTAGGGTAGGGTAGGGTAGGGTAGGGTAGGGTAGGGTAGGGTAGGGTAGGGTAGGGTAGGGTAGGGTAGGGTAGGTAAGGGTACGGTAGGGTAGGGTAGAAGTAAAAAACTTACTTTAAATGTGTGTGAGAGTCCACAAACATGACGTAGGTATTTTGGGTGAACTGCTTTGTAAGGTTGGTTTCTTCGTTGCTGATGGCGATCAAATGTTCCTAAAATGTTAAAATTTGAATTTAATATCCAAATTAAAGTATATTTTTAAAAATTTTCAAATTTAAATTTTTTCAAATTTTTAAATTTTTAAAAATTTCAAAAAACTCATACCAAGCTATAATAGTCCGTCTGATACTCTCCCTGATACCTTTTCAGCTTTAAATCACGTTCAGTACACTTTGTCATGGATGTCACTTCATCATCCGGCTTTCCAACCAAGCACGAGCCATTCTTTGTGGCATAAAGCAAGTCTTTGCTTGGATCAAATCGACTGGTAAAATTGTATTCGTCTCTTTTGCCATGTATGCCAACTACAGTATATCGAAGGCGAAACGGTGTTTTGAATAATGGGGTGTCGGTTACTTGGATTAGACGTTGAAGGTTTGTCAGCAAGTACAACTTTTCATTGACCAGCAGGTAAAAGTTTTTTGATGCTGGAATTAGATTGAATGGCACCATGTAGGTTCATTTATTATAGTTACTACAACTCTGAAAATAAAAATTTAGATATAACTTTACTCTACCCTACCCTACCCTACCCTACCCTACCCTACCCTACCCTACCCTACCCTACGCTGCCCTGCCCTATCGTGCTTTGTCTTTCCCTATCTTGCCGTGCCTGTCCCTGCTCTGCCTTTCTTTGCCCGCTCCTACCGTGCCCTGTCCTTCTTTGACGTACCGTGCCCTGTTCTACTATACTCTGCCGTGCCTTGCGCATGACTTGTCTCACGTTACTTTGATTTTCCCTACCCTACTATACTCTACTCTACTCTACTATATCATACCCTAAACTACCTTATCTTACACTGCTCTATCCAACCCTACCCTAATCTACTCTACCCTACTATATCCTACCATATCCTATCCTGTCCTGCGGTATCCAGTCCTACTCCACCATACAGTATCTCAACTTACTCTGCCCGCTCTAAAAAAACTTCCCGCAGTAAAAATTTTACTTTTATTCTTAAAATCTGCCCTGCCTTCAAATTATTCATCAAAAGTGCCTTTTCTAATTAAACTTACAGTTGATGTCGTTCTCCAACGACATAGAGCTTTTTGTCAAAACGAGGTGACCACAGCACTCGGTTGTACCCAAAATTGTTCATGAATTCAAACTTTTCAATTCTGAAAGTTTAAATTAAATTTTTTTAATTTGAAATTTCAAAATTTATAAATAAAAAAAAATTTTTAAATTAAAAAATTTTTTTTTAAATTTAAAAATTTTTGACAAAAAACAAAAAAATCTTACTTGACAACACCCGCTCCAAGGATCGATGACACGTCTTTTTTTATTATTGTATTTCCTAGAATATGAAAGCGGACAACTCTCATATCATTTGGTGTCAGACCGGCTGGATACAACTTTTTAAAACCTTTAGTTTGAAAAAGGCGCTTTAATTCAGCTGTCGATTCCTTCCGAAGGCCAGTGAGGGGATCGTGCCTGAAAAAATAGGTTCTTAGAGCCATATATAGGACTAGGGCTACGGCTAGAGTTAGGACTAGGGCTAGAGTTAATACTAGGGCTAGAGTTAGGACTAGAGTTAGAGTCAGGACTAGAGCTAGAGTTAGCACTAGGGCTTGAGTTAAGACTGAGACCAGAGTTAGGATTAGGGCTAGAGTTAGGGCTAGAGCAAGGGCATGACAAAACTAAAGCAGGGCTAAGGCTAGGTTAAGATTAGAGCATGAATAAGGCCAAGTCAAAGTTAGGACAAAAATAGATCATGGCTAGAGCTAGGGCTAAAGCTAAGGCTAACGCTAGGAGTCCGTAATAGGGCTCTGGGCTACGACTCTAGGCTAGGGCTCTGGGCTAGGGCTCTGGGATAAGTCCTCCTATGGCTAAGACTAGAGTTAACTAGGGAATTGCACCAAATATCTCTCGCCTTTTTTAAAGAGACCTATATAGAATGAAAGTAGGGCTAAAGAAACTTACGTAGAAGCATGATCTTCCGAAACCCTAGTATTTGTATTACTCATCATAAACACGACTTGTTTATTGCGATTTCACCAATTTGAAGCAAAAATTTAGCGTTGACAATTCCAATATCGAGCGGTTTTTCAAAACCGACTGGTCGATAACAGAGTACAAAATAACAATTTACAAATTTAAAAAGTTTTTTTTGCTTTGAATTTCAAAAATTTAAAAAAATTTTTAAAAATTTTGGGTAAGGGTAGTGAGGGACGAGCAGGGTCGTTTGGTCTGAGGGCGGAGGTCGAAAAAATTTTAATTTTTTCCAAAAACAGGGGGGGGGGACCACGTTCAACTTTTTTTTCGAAAATTTTTTTTCTGGAGGGGGTTTCCCCCCCCAGCGTCCGGCCCTGGTAATAGTAACATGTAGGGGTGTTGGATCAAAAAAGAGTACAAATAATGTAAAATTTTAAGGTTTATTTCGCCTTTACTACAGTGTAAGAGTCAAAACATACAAAAAAGACCCGGTTTATCAAAACGAGACAAAACTTATCAGTTTTAAAATATAAAAATGAAGCAAAAAGTGCCACAATTACCCAAAAAATCAATTTTTAAGTTTAAAAATTAAAAAAAACTTTTAAAAATGTTAAATTTGAACAAAAATTACATCGAAAAAGCGGGTTTGGTGCCAAAATAAAATAGTACACAACATAAAAATACAACATATTTTGATGACAATGTGAAAATGATTAAAAAGGTACAATATTAGCTTTGAGACAATATAAAAATTACATAAAAAGCCTTTAAAAGACAATATTTTACACAATAGTAAGCTTTTAAGAGGCTTTAAGCCTAAAAACCCACAATAGGCCTATAAAGATCTATAGCTCAACAGACTCTCTAAGCCTAAAGCCTCTAAGCCCCTAGACCTAAAGCCTCTAAGCCGAAAGCCTCTAAGCCTAAAGCCTCTAAGCCGAAAGCCTCTAAGCCGAAAGCCTCTAAGCCAAAAGCCTAAAGCCTCTAGCTCCGAATCCTCCAAAACTAAAACAACTAGCTCCAAAGCCTCTAAGCCTAAAGTCTCTAGGCCTAAGCCCGTAGTTCAAAAGAACCTCTAGACCTAAAAAAATATTACAGTAACCCTATAGAACTATGTTAATTGTTGTTGTTGAACAAATTCGTCCTCGAACTCAATGGATAAACCTTGGATGGGGGTTTGAACGCCTTGGGGGAGTTGGTGTTGCTAGGCATTTGAATTGGCGGTATGTTTTGGCGTTGCATTTGTAGTAGAGCAAATTGTAAGGCCCACGCGTTCATTGGCTGATTACCAAAAAATGATTCGTAGCCGGCTGGCTGAACATTTTGATCCGATGGACGAGACCGTTTAGCCGCTGGCTCATCTGTTGACACTGGAACTGGGTAGTGAATCTGAAAAAGGGTAATTAGTAATTAGATTGTCAAGAACTTTCTTTACAAAGCAAAAAATAGCAAAAACTTTGTTTACAAAACAATATATTGAAAGAACTTTCTTTACAAAACAAAAAATTGCAAGAACTTTGTTTAAAAAACAAAATATGGCAAGAACTTCCCTTCCAACGCTTTAAAAATGCTAAAAAACACCCTAAACTAACCGTCCATCTCCCCTCGACCCCCAAAAATATTAAAATACCCACCCTCCGAGCCTTCGGTCGTTCAAATCCATCCAAACTCTTGTTTTCATTTTCATCATTTTCCTCTTTTATCGGTTCATTTTCTTTATTTTCCGTTCCCATCCAATTTCTGTTCATTGTACTCGTGTTTCTTTGAAAATCGACCGGTAATTCGCCAAAAACTCGTCGTTTTGGAACCTGTTCATTCTTTACTGACTCTGTAGATTCAATTTTTATTATATGTTCATCCTTTATATCATTTGAATTGGCAGTTGTTGATGATGGCTTCAATGGATTTGAGGCTTCTGAAGAACCTGAGATGAATCTTTCCAAATTCGGTGGATTCAAGGCATCAGAAGTCGATAAATTAGAAGTCTGAGGGGTCAACGGTGTCATGGATTCTGAAGCCACAAAGTTTTCGGCTCCGGAAGTCAAATTTGCAGAATCAGATGTTGATAAACTAGCTCCAGAAGTCCTTGTGTTCAAATTTCCGAGATTTTCCAAATTCATCGTGCCGTAATTGAATCCTGAGGGCATTTTGCGTAGCTTAAACGATACATGTGTCGCCGGATTCATTTGTCTTTGTAGATCTTGAAGCCGTGTAGCTAAATTCATCGTATCTTGTATTGATGAGTTAATCGTGCCTAGATTTTGAATTCCAGTTGAATTCATCGTTCCCTGATTCACATTTTGAACTCCAGCAGCCGTATTCATCGTAGTATAAGCTACAGAAGCCGAATTCATCGTACCGTGACCCAGATGCTGGATTCCAACGTTCTGACTCGTCGAAGCTGAATTCAAGGCTCCAAGCATCGATAAATCAGGAATTCTGAAGCCGGTTAGGCCTTCTGAAGCTCCAAAATTAGCCAAATTACCCAAATTTCCAAAAGGCATCAGAATATTCTGATTAGTCATCTTATCAGCTCCGGAATACAGGTTCTTCATGTTGAAATCCATGACATTCCTTTGTCCATTGATATTTCTTTCAATGATTTTCGTGGATTCGGACTTCTTCGTTGCTTTAGCTTCAGCTGATCCTGAATCACAAGCCTTTTGTGAACCATATTCTGAAGGCTTGATTGACGCGAATTTGTAGGTAGTGAGGGGTGGTAACAATGTGCTTCCAGTTTTGTCGAAACCAAAGATTGCCGTCCAGGTATCGTCGTATGGTGCGGCCAGATTCGCGGTTTTTAAGAAGTTGATCATGCTGGTATGGGCTTTTTCTTTTGTACCTAAAAATGATATTTTTTAATTTGTAATAATAAAATTTTAAATTTTTCCATACCACATCAAAAAAAATAAAAAATGTCCACCCTTTCCCCCAAATTCACCTTAAATAAAAAATAAAATCCCCCTCCCCACCAAAAAAAAATTTTACCACCCCCTCCTCAAAGTGTCATTCATATTTTACTACCACCCCTCACCGGCTACCGAAAAAAATTGCTTCACCTTCCCTCCCGCCCCCTCCCCAATCAAAATTTCCACCCTTCACTAAAAATACTTACTTTCAGGTTCAGGCCCACAATATTGGAACATTGGGATCTTCTTAGTGCCAAACATATAATGAGACTTCTTCACCAAACCCAATGCTACTAACACATTGGCAATATCGTACAATCGGCGACAGCGGCTTCGGCTTGGCGGTTCGTACCCTTCACGATCGGTTTCTTTGATCAACACGGTCGAGGCTACGTCCAGGCTTACTTTTCTGTCTTCCTGGAAAATTTTCAAATTTAAAAATTTTTTGAACTTTCAAAACGTAAAGTTAAAACGAGCCTAAAAATTTTTTTTTGATTTTTATAATTTTTAGAATCATAAAATTTAGAAAGTAATAAATTTTTAAAAAACTAATGCTAATGGTAAGTTATACAGGAGTGTCATTCCACTGTAAATTTTTTTTGTCAAAAAATAGTAAACCTATTTGTTTCAAGCACAACTTTTTATAATAAAATGTTAGAAACAAAAAAAATCTTTGCAATTTTAAATTGATCTTTCATACAACAAACGCACAAACAATAATTTTTTAAATTTGTTAATTTTGAAAAGTTACCGTAATTCTAGTGTACCCCTATTTTTTCAACTATGTGTATAATTTTTTTTCAAAAAATCGAAGATACACATTTTTGTAGAGCATAAAAAGTTGTACATATTCTGTAAGTTTCATTACTTAATCTCTTTTACTAAACGAGTAAAGATTTTTTTAAATCCAAAAAACGGCCATTTTTCAAGCGAAATCGAACTTTTCTTGTTTTTCAATCGTTTTTTCAAATTTTAAAAAATCGTAACTCGTAGACTAGATAAGGCGAAGTAATGAAACTTACAGAATAAGTACAATTTTTTATGCTCTACAAAACGTATACCTTCGATTTTTAAAAAAAAATTATACACATAGTTGAAAAATAGGGGTACGGTAGAAACTACTGTAACTTTTCAAAATTAACATTTAAAAATTATTGTTTGTGCGTTTGTTGTATGAAAGACCAATCTAAAATCTCAAAAAATTTCTAATTTTGAACATCTTTTTAAAAAAAGTTATGCTTGAAACAAATAGGTTTACTATTTTTTGACAACGGCTGTATATGCCATTCCTTAAACTTTTTATTGCTAGAGCAAGCCCATTCTTCTCGATTATATAACCGTAATGCCATTTTTGATGGATTATAAATGGCTATTACACAATTGGCTTCGATTAATTTTCGAGAGTGCGCGCCAAAAGCTCCACAAGTGGTCCCATAAAGACGTCATTGCTTTTTGAAGGTTATTCGCGAAAACTTTTCGTATTTTATCGGATGAATGCGCTGACATTCGTTAAATTTGAATAATGGCACAGTAGGAAGGGGGATTGCATCGACCATTTCATTTTTCTTAATTATGTGTTGTAAAATGGCATAAAAATGTCGTCTTATTTAAACCTGAGCCGTAGATTTCTATTAGGCTTAAGTTATTTAGGTTAAGCCTAAAAACCAAAAAAAAATGTCTTTTTTAAGCTTAAAATACATTTTTTAAGCCTAAACTATTTTTTTTACTTCTTTTCTTTTTCTTTTTTTTTCTCCCTTTAAGCCTAAAACTCAGCCTTGCTTTTCACGCCCAATTTTGCCATTTTTAAAGCAATCCCCCCCCTAAAATACAACATGGCAAACTTACTGGATTGCTTAAAATGACCATCAGAAAGCGTGAGCACAAGATTGCCAATGAATTCTTGTTTCCTTTGCTGAGATTACTGTATTTGTCATTGGAAGAATCGACCGGTGATTCCTTTGGTTCTTCGAGATGTTTTGAAGCCATTGATGGATTCAGACCAACTTCATGAAGCTTCCCCATCGCATCTTGAACGGCTGACACTCGGTTGAACAGTTTTTCTGATTGGGCTTCTTTCTGAAAATATTTTAGGTAACAAAAATTATAGAAATCGAATTTTAGGTAACAAAAACATCAAAACTCAGTTTTTAGGTAACAAAAACATTTAAAAAAACCAAATTTTAGGTACGAAGTTACTATAAATCATATTTTAGATAACAAAAACATCAAAACTCAGTTTTTAGGTAACAAAATCTCGTTTTTTCCACAAAAAAACTTAAGTTCTACCTTCAAATGAAAAACAATAAAACCCCCACCTGAAGTTTGTCCATAACAATAGGCAACGAGGCCAACGTGTTCCACTGATAAAAACTCTTGTTTCCCTTGCTCATCGCATCCAACGCTTCCATAACATTGACAATATCGTAGATCCTTCGCTTTTCCGTTTTCATTTCCTTGGCCACGGTCTCCAGATGAATCTCCACACATCTACAGTCTTTCTGGTTCTGACAACTTCCTGGACATGAACAATCGATCGGTCCGCCATAACATCTTTTATTGCCAACTGATTGTAAATGTTGCCCCATGGCCACGAGAAACCGTCGGCACAGTTTGCCGAGTGATTTCTCTTTGCGTGAAGCTGGAGTTTGTGAAGTTGTGGCTTCATCGTCACTGTCACTCGGATTGGATTTGGCCGAAACCGTCGCTGAAAAAGACAAAATTGGTCAAAAATTATATTACACTAGCTGTAACTGGTCGAAATTTAATCAAACATTATGTTACACACCATTTTCATAAGCCGCTAAACCCCTTTTTAAATTTTTCATTAAACTTGGAATTAAACGCTTCAATCCATAATATTTGATCAAAATTATATTATACTTGACCACAAAATCGTCAAGACTCAATTCCAGTCAAATATAGAACCAAATCTTCGTCAATAATACCTAAAAACAACAGAAAAACTAAGTAAAACAACTTACGAGTTAATGAACCGTTTGGGTCGCTGCTTTGGCTTAGATCTGATAAACTATCCATTATTATGTGATCAACGGGATGTTACACTAAAAAACATTATTTTAATAAAAAGATGTGATTATAGCCCTAACAAAAATCCGTAACACGTTAAACATAGTTTTATCAAAATCCTAAAATTATTTTTTAATAAATTTCAACAAAGTTCAAATATAAAATGGCATTACAATAAAAATATAACTCAAAAACATGTTATGTTATGTTGCGCAGAACTGATCGTATCTACGTTGCGTAATAAATATGTGAAAAGTATTAGTAGTTAATCAGTCAAAGTCAATACTCATAATAATCTTGTTTTACATAAAAATTCGAAATTAGTTTTATACCTTTCAAGATACGACCAAAAGTATGTTACGATAGACGTCTGATAGCCTTAAACGATAAAACAGATTGAAGAACTCAAAATTGATCAAATAGTATAACAAAATCAATTCGAAAACCTCGACTAATACCTATTCTATCATTATTTTGTTAAATTTCCGCACTCTTACCATTTTACACACAAATATAGCCGAAACTATATTAACATTAACATAAGTTAAACCCAAACCAAAAATACATATAAAAAATATCTAAAACCGATAAAAATATCACCAAAAACACTTTAAATACCTTCACCCACATCTTTTCAATCCTTATCTTACAAACGGTCTTCATCAACTCCTTTTTCCTCATCAAAATCTTCAATATTATATTACTCATCCCATCTCCACTCAATCATTGGCCCCAGTCAAAACAAAAAAGCGCCAAATCGACCAACTGTGCCATTCGTCAAAGGCCAAGTCCATCGAGAAGACATCTGCATCGCTCTCGACTGCGCGATATTCCAATGTAAATACGAAAAACGGTCTCGAGATTATGGCAGAGGCGGAGTCGAGAATTGGCGCGAATTTCTTGGCCACTCTCGCTGCAAAGGTGACAAACGACCTAATTCAGTGTATGTGGGTCAGTTTATGCAAATATAGACAAATGTCAAAAGGTTATTGGAAAGGTAACAGCAGGAGTTGCATCAATAAACATCAGTTTTCATTAAAAAACAGTGAAAAAGTACGAAAATCAGAGGTAAAACAAGTTTAAAGTCAATTTTCTGCCTTAATTTATGCAGGAAAATGCCTGAAAAATATTAGAAAAGATAAAGAAATATTAAAAATTCATTATTAACCAAAGAAACATTTGTTTTTTCGACCAAAAATGGACCAGAAAATTCACAAAACGTTTTCGCAGAATTTCGAAAAATAAATAAACTAATAGCGACATGTTATACGATGAAACCTTGCCCAAATCGATTCTGTATTTTGAAAAAATTCCAAATGATAAGACTTAAGACAGCCCAAACCTTTTAACAAATTGAAAAAAATTGAGTTATTGTGTCAAAAAAAGACTTGTCGCCAATTTGCATAGGTTTTGGTCGTGAAGAACGACAAAAATTTTTTATTCTATTCAAATCTTGTCACTTGATAATAATATACTGTGTAATTGCCATTTTATAATAAGATACTGTGTAATTGCCATTTTATAATGATACACTGTTTAATTGCCACTTTTTTCATCAGATTACGATCCCTTTTGTGCTTGTCATGTTTTCGTGACATTTTCGGCATCGAGACAAAAGCGGCATTTTCATGATGGAATGATGAGTCGGAACGACCTCGAACATGTGTTCGGTCCCATATCAGTCCCAAAAAGTTTTTTCGAGAATTCGCGCTCGATTTTTTCAAAAACAGCCAATTACATGAGAGTTAAGCCTAATTGGCGCGGGGTTTTAAAAAAAAAGTTAGAGGAAGGTAGGGCAGGGTGAAGAGTATAGCTAAGAGTAAAGTGTAGTAGAGGGTACGGTATTATAAAAGAAAGCAAAGGGTAGGTAGGGGTTAGAATACGGTAGGACGGGTTATGACAGAATAGGGAGAGTAACATAGGGGGTAGAGTACCGAAGGGCGTTGGAAAAGGTAGTGAGTAGATGTATGTATAGAAGTATAGAAAAGAAAAAATAGGATAAATACAGTACCCTGTCCTGTTCTTCTCTTCCTTGCCGTGCCCTGTCTTGTCTCACGTTACTTTGCCTTATTCTACCCTACCCTACCCTACCCTATCCTTTACTATGATTCACAACCTACCCTAGTCTACCTTCTACCATACTCGACTTTATAGCATACCATACCTTCTTCCTTATCAGACCAGATTTATTAAAAATGTCATAATAATTATCACTACAACCCTAAAACTCTAAAAAATTCACCAAAACAACACAGTACATTGACAAACATAATTTAATTCGAATACAAAAAGATTCAAATCAACCGCCGAAAAAACGTAAAAATTTGTGGTTTTGGTCGAGAAAGCGCTTCATGAAAACAGTTTGAGCGCCTAGTTTTCGCGCCTAAACAGTTCGAAATTTCAAAAATCCGAGTTTTTCCTACTGTAAAAACTTAATTTCTAAACTGATTATGTTCTAAAGGTACTGTGATTTTAATATTACGGATACAGTATAAGGTATAAAACGGCAAAAAATCATATTTTTTAATGGTTCAAATAGTAAAAAGCTGTTGAAAAACCCTCTCTAAAACATAAAAATCACCCTGCCATGCTTTAGTTTAAGAAACTACAAAAATCTCTCCCGCACTTCATGGACTTTCTGTAAATTAAATCACCTCAAAATTTCCCTATCCTTGAAAATAAAAAAAAATCACCCCTTATTTTAAAAAACTCATTTCAAAAACACCCCACCCAACATTAGATCATCTCAACCTTCCCCCTGCCTACCCTAACATGACCGGTCATGTTACGTTAGGGCAGGGTAATTCTCTCCCCCCCCCCTTCCTCGTTTCAACCACCGACGGATGCCTCGAAGCGGTACCAGTAACGCTTTGGGTAATGAGGATGCGACCGCAAGCTTGTGGGACGCGCTTGGTGTTCCCGCAGCCCCCTCCAAGCCAGCCACCCCGCCCCAGTGAACCGCCCTTTCTTCCCGCTCCGCTTTCCCGCTTCGGCGTTGCCCGCGCTTTCTAATCCGACCGGTCTCTGGCGGTCTCCGCGAATCATGTCGTGTCTGCGACTTGTTACTGTTTCTCTGAAATATTGTTTTTTCTTATTTTTAGTGATTTTTTGATAAGTAGTTTAATTAGGCTCTATATTAAGTAAAAAATAATTGAGACTTGGTTTAGAAATTAGAAAATGGCAAGAACTTTCTTTACAAAGTCAAAAATTGCAATGAGTTTCTTCGCAAGACATAAAATGGCAAAAAAATCCTTTTACAATATAAAAGATAGAAGAAATTTTCTTTACAAAACAAAAAATGACAAGAACTTTCTTTACAAAACAAAAAATGGCAAGAACTTTCTTTACAAACCAAAAAATAGCAAGAACTTTTTTTCAAACCAAAAAAATGACAAGAACTTTTTTTACAAAACATAAAATGGCAAGAACTTTCTTTACAAGCCAAAAAATAGCAAGAACTTTCTTCACAGACATCAATCTTTTATTAAACATCAAATTTCTTTTTTTTTATTTTTAGCTTATTTTGAAAATTTTAAATCTTTTTTGCACTGGACAATGATTTTTTAGATCACACAGTAAAAGAAATTGAAAAATAACATATCAGTGTTAATTTCCATTTCAAATGCCAGCTTTTAACGTTTTGATATCTGTTTTCAAAATATAAAGTTTTGAAGCTTAGTTTATTTACTGTGTCTGCATTTTGAAAATCAACAAATTTTGTTTTGATTTATTCAAATTGCGCGGGAAATTTGGTGCCCAACAGACACCCATTATTTGTGTTTTACCATACACACGAACAAAAACGAATCGTATAGACACCTGCACACACTTAAAAGAACACAAAAAATTTGAAACATACGACAATTTTGGGGGTTACGGTATGTTAAAGTTACAGTAGGGCTGTCTAGAGTAAAAAAGTAAGGCTGTGGTACTATAATTTGACAGTACGGTAGTTTAACAATAGTAAGGGTAATGATAGTGTTAGGGCTAGGGCTTACGGAAAGGCTGAGTCTAAGGCTCAGGCTAGAGCTCAGGCGAGGGCTCAGGCTAGGACTCAGGCTAGGACTCAGGCTAGGGCTCAGCCTAGAGCTCAGGGTAGGACTCAGGCTAGGGCTCAGGCTAGGGCTCAGGCTAGGGCTCAGACTAGAGCTTTCGCTCGGACTAACGCCTAGGCTAAAGCTCAAAACTTTTTGATCAAAGCCAAACATCGAAGCCAGTCCTTGGCCTTGTCCATTACATCATGTCATTCGTTAAAACCCAACTTGATCTCATGCCATTTGTTATAAGATAACCTTTTATGGGAAAGGGCGCGGATCGTTAAGATTGCCTATTTGGCGCAATCACTCAAAACTTGTCGATAATATGCATCGAAAACAACTTTTTACGAGTTTTCGAGTCAAGGTTCATAGTTAATGGACAGTAAACGAAAAAGTGTTTAATAGGTAATGCTAATGAGGGTAGTTAAAAATTTACTAAAATGTAATGGGTTACTGTAACATAAGGAAGGAAAGATAGTTTAAGGTAGGGTAGGGTGGGGTAGGGTGGGGTAGGGTAGGGTAGGGTAGGGTAGGGTAGGGTAGGGTAGGGTAGGGTAGTGTAGGATAATGTAGGATAGGGTAGAGTAAAACAGGGTAAAATGAAACGAAATTTAGGCTTTCGTTACTATAATAATTACAGTAACCATGTATGCCTTTCATCTTCAAAAACAAAAGATTAGTCCATTTTTTAAACTCGACTGTCAGTTTCGATTATGCGCTGGATCGCCAAGTGAAGAGGGGTTACATCAAAAAGGAAGACCAACCTTTTTTCGGTTTGCCGCGGTACGAATTTGAAAAAATTGCGCCAAAATGCGGGCGCCATCCGCGAAACAGATAGTTATGGCCGAATTTTAAAAATATTACCCAAAATTTCAAAATGAAAAAAATTGGTGATAGTTTTTTCGATAGACTCACCTTATAGTATTCTATCCTACACTACCCTGCCCTGCCCTACCTTACATTACTGTACCTTGCCTTACAATACCTTACCCTCCCCTTTGTAGTAATCTAATGGTCAAAGCCTGCCAAATTTTTGATTTCAAGAACTTGTTTGTTCTTATCAGTGTTGTTTCAAGCCATGGAGACCCTCATCAAAGCCGTCGGCCCTTATTATGCTTTTGGCGCGAAAGTTTTATAATTCTTCTTTTACGTTTTTCAAATAATTTAGATAAAGAATAGTGGTCACTAAGAAGCCATTATAATAGAAATAAATATTAAATGTCAAGAACTTTCTTTACAAACGAAAAATTGCAAGAACTTTTTTTACAAAACAAAAAATGGCAAGAACTTTCTTTACAAATCATAAAATGGCAAGAACTTTCTTTACTAACATAAAATTACAAAAACTTTCTTTACAGACATAAAAAACCAAAAAATAATAATAAAAGTTCTGGCGCCATTTTCTCCCAAAACTTATACCACACGAAATGCCGAATCTCATCCGTCTATTTTTATTCAAATTTCACAAAAAAATCAGAAATCGGCATCTTTCTGAACTCTACCCACCGTTCGATGGCACATTCCGGAAAAACGCTCCCATTTTGGCGGCACATTACAATTGCCAGAAAGTGGTAACGGCATAAAATAAGAAGAAAAGAAATTACAGGAAGGACTACAAGAAGCATTACAGGAAGAGAAAGACATTAAAATGAAAAAACTATAAAAAGACCCACTTTTTATTACCTAAAATTATAAAAAACTATAAGTTTTGTCCCCTGAAATCAAGAAAAATTCATTTTTGTTACCTAAATTAAAAAAAATCATTTTTAAGATACCTAAAAGCAGCAAAAGTCACTGTTTTTTACTTGTTACCTAAAATTGAGAGAAGTAATATATTGTTACCTAAACTCAAGCAAAATCATTTACTGTTCCTACAATCAAGAGAAAAAATTTTTGTTATCTAAAATTATCAAAAATCATTTATTGTTACCTAAAATAAAGAGAACTAATGAACTGTTACCTAAACTCAAGCAACATCAATTTTTGTTACCTAAATTTAAAAAAAAGTTTCTTCATTTCACCCAAAATAAACAAAAATCTCTCTTTGTTACCTAAATTAATATAAAAATAATTCCTCTAGGAAAAACTAAAAAAACCATCTTCAATATGAACCCATAACTTCCTTAAAATGCAGTCCAAGATTTGTGAAATCATTAAAAAATCCCCAAAAATTAAAATAAAGTTATTTGCACCAGCCCGCGGGCTAACTTCCGCAAGACAAAAACCGCCAAACAGGCTTTTTGAACTCTTATCGCAAAGTGAAGAATAATCCCTTCAAAATCCTTATCAAAATCAAGCCAAACATCCCAACATTAAAGCCAAAGCCCAAAATCAAAAAAAAATTTCTCAAAGTTCCAAAGTTTTCAGTCCTAGCCTGCAACCAACCTTCGCAGGCCGCAGAATCGAAAGAACCGCCAAATGAGACCTTTCGAAACTTCATTGCACCGTGCAAACCCTTTTCTTTTTCGTCGAAAGGTCCCTTTTATTGAAGGATTTTCGACAAATTTGGCGATCTCAAAATCTTAAAAATCGGGCCAATTTTGGGATTTCTCTAACCTTCTCTAATCACTATCTTTTTTTTTAAATGTTGCCGTTCTCTTTCTTTGTCGCACATCTACCGCTCTTGTTTTTGTTTCAGTTGCGCAATTCGTGGTTCTCTTTCCGCGACCACTTCCTTTCTCTGCTTGCTCTCTTCACTTCTTATTGTCTCCTTTCTTCTCCAAAACGATTGCATGGTGCAGAGGCAGGCTTGGACGTAGGGCAGGGCCCAATTTGCGGCCCTGGGGCCGAAGTTTAAAAAGCTAATAACAAGTGAAATAAACTGCTTTATATCTATCCGGCCTCACCCCTGACTTTTTTCGCCCTACCTGACCTCACCCCTGACCCCTTTAGTCCTACCCGGCATCACCCGTGATCCTTTTAGCTTTTCCCGGCCTTACCCCTGACCTTTTTAGGTCTACCCAACCTTACTTCTGACCTCTTTAGCTTTATCCAAGTCTACATTTGACCTGTTTAGCTTTGCTAGACCCTACCCTTGACTTTATTACCCTATCCTACTATACCATACCCACCCTACATAAAATTCCATACTGTACTGTACCATGCCCTATGCTAATTACTATATCATACTGGTTTGAAGATGTTTTCTGTTATTTTTTTTTTATTTTAGATAACAAATTAATGTTTTTCTTGGTTTTAGGTAACAGATGAAATTTTTTGTTAGTTTAGGTATCACATGGTTTTTCTTGGTTTTATGTATTAATATTTTTTACATATATTATTTTAGAATACAAAATGTAATTTTTATAATTTAATTTTTAAGTAAAAATAATAATTTTTTCTTAACTTTAGGTAACAAAATGTATTTTTTTTAACTTTGGGTAACAAAAACGCTTTTTATTCATTTTAAGTAAGAAAGAATGATTTTTATCGGTTTTAGGTAACAATAATTATTTTTCATTGTTTTTAGGTAAAAAAAATACATTTACAATTTTGTTATAAAAAATGAAATTTGTGGTTTTAAAAAGTTTTAGCAAAGGAAATATCCATAGAAACTTGTGGTTCATTACAAATTCTTTTACAAATTAGTTGAAAACATTTTTTAACTCAAACTCTCTTGTAAATCTACCTAAATTTAATCAAAAAATTCAAAAAATTATTTCAAAAAAGTAGGGACGATCGTATTTTACACTAATTTCTATAAAAAACAATGTCGATAAAATATATTCTTCGCGATTTTGCGGACTGGACTAGTATGCCTGGCCTAATTCAACTTATTAACGCTTTGAATGCTTATGTTAGGATAGCATGGGCAGTGATTTGGTTTGCACTATGGGGCGTGTTCTTATACGAGTTTTATTTGATTGTCGACAAGTTCTTGGGCTACCCGGCTTCAGTTACAATATCACTTGGATATAAGACTAGAGTAAGTTTAAATTTGGGGTAGGGTGGGATATAGTGGGGTGAGATTAAGGTAGGGTAGCGAAAGATAGGGTTGAGTAAAGTCGGGTGACGGGTAGGATAGGGTAGTACAGGGCAGGGTAGAGTTAGTTAGGGTAGGATAGGTTGATTTTTTTTGGTAGAAGACGGCGGTTGTTTTAAAAAAAATTATAGGAACGGTAATTTTAAATAAAAAAGAAGAATAAATTCTTTTAGGCTTTTCCGATGGTTACAATATGTAATCAGAACCCATTGCGATACCCAATAGTTCAAAATAACTCAACATACGCAGAGGTGAATGAAATTGTCAAAACCTACAAAGAATTGGCTCAAAATGGCTATGGTAACGTCAGTGGAAATCCATATAACGTGAATGTAAGCTAAAATAACATTTTTAAATTTGAGTTTTAGGCTTAAAAACAGAAAATTTTGGATCAGAAAAGTTTTAGGTTTAGCGGCTTTAGGCTTAGAGGCTTTAGGCTTTAGGCTTAGAGGCTTTAGGCTTAGAGGTTTTAGGCTTAGAGGCTTTAGGCTTAGAGGCTTTAGGCTTAGAGGCTTAGAGGCTTTAGGCTTAGAGGTTTTAGGCTTAGAGGCTTTAGGCTAAGAGGCTTTATGTTCCAGGGGCTTGAAGTTTAGGGGGTTTAGGCTAGGTTTTAGGCTCAAAAATTTTTTAAAATATGAAAACTGTTCGACCAGTCAAAAGGGCAAACAAAGTCTAATATAATTATGTAACGATCTCAAGCCTTTTTTCGTCTTTTGACATTTGCGGTTTTTCGAGAAACAAAGAAATCTCGCCATAAATTGACTATAACAACATTGCGGCTGGTCTTTGATTGCCAATTTTATTTTTAAGGATTGTTTCTTTTTAATACGGATTAAAACACATTACTTTGAGGAACTTATTAACAATTTTTTTAAAATATTTATTTAATTTTAAAAAAGTTATGACATTTTAAATTTAAAAATTGGGGTAAAATTGACTAAAATTAGCAGAAAACAGGTAGAAATGGTCTCAAAATGGTTGAATTACCTTAAAAGGGTCAAAAAATTTCGAAAAATGGCTGAAAATACTCAACAAATGGCAAAAATACTCAAAAAATTGGCCATAAATACCCAAAAAATGGCGCAAAATGCTCAAAAATTGGCTAAAAACACGCAAACAATAGCCGCAAATATCATAAAAGTAACAGAAAAACCCCAAAATTGGCCTAAGCTTCATTAAACTCTAGGACTACCCGGACCGTTTCACAAAACAAACCATCCTACAACAAGCCCAAGTGTTAGCCATGAGCCAAATAACCGATGACCAAAAGGCTTATGCTGGATACAAGTTGGAGAACTTTATATTGGCATACTACTACAATAATGCTGTCGTCAATTCGACCTTCTTCAAAGAGTTTATAGATCCGACTTATGGTTTGTGTTATCAGTTCAATACCAATGACACTGGCACCACTTTGTTCACTGATAGAGCTGGAAGTTACTTTGGGTTGAGAGCATTGGTCTTGGTTAATGTAAATTAAAAGTTGGCTTTATGTTGGTCTTGATTGATTTTGGTGTTAAAAGTAGATTTTTTAGCAAAAATCTCCAGACGGCACTTTACAATATTTACCTACCACCCAAGTCGCTGGGTTGCGAATAGGTATCAACTACCAAAATGAGGATCCGGCTATGGAAAATTATGGAATTAATATAAACCCTGGCACTGAAACTATGATATCTTTGGAGTTGGTAAGCATCTACCTCAACCCCTACTTCTTTACTCTACTCGAAATTTTTACTCTACCCGAAATTTTTACCCTACCCAATATTTTTACCCTACCCGAAAGTTTTACCCTACCCGAAATTTTCCCCTTACCTGACATTTTTACCCTACCCGAAATTTTCCCCTTACCTGACATTTTTACCCTACCCGAAATTTTTACTCTACCCGACTTTTTTACCCTACCCGAAATTTTTACCCTACCCGAAGTTTTTACCCCACCCGAAATTTTTACCCTACCCGAAGTTTTTACCCCACCCGAAATTTTTACCCTACCCGAAGTCTTTAACCCACTCGAAATTTTTACTCTACCCGAAATTTTTACTATACCCGAAGTTTTTACCCTACCCGAAATTTTTGCCCTACCCGAAATTTTTATCCTACCCGAAATTTTTATCCCACCCGGTCCTAAAATTTTAAGACTGAAGTCCAACGAGCCAAGAAGCCCTACGGTGACTGTGAGGACAATGTAACTCTAAACTACTATACTGGCCTCAACTACACCCTCACCTACTGCTTTCGATCCTGTATTCAACAAAAGAACATTGAAGCCTGTGGATGTGCCAACCCAGTGTATTACAAGCCTGACAATGTCAGTTACTGCACAGTAGACGACTTAGACTGTGTATTCGCGCAAAAAACGTCGCAGACTGATGGCAGTAACTTTAGTGTCGTAGCGTCATGTGGCTGTAATCCAGCGTGTAGTGATACTGACTTTGATGTCATACTGTCTGTTGGCAAATCACCTGCTTCTAGCTATTCTCCACTGGCTAATTTGAATCCGGTGGGTTTGAAATGGAAGGAACTTTGTTTACAAAACAAAAGATGGCAAGAACTTTCTTTACAAGGCAAAAAATGGCAAGAACTTTGTTTACAAAACAAAAAATGGCAAGAACTTTTTTTACAAACACAGAAAATGGCAAAAACTTTTTTTACAATACAAAAAATGTCAAGAACTTTCTTTACAATACAGAAAATGACGAAAACTGTTTCCAGAGCTACTCCTGCTCAGTAAACTCAACATTATTTGCCAACGAAGCTGCCTGTATTACCTGGTTCAAAACCAACTCGGCTATCATTAACATATGGTACGATGGCCTTGATTATACGCTACAATCAGAAGGCTCATCGTACTCGTTGAGTACGGCGTCGAACGATCTGGGAGGTCAAGCTGGCCTGTGGGTCGGCATTTCATTAGTCAGTGTGATTGAAGGAATAGTGTTTTTGATATTCGTATCGCTGTATTTTTGCTTCGGCCGAAGACATACGGATGTGGAGATTACCGATGGTATACGAACTACTGATAGTAGATATAATGTAAGCTTTATTTGTGGAAAGAAGAGTATTTTAACTGTAGAAGAGCCAGAAAAATAGATTTTTAAAGCGAAGTTTTCATAACTTTGATTAAAAATCAAAAAATGAAGTATTTAAAAAATGGAAGTTCGGTGGAAGATTTGTAATGTATTTTGCACTGAAAACCTTCCACTCAACTTCCATTTTAAAAATGCCTTGAAATGGTTTAAAATCACGTTTTTGACCATTTTCGGAAGTGGACTTTGAGTGGAAGATTTTTAGTGCATTTTGCAGTGAAAATCTTTCATTTTTCGAAAATGACATAACTTTGTTTCCAGTAATGAAAAAGACATAAAAATAAATTGAAAAAGGTAAGAACTTTCTTTAAAATTCAAAAAATGGCAAAAACTTTCTTTACAAAACAAGACATGGCAAGAACTTTTTTTACAAACACAGAAAATGGCAAAAACTTTCTTTACAAAACAAAAATTGGCAAGAACTTTCTATACAAAGCAAAAAATGGCAAAAACTTTCTTTACAAAGCAAGAAATGGCGAAAAATTTTTTTACAGAAACAAAAACGACAAAAACGTCATTTACAAAGCAAAAAACGGCAAGAACTTTCTTTACAAAACAAAAAATGGCAAGAACTTTCTTTACAAAACAAAAAATGACAAAACTTTTAATTTTGATAGTTTAAACTAAAAATTCTCTAGATAATGAAAGGATTCAAAGAAGAACTAGACACTCAAGACCTAATGGACGACGAGATTGCCATTCGTTATCGCGCCTTCAAAATGCGCGATGAAATCAAGCGAATGGAGCGGATTCAAGCCGGCGAACGGCTTAATGCTTTGGCCGTTGCGAAGGCCAAACAACAAAAACAGCCGACGATTATGGAGAAACTGCTGGATTCGGCTACTGAAACGAAATAAAAAATTTCTTAATTTTTGAAAAGGGTGTTTTAAGTCCTGTCTAAAACAATATTTTATATTAGGTGCCGACATACAGAACCCGCCATTTTTTACAGAGTATTAAAGGCGAAGTATGGCGGGTTCTTTATGTCTATAATCATCTAATATTACCGGGAGAGTGGTTTTGGTCTGAGGAGGGGGTATGTGGGGGCGGGGTAAAAAAAATTATTTTTGTAGGCAGGTGAAGTTTTGTTTTGGAAATTAATGGGGAGGGGGCATTAACATTTTTTCAAAAAAAATTTGATGCAGAATGGGGGGGGTATTTACCCCTACCCTTACCTATGCTCTTACCGTTACTCCTACGCCTATTCATACCCCTCCCCCTACCCCTCAACCACCTCTACCTTTATTCATACTTTACTCATTAGTGGGAAAACGAAGATTTAAAAAAAATTTTAAAAGGGCAGGTAAAAAAAAAATCATTTTAAATTTAAATCTTTATAAAACATACAAAATAAGAAATTAATTAGATTGAGCTGCTGTTGAGGTAATATCAGTAATAGGTATAACCGGTGCTGGCTCGGTAACTGGCGGAGGTAGATCGACCGTTCCGTGCTTTGATCCCACCAATTCTTTTTGTTGCTTTTTCAACTGAAATTTCAAAATAAATTTTTTTTTCCGAAAATTAAAAAAAAAGATGTTCAAAAAATATGTCATAATGACACATTTTAACTAATTAAAAAAGGACACTGTAAAAATACAGTAATAAGCCTACTTCTTTATTAAACTCTTCGAAATAGTCGTAATCTACCAGTTCGGCCGATTTCGGCTTCACTATCATGTAGGCTATGGCAATTACGGCTAGGATAAGAAGCTCAACGACTGATATTACACTCATTCCTAGCCATAAACCTAGTTGACCTCCAGAGTCTGCAACTAGGTTGATCCACTGAAAAATGGCAGTTTATTAAGGTAGAATAAAGTAGAATAAGGTAGGGTAGGGTAGGGTACGGTATGGTAGAGTAGGGTAGGGTACTGTAGGGTAGGGGGGGGTAGGGTACGGTATGGTAGAGTAGGGTAGGGTACTGTAGGGTAGGGGGGGGTAGGGTAGAGTAGGGTAGGGTAGGGTAGGATAGGGTACGGTATGGTAGAGTAGGGTAGGGTACTGTAGGGTAGGGTAGGGTACTGTAGGGTAGGGTAGGGTACTTCCCGTATACGAAGCGGCTTCCAAATCAGTTTCCCATGAAGTTCTCTCAAAATAAACTTCGATTCCTACTGTATTTCGTTTGTACCAGTCGATACAAGTGGACGTACTGTTCCAATAAGGTGAGCTTATTGATGTGTTTAAGCATTCAGCTGGCTGTAGATATTAAAATGATTTTTTTTTTCAATTTAAAAATGTTTTATTAAAACTTTTTTGATTTTTAAAACTTACAGTATATGTTTTAGCAGGCCATGTAGCTGTCGACATTGAGATTTGATAATAAGATAGACTGAAATTATAGCATGACAAATGGTATACGGTACTTACTCACAACTAGGTAAACAGTCACAACTGTTAATATCGAACGTGCCATTGGCTGAAGTGTCAAGTGAATTGACAATGGCTAGGGTACAGTCCACTAAAACGATATTTTACTATAATGTCATTCTTGGGGTACTGTAAAATTAAAAAAAGGAGGGAGGGGTGGTATTTTGTAACTATAGATACACAAACCCGAACGCGGAGGGAGGGGGGGGGGAGTAGACGGGGGAGGGGGAACCAGGGGGGGGGGATTAAATTTTTTCGCTTTTTTTGTTTGTGGGTAGGAGAGGAAACGTTTTTCACCTTTTAATATGGGCGGGGGTAAAAAAAATTTTTTTTGGGAGGTGGGGCATGGTAAAATTTTTTTTCAATTTTTGGTGGTGTAGTGAGTAGATTTTGTCTTGTTTTTCAATTTTTTAAGCTCACTAGCCGTATTAGGATCATCAGTATTATAACAAGATGGTACTGTCACATCGGATGGGTAGTTGTATTGAGGGTCGTAGCATTCACATTCTTTTATAATTTCATCTTGGAGGCAACTTCGGAGACAGGCTTCGACCTAAAATAAAAAAATAATGATATTTCATAGTTTTGCACGGTGCAAAGATTACTTAGATTGCACGGTGCATTCTTTTATTATTTTGCACAGTGCAAAGATTTATTACTTTGCACAGTGCAAAAATTATTTAGATTGTACGGTGCATTATTTTATCGGTTTGCACGGTGCATTCTTTTATTAGTTTGCACTGTGCAAAGATTATTTAGATTGCACGGTGCAGCCTTTTATTAGTTTGCACAGTGCAAAAATTATTTAGATTGTACGGTGCATTATTTTATTGGTTTGCACGGTGCAATGATTTATTGTATTGCACAATGCAGAGCTTAAGATTACTGCACAACGCAGAAGATAATAAGATATGATTAGCAAATTTGAGTACCTCATAGTCATTACTATAGTAATTGTTTTGATTTGTCGATTTTTCAACACAGTTTGAGTATGGGTGGCCAAGTTTTTGTCGATCAAAGTAGACTACTCCAACTGATGACACATGACCAACACTGGCATAGTAGCCAAAGGCGTCTTCAAATGGTGTTTCGTTCTGAAATTACATAAACATAATATAGTACGGATAGCTAAAGGTACAGTAAGTTAAAGAAGGATAAGTTAAGATCGGGTCAGGTAGGCTTACCTATAGTAGGCGAAGGTACAGTAGGTTTAGATATGGTAGGCTAAGACATGTAGGCTAGGTCAGGAAATACGAAGGGACAGCAAGCTAAGACACCGTAGGCCTAAACAGAGGGTAGATCAGGCTAAGTTACAGTAGGCTTAGGTAAGCTACTCCAAAGTACAAAAACCTAAGGTAGAGTAAGCTAAGATAGTAGGCTTAACTATGGTAGGCTGAGTACAGTATGATGAAGCGAGAGTAGGGTAGGGTAGGGTAGGGTAAGGTAGGATACAGTATGGTACTGTACGGTACGGTACGGTAATGCACGGTACGGCACCGAATGGTACGGTACATACGGTACGTTTTAGTATGATAGGTCAATGATCAAAAGCCTTACCGTACCATGCACATAAAACACCACGCCTTCAGTCTGAACCCAAGGTAGGTAGTCAACAACGGGGGTTTTAACAAACAATCTCATCCCCTGATTAGGCCCAGCTCTAGTCGTAATCCAAGAAGCATTTGAGTTTATTATGGCACACTTTCCAAAATATGCGTCATAAAAGTAGTCAATGTTTCCACTATAAACATGGTACTGTAATTTTGGCTAGGACAACAAAGTTTTTTAGAAAAATTAGCTTTGGACCACTTACGTAAAGTCACAAGAAGCTTGTAGGTAATCACAACTTATCATCAAATCTTCCAGAAAATCGTATGTTAATGTCGCTGTTCCCTGAAATACGTCTTGTAAGACATCTTGACTAGACCTTGAGACTAGGCTGGGCCCAGTTTTTCTGTCTGGTCCAAATTTTCGGCTAGACCCTTTTTTTATGTTTCCTTTGGCCCACCCCGGTTCTTTTCAAACGTACATTCTCATCAGCTGCCTTGAGGTCTTCATACATAAACTGTGTCCAAGTCTTGGCCCTCATAGCATCCTTCATAGTAAAGGGCTTTTCAAAGCCAAATTGAGATGAAGTTGCTCCAGCATTGTAGGCATCAATCTAAAAATATAGGTATAGCAGGTTGGTGGTAACATACCTATCACTACCCTACCCCACCCTACCTTACCCTGCCTTACCCTACCCTACCCTACCCTATCCTATCCTACCCTACCCTACCCTACCCTACCCTACCCTACCCTACCCTATCCTACTCTACCCTACCCTACCCTACCCTACCCTACCCTACCCTACCCTACCCTACCCTACCTTACCCTACCCTACCCTATCCTACCCTACTCTTTCCCCACTTTTACCGTACCCTTGTCCTACATTGGGCATATCCTTACCCTGCCCTTGCTCTACCATACCTTAAATTACCATATCTTACCTCATCTTACAGTAATTTGTCTTACTGTACTCTACCTTGTCGTACTCTACCATAACCTTACCAAATCCGCTAGTGGAGTATTACCAGCCCCAGACAACCTCCACGGACTTCCATTGCATACTGTAACGCAGGGAAAGTCTTGTTGACCACTAACTTGTCTCGATGTTAATGTAGTTGGGTATGACAAAAAATTGGAAAATGAGTTGTATATCATGTAGATCATGATACAAGCACAAACCAAGAATACAATAATCCAAAAGAAGGCTATACATACAGTATCCGCCAACGCTACGTGAGGTATGGCATGAATTGAGGTCCATTCACCAAAATCGTCAAAAATGTCATGAATTGTTGGGTTCACCTTGATTTTTCGTTTTGCCATATTATTTTATGAAAGTGTTACCTAAATTTATAGAAAAAGTTAAAATGTTACCTAAATTAACCAAAAAATTTAAAATGTTGCCTAAATTAATCAAAAAAAAGTAAAAATGTTACCTAAATCAATCAAAAAAAGTTAAAATATTACCTAAAATAATTAAAAAAAGTAAAAATGTTACCTAAAATTATAATAAAAAGTTAATATTACCTGTTCAACTTTCAAAAATTTTAAAATGTTACCTTAAATCTTATAACTTTTAAATTAATACCTAAAACCCAAAGAACTCCTAACATAATCATCCTGCACCGTGCAACCCAATAATATATTTTTGCACAGTGCAAACTGAAAATAAACTCTTGCACAGTGCAAAATAAATATAAATTTCTGCACCGTGCAAACCAATAATATATTGTTGCACAGTGCAAAATAAAAGTCATTTTTTTGCATTGTGCATTATAAAAACAGGAAAATTGTCACAAAACTGATGACTTTTCTGTAAAAATGTTTCCGAAAAAAGTCAAAATTTGACCCCAATACATTTTTTGACCGTTTCGTGAATAAAAAATGACAAAAGTTGAGGAATTGTGACAAAGATCGTGTTGTTATAGAAACACACTGGGTAATGATTAATTTGTATTTTTTTTAAATTTTTAATGAGTTTTATCACATTTTTAAAAATTTAAGAATCTTAGGTGTAAGTGTTAAAATTTTAAAAATTTATTTATAATTTCATATTGAAGTATAACATTAGCTATAGTAATATACATTGTATCTTTATTAAATAACGAATAAGCGCCTAATATAAAACTAGTTTTAGTATTAGTACTAGCTAAATATAGTACGACTAATTACGAAAGTAAGTTTTAAAAAACAGTTTAAAAGTGCTTGAGGGTTTTTCAAAGTCAGCTACTATATTTGAAGCGTCTTATTGTATTACTGGAAGCAAAAGATGTCAACACAAAAACAGCTGAAACCATCTATGAAGTTGAAGGTGGATCTGTTCTGAATAAGACTACTGGCATTTGTTGGTTTGCATTTAATTCCGGGGATGTTAGCCTCAAGGCCCATCTGATACCTGGAAGATTAAAAGCAGACACCATGGTACTAACAAGGAATCCAACAGCTGGCAGAATCTAGAATTGTTAACTTTAATGTAAAATCAAAAATATAATACATGGCGTGCGGGCAAAGGACATTGAACTTGCGGTCCGGGGGCTGTGCGCATAATTAAAAACCACTGCGCTACCCGCACACGCCCTTTCGAATTCTTCGTTTTGTCTTTTATTCGAGCAAAGGATATTGAGAGAGAGAAAAAACAAACAGTCCACATGTGGCCACACCAAAATTTTTAAAATTTAATTTTGGAAAACTATTGCCATCATATGTCATCTACAACAACTCGTAACGCCGTTTTTGGAAGGTGAGTTTGGATGCCGTTTGCCCATCGTACTAGGACACATGTTGGGCCGAGTATCTAAAACACATTGATAAAAGAATGGCAAGGACTTTCTTTCAAAATTCAAAAGATAACATTTACTTTTTTTTACTAATTAAAAAATGGCAAGAACTTTTTTTTACAAAACAAAAAAAAATTGGCAAGAATTTCTTTTAAAAATCAAAAAATGGCAAGAACTTTCTTTACAAATTAAAAAATGGCAAGAACTTTCTTTACAAAACAAAAAATAGCAAGAACTTTCTTTACAAATTAAAAAATGGCAAGAAATTTCTTTTTTTACCCAGGCCTTTAACCTGCCTTACCCTCATTCCTACGACTTTTTTACCCCCCCCCCCCCTCCTCTCATTTTCTCTGTTAGGTAAATTTTCATTTATATATTAGTATGTATATCTATTTACCCCACCTTTTCCTGTATGTATATCTATTTACCCTACCTTTTCCACCATGCCAATCATAACAGCCATGTGGTACTTTAAAGCGGCCCATTCTTGAATATTCAACATATAAATATGGCTTTGTTTTGGCTCATAACTATATTCACAAGCAATACAACGTGCCACGAGATGAGCGTTCCGTTCGAACGTGAATGGCACTACCAAACTTGGATCGGCAATACATTTGGCAAATAATGGGTAATAGGCTTCAATGACATCCGGCCGCCATGAAACTTCGCTTTTCTCTTTGAAATTGTACAAAGCAGCACACTTTAAGGCGATGTCATCAAAGCCGTAGAACTAAAAGATACAAGAATAGTTCAAACGAAAATGACATGCCCTACCCTACTTTACCCTACCCTACCCTAACATACTCTATCTTATATTGACTAGCTCTGCAATCCCTTTCTTTACCATTCCGTTTCATGCTTTTCCTTGCCGCTCTCTCCGTTAAATTTCAATTGTCCTACACTTACCATCATCTCTGCCTTACCATAACCGAATTTTTAGCCCTTCCCTGCCCCTCTATCTTCCATATTCTTTTTCCTGACCCTATGTGTTCCGCCGTGCTTTGCTTAGATGCATTACCAATCTTTAGTCTAACTTATGCATAATTCTAACCCTACAGTATGTACAGAGTATAGCTACAGTTTGTAAGAAATTCCGTACGAAAAACCCCAGCACTCGCAGTAATTTGTTGGGTCGTTTTACACCGAGGCAAATATTACAAAAGTTAACAATATTACATCAGAAAAGGTTACGTAACAAGGGTTTTTACAATTTACTTAAGGCTACTGTATTATACTTTTGATGTAATGCCGAAAAAATATGTTTTTTGATGTAATAGTCAATTATCCATGGTAAAGAGTGTTGCTCTGTTTGGAAGCTAAAACTATGGTAAAACTAGACTAAAAATAAGCTGAAATTTGGCTCCAGGTAGGCTAAGCTAAGACACCTTAGGCAAAGCTTTAGGCCAATGCGAATTGGCAAAGCAGTTCCAAGTAAGATAAGGCAGGGTAAATAGGGTGAAGTAGGTTAAGACTGAATATGGTAGAGTAAGGCATGACACAGTATTGAAAAGTAGGGTAGGGTAGGGCAGGGTAGGGTAGGATAGGGTAGGGTAGGGCAGGGTAGGGTAGGATAGGTTAGGGTAGGGTAGGGTAGTAGGGTAGGGTAGGGTAGGGTAGGGTAGGGTAGGGTAGGGTAGGGTAGGGTAGGGTAGGGTAGGGTAGGGTAGGGTAGGGTAGGGTAGGGTAGGGTAGGGTAGGGTAGGGTAGGGTAGGGTAGGGTAGGGTAGGGTAGGGTAGGATATATTCCACTTACCTCCGCCTCTTTTTCCAAATATTCAGCATTGGCATTAGTAGTACATTCCGTATACAGTATCCTAACCCCACATCTAAAGTAGTCCACTATCGTCCTCAGTCCATACGGATCTCTATCAATGAATATCTCATCGTTTGGCCTTAACGTCTTCGTCAGTTCGTATAGTGATGATTTTGGGTATGATTCGAGTGTTTCTCTAGTGATTTCAATCAGCTGTCCACCACAATTGATTCGAATTACGGTGGGGGAGATCATTGACATAGACAACTCACTGAAATGAACTTGTTTTGTCATCTGACGACGTTGGGAACAGGTCGCGGAGGAGTTGGAGTCGGTCGAGTATTGAAGGTGGGAATCCATCCTTAGGTAACAAAATTGGTTTTTGGAATCAAACTTTGTATTACTGAGTACTAGTAACAAGCAAATTTAGTACCTTTATCAGTACTATTAATCACTAACTATAGTACTTGTTATAGTACCATTATAAGCTATGTATAATGTGCTTGTTTTACTAATAAGAGCCAAATATAGTACTAGTTGTAGCACTAATAAGAGCTAAATATGGTACTAGTTACAGTACTAATAAGAGCCAAATATAGCACTAGTGACAGTACTAATAAAAGCTAAATATAGTACTAGTTAAAGTACTATTAATAGCTAAATATAACACTAAATAGTTATAGTACCAACAAAAGCTAAATATAGCACTAGTTATAGTACCAAAACTAGTTAAATATAGTAATGTTTATAGTACTAGCACTAACTAAATATAGTACTAGTTATAGTACTAATACTAGCTAAATATAGCACTACTTATAGTACTAGTACTAGCTAAATGAGTGATAGTACTAATAAGTACCAACAGTACGACTAGCTTTAGACCTAGTTAGCACTAAATATTAATATATAATAGCTTGAGTCAAATGTAATAAATTCCGTCAAAACTTAACGTACTACAACATAGTATAATACTAATTAATCCAAGATTATTAGTACGCGGCGAATTGACAAACTCCACTCAACCAGAATGTAATATTCAGGCATCCGCTTCATTACTTTTACACAGCATGCGATTACTCTATTTTTGACGAAACATTTTCCCTCAGGTCACGCAAAGAAATTACATTCTGGCTTACAGAGTAAATAAAATTACATTTACAAATGCTAATAGTAATTCGAAGAATTTTTAATATAAACTTTTAATGGCGTACTTTAAATGAGGTGAAAATGTACTTTTAATACCCTCCCTACCCTACCCTACCCTACCCTACCTTATTCGACCCTACTGTGCCCTACTCTATTCTATCTTACCCTATTCGGTCATATTCTACCCTACTCTACCCTCCAATACTTTGCCTTACCATGCCCTGGCGTACCCTACTTAGCCCTAGCCCAAAGCCTCTAGCTCAAAATTCTCTTATCCCCACCTCTACCCCTAGCTTCATGCCTAGCATTTTGCATCCTACCTTGCCCTACACTAACTTCTCTCCCCGCTCCTAAATATTTTTTTTTACCTACCGTATTTTACTCTACCGTGCTTTACCGCAAGTTAACTAGCTCTACCCTATCTTACTTTGACTGCTTTACCCTATCTTACTTTGACTAATCCTAACCTATCTTCTCCTTATTCTTAATAGTCTTCTCACTGTTTCACCTACAGCCCCCATCTCTCTTCCCCCCCCCCCCCCATACCCTCTTTCACCATATTCCACCCCCTATTTTATACGTTTTTACCCCTCCCTGCTGCAAAAAGAGTAAGAAATGTATAAAAACAAAGGTCTTAACTTCTTTGAAACTAGAACTCTTCCACTCTACCCTAATCCATTTCCTTCTCCACCCACCTCAACTCACTCCTTTTTCATTTTTTTTGTATTTTTACCCCGCCCTATCTCCAAAACAAGCAAAAAAATATATATAATATATATCATGCAAGACCAAAGGATTTTTGTTCAGTAAAACACCAAATAACTCGTAACTACTATACACTATACTAAACATAGTCTTAAAGTATCATATAACTGTCAAATTTATATTGACATGCCCATTGCTCACCATGCCCTTGTCTTTTCTAACCCTACCATGTCCTTGTCCTTCCAAGAAAAAAATTTTCGAAAAAAGGTGAACGTGGTCCCCCTGTGGATTTTTCGACCCCCCCCAGACCAAAAGTCCCCGCCCGGCCCTGTCTACACTACCTTTCGGCTACCATGCCCTTGTTTATAACTTACCTGTTTTGCTAGTAACGTAGTCTATAACATATTTATCTTGTCTTTCACATGGTCTATAACATATCTATCTTGCCCTTAACATACCCCTTATCATATACATTTTGCCCTCAACATGGCCTATAACACATCTATAACAACATGGATAATATAAAGGGCTTCCACTAATACCAAAATTAGCCGTATTTTTTTGTTTTTCTTGCTTTTTATTCATTTTGCCTCAGGCTACGTGGACTAATTATCATTTTAAAACAAGTATAATTAACCGGTATTAGTTGTCATAGCAACAGGTCGTGCTGATTACACAAATTAATGCACAAACGAAGTTTAATACAAACATTAAAGGGTTATAACTTGCTGTTCTATTGTAACAATTACTGGCCTTACATTGACATAGGGGCCAGTAAATCAAGAACAACGGGCCGGGCCTACTTTTTCAGGCCCGACCCGATTTAAGTTTTTCTCAGGCCCGGGCCGAACCGGTCCGATTTTTTACGTGGAAACGGGCTGGGCTTTATGTTTTTTGCACTGTGCAAAGATTATGTAGATTGCACGGTGCAATGATTTATTATTTTTGCACAGCGCAAAAGATATTTAGATAAAAATAGCATGCTACAACAGGCAGAGTGCTATAGCACTCTGTTCATTTTTTTTCTCTCTCTCTCTCACTCTTTTGCTCAAATAAAAGGCAAAAAGAAGAACTCGTAGGGCCGTGTGCGGGTGGCGCAGTGGTTTTTTATTCTGCGCACAGTCTAATGTCGCAAGTTCAATGCCCTGTCCCGCACGCCAAGTGTTTTTTATATGAAAAAAATATTCTAGATTGATATAAATACAGTGAAAATCCTGTATAAGTCCCTTTCCCTGCCGAGCCCATATTTTCACAGAAAATCAACCCTGTAGACAAACTTAATTTTTTTTAAAAAATAAACATATTTTTGGCTACAAACTTACTTTTTTTCGTTAAAAGTTCAGACGCTATCCATCAATCTGGTGGTATAAAACAATATTAAATAAAATAACTCAAGGCCAAATACATCATAACTTGCTTTTCCAGTAAAACAATGAAAAAACTATAAATTAACTTGTCGAATAACTGATTTTTATTCAAACTTTAAATTTGGCGCGCTTTCGGCATTCGCTTGAAACAAAACGCCAACAGCCGTTTTTTGCGAAAATTTCGCAAAATTCTTCGATGTTATCCTTGTTTTTGCTTGATTTTTGACGTTCTTACTGAGAATAACTTGTAGGTTTGGCTTTGTTTTGATAACTCTTATGTTTTGAATTGTGTTTTCAATAATTTGAAGCCATCTTTGGTGGCGTAAAATACGAATAACTGAAATTTTCTTCAAGTTTATAAACCTTTTTTCTTGGATGTTTTTTTAAACTTTAGAATAATATAGTTTATGGTTGAGGAAATGTAAAATACGTGGAGTAAACTGCAGATTTGTTAAAAATATAATTTATTTACTTTTTGTTTGTTTTCCCTTGTTTTAGCTCCATATTGTTGTAGACATCAAATGGAAGGAATGCTTTTGAATTTTTAAAGAAAATGCCATTTTGAGTTGAAAGATAAGAAATTCGAAAAACTTTTTGAATGAACCACATCTCTATTGATCTTTTACTTGCTTTGCTATGCTTAAAATATGTGGCTAAGCCAAAAATATGCGTTTAACCCTAAAAATGTTTGTTAAACCTAAATTTATGTTTTTACTGCCCATTTTAGTCGTTTTTTATTCTTTTGCTAATTATCTTTACGTGCTTTGAAAAGAAATTGTGGTAAACAAACTGAAGAGACAGAAAGCTGAATATGATATGTTGACACGACTTGGAAATGAACCACGATATTATTTATTATCGTCCATGTTTAAACTTTGTTTAGGTAGTGAAGAATTTAGTTTTTGAGTTGGTATTGAAGATTTTTTGGTTGATTTTGGGTAGGAAATGTGTTGCTTTTTAAGGTGTTGACATTGTTGTGTTGAAAATAGCATTTTGGAAAAAAAGTGTCATTGAAATTAAGAATTGTCATATTTGGGCTAAAACATGTTTTAAAACTAAAAAAATTTCATTTTGAAGCGGAATGTGTCATTTTGAGTACGGAATTTCATATTTTTGTTCAAAATGAAACTTTTAACTAAAAATGTCACTTTTAAACTAAAAAATGTCAATGGGCAGTAAAAGTGTCACCTTTTGGTCATTTTAGGCTAAAAGTGTCATTTTGAGAAAAAATGTCATAATCGGGGTAAAATATATCATTCTGAAACTAAACAATTTCAGTTTGGGGCGAAAAGTGTCATTTTAAATAAGAAATGTCATATGTGTTTTTAAAATTTCACTTTGTATTAAAGCTGTCATTTTGGAATGAAATATGTCAATTTGCAGTTAAAAATGGCATAATTGAGCTAAAATATGTCATTTTAAAAAATTGACCATTTGGCGTAAAATGTGGCATTTTTAATAAAAAAATTTAATTTTGGAGCCAAAAATGTCTTCTTGTGCCAGAAATGACATTTTTGTTTTCAAACGAAACTGTGAATCAAAAAAAATTTTTTTTTGTTTTTACCCCTCCCCCCTAGAAAAAAATCTCTAACAACGCCCCTGCCTAACTCAAGGCCAGGTTTCAATGAGCGTTCTCGCCAAACTATGAAATGTTGTTCCAAACAAAGATTTGACTCCGTAAATGATAAACAGAGTCATGAGGTGAAACTGAGTAACACAGAGGAATGGAAAGTGATTCCGCACGGAGATTAGCACAGTCGTTCCTTTTTTCGAAAACTTTTTCCCGTAAAAAGTATCCGAAATGTGATAAATGGATAATAAAGTAGGGGGGAGAGAAAAAAATCGGTTTTTGAAAAATATTTGCGTTATGATGCTGGAAGCGGGTGGATTTTGGTTTTTTGGTTAGTCGAGCAGAACTTGTGCATTTGTTGGGTTTAAAATGGAACTTTTAGGTAGACCTCAGGGACGTTGCTACAGATTTTTTCTAGTGTGGGATGAAGCCAAATTTTTTTTTACATTGGACATGTGTACAATTTTTCGAAATTTGTTTTGTAGGTCTGTAACGGTAAAGGGACGGGCCCCAGTTTTTTGTCCTAGCCTTTGGGTCGACGTGTGCTGGCCCGGCCCTTTCCTAAGCAACTT